TCTCTCTTTACACTCTCCCTCTTTTAAAAGTGGATCTGGGGCTGTCTGGTTAGCATGTGGAGCTGCTAACACCAATGTCCAGGGTTCCATCTCTGTACCAGCTGGCCACCAAAAAAAAAAAGGTGTATCTGTGTACCCTCTCGGTACAGGGTAGTGAGCAGGGGCTTTGAAGCCAAATAAACAAGTATTTGAACCCCTACTCCATTATTTGTCCATAGTCACAAAGTTAATACTTAACTCATTCTCTTGATGGCTCAGTTTTCTAATCTGTAAAAAGGTAATAATATCCACAAAACAGTTGTAAAAATTATGTGATAAGATATTATGATTGCTATTATTCTTCTTTTTATTTATTCATTTAATTATTTATTGAGAACTTAGTACCCATAAGTCACTGTGCTAAGTACTGGGGATACAGCTGTGAAATAGACAAATTCTCTGTCCACATGGGACGCAAATTCTATTTATCATCCCAGGGTTTAATCTAAAGGTAACAGATAACAGAAGTGGATCTAATTCCTATGGTCAAAAAGGGTGACTCCATTCAGGTTTCCTAACAGAGATGAAACAAGTTAAACCAGACACATGAGCTCTTTCATCGTGTTTGTTCTGGGATGAGCATGAAGCTCCAAATATCAAGTTTCTACATTTATTTGGTTCTGTTGAGATTCATTAATCTTAATCCCTTAGATTAATTTTTTTTCCCATTTAACTTTATAAACTTTGATTCATATTTCACCAATTTTTTGTTTATATTACTTTTGTTTTTCTTTTTCCATAATATTTGAATATTTGTTGTTCCTTAGATAGATATTTGACAGGGGAAAATTCAGTAATTGGATTAATGAATTTCAAATAAGAAACGTAGATTTATTACACTAAATCTGATAGTGAACTGAATTCAACTATTTGAATTCATATGACTGGAATCACATTAACCAAAACAAATGATGTATCAAATAATGTTTCAATATTAGGAATCTGATGTCTCAAGGAGCCATAATATACATAAGAAGATTTAAAAACCATAGGCATGTAAGGGGTATAAATAGGTAGTTTCAAACAAATCATAATTTAAAACTTTCCCAGATTTCCTCACAGAAATTCAGTATATTACAAGTATGTGATAAGCTTTTTATTTCAGATTTTAAGTATATAAAATATCTTGCAGGAAAATAGTAAATTTTGATTCAACAATGCAAATTATTGCCATATCTTCCTTCATTTTACTAAAAAGCTTAAGTACGTAAAGAGCTATAAATTGTACAATATTTACCTTTACGCAGGTGGAATTAAAAAAGAAATAGCAGTCATTCCCAACTTCTGCCATTTTCAACTCTCTTGCTGCTAATTCAATATTTTTTTTAAATAAATAAATATATATATATATAAGAACTGCAGGAATGCAAATAGAAGAACTATCAATGTGTAAGGGGGAAAAAATTTCTTTTCCACAGTCTTTCAGGCTATCAGTAGTATTCCTTTAAAACTGACCTCCTGTTGACAGTTTATTACACAATAGATAATTCTTAAATAAATTTAAATTAGAAGATACCTTCTCTACCTTTGCAGATATGTTGAAAGTGGTTGCTAGTAAGCACACAAACTCAAACTTCCAGAATTTTCCTGATTGTTACCTAAGTCATTGTTTGCTCATCATAAATGACCTCACATGTAACTGTAGGCTAGTCTACCTTAGTGAATACTGTATTTCCGTTACTAAATTCTAGTATATTAGCCAAAAGAGACTAGTAAAAATAAAATAGTATATTTTATCTTTCAATGTTCTGATTGAATATGGAACATAAACGAGTTCATTTTTTCATAATTAAAAATATGTTTCACAAGTAAATAGCTATTCTCTAAACCTACTTGTTTCTATATACGGTTTGAAAACAAAACTAAAATATTTAAATAAAATAGGCAAATATGCCACCCATATTCCAAGATAATATATACAATTATTTAAATATGTATTCAGTTATCCACTGATTTGGGGGAAAAATCATATTCAACTTGTAATATATTATTAGGTATCTGAAAATAAATCATACTACTTATTCATCAAGCACTTATATTCATTTTTTATCCACCATAAAGACAGTTATTAAGGTCTTCATCTTAGTATTTTTAATAAAAGAATTAGAACCTAGCAGAAATTAATAAAAATATTCATTGTAGGTTACTTAGATGCCACGGAGATGGCAGATTACACTAGACCAAAATGTATTTCTAAATTGCCATGTACTTTTAATTAGAAATTTAAAGACAAATATGAATTCCCACCTTGTTGTAGTAAGACAGTCTAAGTCGGTATGAACTTTTTGAATACAGCGCTTTAGGATAAAATTCTAGGAAATAAAATAAGAAACTAAAATTTAGGAAAGAGTTCTCTGTAACTTTAAATGAGAAAGTAATTAAAAAGAACTAGGCAGTATGAGAAATAAAGAAGTAGAGCATAAAGATTTGGCTAAACATTTGAAAAGATTAGCAAAGACATATAAAAAGTCTATCTTGCCTTTTGTTTTGCCCTACCTTCTAACTCTAGAACAACAAACTACCCATCTTAGGTACATATGCTACTGGGAGAAACACCCCTAAACATATCTTTAAGTGATCTTTGCCTCCAGATAAATTCCCTCTCCACCTGTGAACTTGTAGCTTCTTCATCAGACTGTTTTCAAAACTGTTACCAAACACTATTACTACATGATTGCATGTAACATCATGATTAAAGCCATTATGAGAATCCACATTTTACATTGGAGAAACCCTGAAAAAATGTTTTTACCTCTTGAAGTTAGGTGTGAACAGCAACATTCCGTTAGACACAGCAAAAACAGGTCAAATCCAGATGGGGATTTTTTTGTCATTGCAGAGCACATGAAATAGATCTGTACATTTTGGTAGTCTTTGGAATGCCTGAGTAGAATATTAAATTCTCTCTTTTTTTCTCTTTTCCTTTTTTTTTTTCCTTTTCCTTATTCCTTTCTTCTATTTTTTTCCTGTTGTGAATTTTATTCTAGTCTTTCTTGGAAAGCTATGACCCTACCCATGAGTATTTTTACTCCTTGAAATGAACAGTGATGAGAAATTTGTCTAGATAGATGGGAGTAGGACTGAAAATTCTGTAAGCATTTTTAATTGGTCAAAGCAGACTCACATCGAGTGTCTTTCAACTTTGGTGTACATTATAGCCAAACACATCAGTCAGAGAAGAAGATTTTTCTTTCAGTTTGTAATCCTTTAATGCCACTTTAAATACAGTGGTTGGAAGCAACTCTGCTGGCTCTTCAGGATTATGAGTCAGGCAAAGCTGATGACTGCTACTCCTCAGAGTAGTTCACAGATGTAAATTGATCCTGTGGCTCTCCCTTAACTCTGGGCCCTTGTGTTTCTGCCAGAGGCTTTGTTCCAGGCACTGACGAGCCCATAATATTGGAAACAGAGAGTGCTTCCTGAGAAATGATTGGCCTTGCTGCTACTATTCAATGAGCAAGTGGAATGTTTTAGAAGATGATCCTTTCTTGGAAATGACAGAATGTTGGTCTTAGAAAATTCTGTGGCAGTTTGGAAAATGACAGTTGATAGGATAGTCGTGAAGGTTATTTAATGTCTCTTTGAGATTCATAAGCGGCTTTTGAGGTGTCTTCTGGAGGAACGAAGAAATCATTGGCATTTGACTGTAAAATGCTAAGAAGTTTCTGGTTCCGATATCACACAGCCAACATTAGGTGTTTCATTTTTCCTTTTTCTGGTAAATTGGTGGGGGCTTTTTGTGTTTTCCTGTGAGAAAATTAAAGATAGCAGAACAAAATAAACAATTTGAAAAGGCAAATCTTTTGCTCCCTCCCTCTCCTCTAAATATAGCAATCAAACAGTGAACTGTTTCTTTTAGTGGTATTTTATTCTTTAGGACCCCCTCTCCACCCCGCCTGCCTTACTATATAGATACCACCAAGTGAGATACAGTTGGTTGATTTGTTCAAGGGTTAAGTCAGTAATGTGCTGGACAGCTGGATACACGCAGATAAGAGAAATATAAAAATGAGAACTGGGCCTTGTCTGAGCACATAAAGGATGACAGTAAAGTCAAAATTCCCCTACAACTTTAGGCTAAGGACTACTAGCTGCAATGAGATAGAAAAGCTATTACTACTAAATACTTAAATTTTATTTTATTCAGTCATTGACTGGCTTATCACCTACTAGCTTATGTTCTTTTGAGCAATACTCAAATAAAGCTGTTTTTAGCTCTGCAGTTGATTGACTACAACTACTCAAGCCATTTGGACTCTGTTGGAACTCATTAGTTAAGATTTTTATGAAAAACTTGAGATTGAATCTGGTTGTTGGTATTCCTGCGGTTTGGATTAGTCTAAGGCTTCACTTCTCACTCTGGAGAGGATATTGTCAGTGAACAAGAATAAAGCCATGTTGGGACCTAAAAAGCCCTTAGGCTTTAGAACATTTTTAAAGACAATGTTTTCCTACTCTCTTTCCTCCCATCCTGGGTGTTCCTGTGGTTTGGGATTAGTCTAAGCCTTAACTTCTCACTCCAGAAAGAACATCACAACCAATTTCAACCTTTTTTTCCCCTTTTGTCCCAGGTGTTTTAATAGTAGCGTTTTCTAACAATCTTCCTGGGAAATCAGTTTTCATTCTGCCTGGAAACCTGGGGGTATCTCTAGGCATTTTTAAACTTCTACAGTACTTGCCCCATGAACTCACTAAAAAGAACAGGCAAGTAGATTTCGTTAGAAAGGTCTTAAACCACCATCTGAGGTGATTCATCACCTACATATTGTTTAATTTTCAAAATTATCATCGGTTACTCGAGTGTGGCTAAGTACACACGTCAGGAAACCGGATCTTTTTTTACATAGTCATCAAAACCCGGGGGACGCACGTGGGAGCGCACCGGACGCACTACAACTCCCAGAAGGCGTCGCGGCCAAAAGGCCGCTTCCGGGTGTGCGTCCCCGCTCCTTGGTCTGGGTTTGGCGTCGTCGGGCTGCTGCTGCTGTCCCTGCATGCGGAGCGTTAGCGGCCCGAAAGCCGCGGCTGGCTGCTGCGTGACTTTTTCCCAGCCAGGACCCGGCGCTGTTTGAAGGCGCGCTCTCCACTCGCACTGCTTGCTAGGCCCACCATGAGGCGCCTGGGCTCCGTGCAGCGAAAAATGCCATGTGTGTTTGTGACGGAGGTGAAAGAAGAGCCGTCCGCCAAGAGGGAGCAGCAGGTACGGAGGGGCTCGGGCGGCGGGGCGGCTGCGCGTGGGCTTCTCCCCGCGGCGCTGGCTCCGTTTGGATCTGGCGAGGGCTGCCCCGCGCGTTGGAGCTGCCCTGCAGGCCGGCAGCTTTGTGTAGGTTTCTCTGGGCAAGTCTGGGGTGGAAGTCCCTTGCCGTGAGCTCCAGGTTCTAGGACTCGGTTGTAAGGGAGGGAATCTGCGAGAGAATTTTTCTGATCGGGCGATTCAGACTTGCCCTCGCAGGGGAATTGAAAACCCACATCCTAAATAATGTTCCTTTCTGCTCAGGCTAGCACCTTTGGGTGAAGCTTACCTGATAATCACCGCAGTCCAAGCTTTACTCTTTTCAAGAGTGTGGTGAGAAAGTGGAGCTATTAGAAGACCTGCTTTACCTGTTCTAACCTGGGATCCCAAGGCGGTGTTGATGGCTTGCCTAATTAGGTCACTAAAAACCAGACCTCGTGGGCCGGCCCGTGGCTCACTCGGTAGAGTGCGGTGCTGATAACACCAAGGCCCCGGGTTCGGATCCCATATAGGGATGGCCGGTTCGCTCACTGGGTGAGCGTGGTGCTGACAACACCAAGTCAAGGGTTAAGATCCCCTTACCGGTCATCCTTTTAAAAAAAAAAAAAAAAACAGACCTCGTGTATTGTCACCTCGTGTATTTGCCTACTTGATTCTAACTTTGGTGTTCCCATTTCAAGGTTATCTACACTCCTAGCAACGTGTTTTACACTCAGTGGGGCCTCAGTAAATGCTAGTGAATGCATACTAAGTAACCTATAGCAGTATTAATTCTTTAATGTTCTACTGATCAAGGACTTTGTTGTAAGGTCCTTGGAAAGTAGAATCCTCAGTTATCAGTTGGGTGGGACATACAAAATCAGCATGTCCGTTTGAAATCGACCTCACCTCCATTTCATCATTGGCACTGGCCTCTTTGTCTTCTAGACTAAAAGGTCTTTAAGGCAGACACTGCCCCGTTATTTTTAGTCCCAGCTTTTAGGACCTGACACTTGGTAGGCACTGTATAAATATTTGTTGAAATAAAGAACCCCGGAGTCATTTTATGCCAGTTCTCCATTCACCTTGATGCATTTATACCTTACAACATCTGATAATTCCATACTCCTTTTCACTGCTATCATTGTTGTTACAGTTCTTAATATTTTATGCCTTCTTACTGCATTACCTAATGGGTCTCACTTAACACCCAGAATGATCTTCATCGTTTTTGCCGGGTCAAAACCCCACAGTTATTTCTCAGTGTCTGTAGCAGTACTTGTCAACCTTCCCCTCACCCCCCCCCCCCTTTAATAAGCTTTAACAGATCTAATCCATATGAAACATTGTCATCATCAGTGGTAGTGGTTCACTCTAGTTGTGGTTCTCAACTTTGTATGCTAGGAGGAAGTGGTTTGTAAAGGTACCCTCCACCAGGAAAAATAAGCCCCTCTTCTTATCTCTCTACAATTAAGAATAGCTTCTAGTATTGTTTATAGCATAGCATCCAAATTCTTAATTGTAATTCAAAGACTCCCATTAATCAGGCCCAATCTACTCTAACCTTTTCTAATGAAGTCTCTATTTTAGCAAAGTCTCTCATCCTGTGAACATACCAAGCACAAGCCTGTCTTTATATTTTTGCTCAGGCTGTACACTCTACCTGGATCATCTCCAGAGTGTTTTTAGTTTTTCAAGTCAGACCTTCTCCATAAAATCTTTGACCATCATAGTCATCTTCGTGATTTCCCCACCCCAGAAATTGTAGAGGACCACCCAATTGATACATGCTATTACATTTTATATGCACATACTTGTTTTTCTAGTAATAAAGTCTTTGGACAGGTGGAGGAGGAGAACTTAGTGTACCCCTCAAGTGTCCTATGTTGTGCTTTGGATACGTCAATAGCAAAGAGTGGTAGATAAATTGATTCTTATGGAAGGAACATTTATATTCTTCAAGAGCTCCAGGGGCATAGTAATCTCCTCCCTAAGATCTTTGATAAATTTAAATACACTCTGCTGTTGCACCAGGCCCTGGGTTACATTGCTAACCTCTGATACCAATGTCATAAGTTAGTGATAAATCCCCATTCAGATATATCTTAAAAGTACTAAATCAGTACTAGAATGGGGCCAATTTTGGCTTACCTGACTCTGTTTGAAATAGTACTTCCACTTTATTAGTCTTTCACTTATGCACAACAGTATGTTTATATTTTGCAGTGTTTTTTTCACATTGTAGGATGAATGAATGTTACTTCAGATTCAGATTATAAAACAGTGGAATAAATCCTTCTCAGAAATGAAAGGAAAGAACAGATAAAAAGTTGGTAGGAAGCGTATAGACTCTTTTCCTCCATCCTTGATGCTGTTTAGACTAGCCTTCTTGATAGTAGAAAAACCATAAAATATGTAAACAGTTTACTAATGATAAAGCTGAAAGGAACAAAAATAATGAGTACTCTCAAAGCAAACATAATTTAAGTAAAAACAAAAAATGATTCTTGGTAATTTTAACAGTGAAACTTTTAGGGGAAAACATGAATGAACTAAAATCAGTCTCAAATATTGAGTACTCATTGAGCAAAGAATTAGAACTGAAGTGGTACTGCAGTACACAGTATAACACATCTAAAATGGCAGTGAACCGGGTTGGGCCATCAGTGGGACTATTTACTGGAGTACTCATTTGAGTTCTCACCCAAGGGGAGATGCCAGCAAGTCTTATTCCTTCTTTATATTCTACCTGCATACTTTAGGACAATTCCTTTCGCAAACTATATGCTCAAACTTTGTAAAATGAGTAACTACAGAGATTGTTGGATCTACATTATAGTAAGACCCCTGAGTACAACATTCAAAGTAAAAGATTCATGAGACTACATGGGGAAATCAGGTATCTGTGGAAAAAACTATTTTCAAAGTGAAGCCTAACTCAGAATCAAGAAGGAGATTTGTTTTATAGAGGCAATTTTTCTTTTGCCTTATTGGACATTTTGCAAGTAAATAAATAAATCTAAACAACCATAGTTGATATAGCTTATAAATTTAAGTTTTAATACTGTAGTATGTATCTGATATAAGAATTCAGTGTTAATGGTGAGAAATTTTTTCTTTCAGGCAAATAATATATTTTCCAAAAGAGAACTGGTTGAACTTTGTAACACATCTAAACATTTTTGGGATATAAAACTGAATCAAAGATAAAATCATGCTATAAATTAAGATGCCTTTAAAATCTGTGATCTGAAATGTTTAGACAGAGATGCAAGCTCCATCACAATGGAGGTATGCTGATAACAATTGCTTTATAAGAAGAATGAAAAATATGATTATAGCTAAGGAAACCTATGCTTATTATGATAGCATTTAACATTTTTCAGAGATGAAATATTAAGAAAAAGGTATTGTTTTTATGTTTTCTATGAAGTTGAGGAAAAGCATGAAACAAGTAAATCCAGAAAGCATTTTGACTTTGGCTTTTTTAGAAACTGTTCTGTAGAAAATAGCAATTGATATCAATTATATTAAGGAGGAAGAATGCACTGAAAAACAGATAGGAATTATGCCAAAAGGTTCTTGGTGATTACACCTGGATGGGAATATTGTGGATGATTTCTTGTTTATGCTTTTGTATGTTTGATTTTACATATACATATTCTTGGAAAACTGAAAACTATGGTTGGAAAATACTTGTATTGAACCACGAGAAGTACCTATGAAATTATTTATTTAATTAAACACATGATCTGGTTTTACCTTCACTCAGCTCCAAACACAATGGCTGCCTTTCATTCTTCAGACACATCAGGATACTTAGGACCTTTTTCCCCCCAGATATTTACATGGCGTATTCCCTCACTTCAAATCTGCTCAAATATTGTCTCCTAAAATAGGGCTTCCCTGTCCACCGTATCTAAAACCGCATCTCATCGCTCTCTTCCCTTTACCCCATTTGTTTTTCTCTGTAGCATTGAGATCTGACATTCACCAGAAGCAGGTACTCTGCATTTCCTTTGCTGAGGACAGTGCTTAATCAATGGTAGGAATTTAGTAAATAATTGTCAAGTACGTGATTGAACATACTGAACCCTTGTGCTAGGGGTGCCGCGTTGCATAGGATGTGGGTCCTAGTGTTAAGTCATCATGGATAAAAAAGAAACATATAAATAATTACCAATCTGTGTAAAATCAAGTGTTGCTGTTATATAAGGGAGCAGTGATTCAGAACTTTACAGAACAAGTACTTTTAAATTGTTTTGAAGGATGAACAGGAGAACACTTCCTAAAACTAATGAAATTAAGAACATTTCAAGTGAGAGTGTGGAAGGCATGGAGTTTGTCGATCTTAAACCAGTTTTCTCTCTTTTTCTTTTAAGCCATTTAAAGTTTTGGCAACTGAAACTATAAGTCACAAGGCATTAGATGCAGATATATGCAGTGCAATTCCAACAGAAAAAGTGGATGGAACATGTTGTTATGTTACTACCTATAAAGGTAAAATAGAGCTATAATGTTTACTACAAATGTTATTTTTCTTCATCACTTTACAAACTATGTAAATCTGAAATGGGGCATTTGAACGTCATAAACCCTTGGAAACCTATGTATAGTAGCAAGATTAAAAAGGTCACAATTGTTATACTTATTTATTACATTATTGTATTTTTCTCTTAGGGGAGGAAAGGAACGTAATTAACATTTAATACTCATTAAGGGCTAGGCAGTGTGATAAATGCTTCATACATATTGTCTTTAATTTGCACAGTAAGCTCTCCATTTCACAAATAAGGAAACTGAGGCTCAGTGAACTTAATTTGCTCAAGACCATATAGTTAATGAATGGCTGAACTGGTACCAGAACCTAGGTTTGTCTGACTCTAAAGCTTGTTCTACTTGTATTGATACCAGTGATTTTATTGCTACTGGCATTGTTTCTAATTAATTTCATTTTAATTACTTTAAAAGAGGTAGAAACTCAAATAAAAATTGTCAATTATGTTAAGAAGAAAAATGCATTGAAGGGAGAGAAGTCTTTGTGATTACTTCTGGATGGTAAGATTACCTCTCAATTCTAGCAAAAGAAATAGAACATTTAAATGTGCATCCAGACACATTCCCTGTATCAGGAAATCTCTTCTGAAACGCATTTTTTAAAAAAAATTTTAACTGTGCTAAAATATGCATAATATTTACCATCTTAACCATGTTTTAAATGTACAGTTCTGTGGTGTTAAGTACATTCACATTGTGCTACTGGCACCACCATCTATCTCTAGAAATGTTCTCTTGCAAAACTGAAACTCTATACCCATTAAACAGCTTGCCATTCCACCCCCAAACCCCCACCCCACCCTGCTCCTTGTAACCAGCATTCTACTTTCTGTTTCAATGAATTTGACTACTCTAGGGACCTCATATAAGTGGAATCATACAGTATTTGTCTTTTTGCAACTGACTTATTTCACTTAACATGATGTCCTCAAGATTCATCCACATTGTTATTAGCATGTATGGAATTTTGTTCCTTTTTAAGGCTGAATAGTTTCCCATTTATGTATATACCAAATTTTGTTTATCCATTCAACCATCGACGGACGCTCGGGTTTCTTCCACCTTTTGATTATTGTGAACAATGCTGCTATGAACAAGGGTGAACAAATATCTCTTTGAGGCCCTACTTCCAGTAGGGCATATATCCGGAAGTGGAATTACTGGATCATATGGTAATTCTAGTTTTAATTTTTTGAGGAACAACCATACCATTTTTCATAGTGGCTATACCATTTTACCGTCCCACCAACAGTGCGCAACGGTTCGTTTCTCCATATCCTCACCAACACTTGTTATTTTTCATTTTCTATTTTTTTGTGTGATAGTAGCCATCCTAGTAGGTGTGAATAAAATGCATTTTTTATTTTTACTGGTAAAAAGAACAAAAGTTCTGTTGACCAAACTGGCAGAATATAATTTTAATCTGGTTCTTTATTTGGATACCTAATACGTAGTAACAGAATATCTGAACCTTAGCATAATTAATATTTTTTATTTTTTTATATAAACCTCTGATTTATGTATTTGAAGAAACTGTAAAATATTTTCCAGGCTTTTATATTTATGTTAAGAAACTTCAGTGTGCATGATTATATGTGATTATGCATGATAGTGGCAGTTAAACAAGGTTGGAGTTTAACTGTTAAAGAAGACTCACAGGACCCAAAATGATAATGTTTCCAAATCCAAATTTTATTATTGGTAAAGGGTACATGCTATATAGCAAGGACATTAAAAGTAAGGATGTATATCACAGCTAAAGCGTGTCTCACAGCAGGGAGTCTAGGGAGGTCAGATTAAGGTTCTCTCCTTTAAGGTCCTGTCAGGACACATTTTATCAGATCAGGAACCACTAATGTGTGCAGGCAACACCTCAGAACCAGGGAGTCCAAAATGGAGTCTCAGTTGAGGATTTTTTATGTTTGCTGGTCATGTAAAAGTCTTCCTGCTAAGTAACCAGCCTTAACAGCAGAGCCTTCCTGGTGGTCTCACTGAGACCAGGTGCAATTCATCAGTCTCACTCTGATGAAGAATGCTGGCACATTGCCCTGAATTTCCTCAGACCCATGGTTACAAAGCAACACTGTTAATCACTATGTTTCATACCATGCAGAACTGCTCAGCTTAATTAACCCTCAGCAGTGTGATGTTCCCGGGAGATGTGAATACAATTATCTGGTTATGTTTCCATTTTGTATACAGGTAGCTTCAGTTTCTCACAAATGCTAGTTATTAATAAAATATGACTATGGAATGTGCTTATAAAAGGATCATATATTTACTTTTTACCTTATCCCCATCATTCTTTAACCAAAGAAGTCTTCTCATAATATCAGGTATTGCTAGGTGGCATGTATCTTAGACTGGCCATTTCCCTTTGTCTTCTAGGGTTGCTTCAGGTGATCCTACCTTTTACTGAAAAATTCTATTCTGAAATGTCTTTCAAGATAAGTTTTATTTGCCTTATACTTATCTTTTCCTGTTATTGTTACTTTTTTAGATCAGCCATACCTTTGGGCTCGACTAGATAGAAAACCCAACAAACAGGCTGATAAAAGATTTAAAAATTTTCTACATTCAAAAGAAAACTCAAAAGGTTAGTTTTTTTTGTTTTTTTAACTTTTTATGATTTAAATAGCTGAAATTTGTGGCTATTGCTATGGTATTTCTATACATTATATAATTATGTATAATTTAAGCAATTTAGGGAAAAATTATAAAAGCATTTTTCTGAAAAATATTTTAAAATATTTACCTAATATTTCTGTTACCATTATAGTATGAATCTATTTTATTAAAACATACAAAGTGACATATATATAATGAGTGACATTTAGATTTTGTCTGGTTAAAAGACAAATATATAACTTTATAAATAATGCACATATCTCAAAAGAAAACTAAAATAAAAGAAATTAAAGAAATAAAAGAAAATTAAAATAATTTTTAATTATTACATTAAAATTCTTATAAATATATTTAGTAAATATATACACTGATTATTATATATAATGTATATGAATGTTTATTCATAGTGCATTAAAAATTCATAAATCTATACATAATGGAATACTGGCTACTTTAGTTAGACTGTTACATATTATATCAAATGGGTGTATTCAAAATTGAAAATTTAAAGTGTTAGTAACCTAACGCTGAGAAGTACAGTCACATTGTAGTGATGATGAGTGGAGAATAATTGTATCATATGTGATATTATGAGGTTTTATTAGCTGTTCCCATTGTGAATCTGTTCAGTATTTTATATTTTTAAAAGTATTGCCACATATAAGATTATCTCTTTTTAGAATTTTTTTGGAATGTTGAGGAGGACTTCAGACCTGTTCCAGAGTCCTGGATACCAGCAAAGGAAATAGAACAATTAAATGGGAATCCAGTACCTGATGAAAATGGACACATTCCTGGTATCATGAAATCTCTTCTTAAATCACAAAATTTAATTTTAATCTTTCTTCATTTTACGTATAGTGTAAAATTTCTGAATCAAATTTATGTAAAATCTAACAATTTATATCAAAGATATTTCATATTAAGAAAGTCCTCTCAGGTTTAGAATCTTTTCTAAGATGGATATTTTACTAGCTGTAGTCTCGATAATTAATTAAGTATTGAATAAGAATAGCCTTGAAGTTCTTGTCAAGATAGATGACTATGATTGATCTGGTCTGAAATGGGATTTCAGGAAGTCTTTCCTTTAGACTGGAGATAACATAGAGTGTATGTGTATATTTTTTGTGACAATCCCAGAAGGGAGTTGAAAATAGGTGTCTCTCAAGTAATTTTTCTGGGGATGGGAAAATTTTTGCAAAGGTATGCTGAGTAGGAAATTTCCCCAGATAAAGGTTATGGGCTTAGTCTTCAATGCCTTTTATGTGCAAAGTACTTTTATATGCAAAGGCATTATGGAGTTCATTGTTGACAGTTTCTGGTAATACAAAAACCAAGGTCAGAAACCTTGTCCTTAATGATCTTGTGTTAGATATTAGGAGAAATTGACCAATAATAGTATGATTTAAGAATAGGAATGAATACACAGGTACGATTGGAGAAAAGAGGAGGAGTTCCTAGATCAACTTGTGCTGTTAGAGGAGTTAACATCTGTACTGAAGCTTAAGAATCAGGAAGTTAGCTGGCAAGGAAGAGGGAAGGTCAGCTTGGTCATACTCCCAGGAAGAGAGAACACGGAGTATTTTGGATATTTTATGTAACACTTTGCAGCTTGTTTAGGATATACATTTTGAGGAGATTATAAAAGTTGAGGCTGGAGGTGTAGTATGGGCTCAGATCTTAAAGGTCTATGTAGGGGCCGGCCCGGTGGCGCACTGCTACAGTGCGCCGCTTGGGAGCGCAGCGGCGCTCCCACCGAGGGTTCGGATCCCACATACAGACCGGCGGCTCACTGGCTGAGTGAGATGCGGGCGCAACACTGAGGGTTGCGATCCCGTTGCCGGTCCCGGTCCGGTATGGGCACGACACTGAGGGTTGCAATCCGTTGCCGGTCACGAAAAAAGACAAAAAAGGAAAAAAAAAAAAAAAAAGGTCTGTGTATTCCATCTAAAGGAGTTTTAAGTTTATCCTGAAGATAATGAATAATTAGGGGTACAGTGGAAATTAATTTAAATTTTAGAAAAAGAACTATGATAAAAGTGGAGTGGGTTTCACTGGAGGCTAGCAGACCAGAAAGAAGTTATTACAGCAGGCCAGAGTGAGTAATGAAGGCCAAATATATGGTGGTCACAATGGCATGCATGTCTTAATTTGTCTTTTTTTTTTTTTTTTGTAATGAGTTCTCCACAATGAGGGGACACGATATTCTCCACAATTCTTGCAACAAGAGTGAGAAGAGGAATAGCAATAACGTTCAGTAAATGTGTAATCAATAAATTGTTCAATATATATTGGAACAATTCAATAAGTTGTGGAATAGTTACTGCATGTATATGTCCATTGTCCCTGAAACTGGAAATAAAGTAGAAAGAAACTTCTTATAAAAAACACTTTACTGATATGTCTTAGAATGGTGTTCACTTCTTACTGACTCAGGTCGAATTTTGTAGTAAGAATACTGGGTGCTCTGTGGTGAATAATCAAATGGGTTAATACCTCAACAAAATAAAAAAGTAAATCCTGTGATTAAAAAAAAGTAGTGAAACTGTTAACTTTCTCACTAATTTTAAAAGTGTTATTTCTGTGATAGAACATCCAGAAAATATGAAAAATTCATGACAAAAATAAAAATTATCTGTAATTTCAATCCAAAGAAAAACAATGTAATTAAAAACAACTTTTTTCTTAAAATGACAGGTTGGGTACCAGTAGAGAAAAACAACAAACAGTACTGCTGGCATTCCTCTGTAGTTAATTATGAATTTGAAATTGCCCTGGTACTAAAGCATCATCCTGATGATCCTGGACTTTTGGAAATTAGTGCAGTGCCACTATCAGATCTCTTAGAACAAACACTGGAGCTTATAGGAACAAATATCAATGGAAACCCCTATGGTGAGTGAAGACTTTTTCTTGTTCAGCTATAGTAACTTTATGAAGAGAATTTCCTAGGGTCAACCTAAAAAACACATCTACACACTAAAGAAATGACAATAAAGAAATGACATATTAAAGAAATAACAAATTTGAGTTAAATGGTTTTCTAGGACTATATCCATTTCTGTTAATTTTATGCTCATGGAAAATTTCATGCATTACTGTTTGATTTAATCCAAAAGGTTGGTTTTATCCTCTCATTCTTTGCTGTGATAACATTACATAACTATGTATGAAAAGTAATTACTCAGGTGTAACTGTTGCTTTTTAAAATTTGGATGAGCTGATTTGATTGAAAATGCACTTTTCATGACTAGGTAATAATTTTAGCATTAAAATAGCCGAGAGTAAAGGAAATAAAGAATTGGCAATGAATACCGTATCAAGCATAAAGATATATATCGTGATGACTTGAGTAGAAGTCCCAAATCAATACACTGTGGACAGGGGCATGAATAGATAGTGCTAAGAACATTAAAGCTGTAGTAACAACAAAATCCTATATAGAGATCAAAAGTAGATTGGTAGATGTGAAGAATAACTAAGATAGTAATTATACAAGTTATCAGAGATATGGTGTGGCTGTTTAGCAAACACTGAATGATAGTTGGAATGTGGCTAAAGGTGTAGAGCAGGGGTTGGCAGACTTTTTCTGCAGAATACCAGAGAGTAGGTATTTTAACCTTTGTGAGCCACACAAGCTATAGACAGTACTTAACAGAATGAGTGTGGTCTGTGTTCCATTGAAACTATTTATAAAAACAGGTGTCTTGTCTAGACTTGTCCTACATGTCATAGTTTGTGGATCCTGGTGTAGATTACACAAAGAGGGAATTTAGATTTATAAGATGCCACACTTGAGTGAGAACAAGACTAATCTACTGTGATTATACTCTCTTCAAGGAAACCAACTGAACTTCTTGTTAACTTTATTCCTAAATGTTTTAAAAAATTTATTTGGAGAGGTACATTTTCTCATTCTTCCTGAAAAGTTTCTTTGAATGAGTATGGCTAATAGCAAATTTTACCATTTAGGGTTAGGAAGCAAGAAGCATCCCGTACATCTTCTTATACCACATGGAGCATTTCAAATAAGAAATCTGCCTTCATTGAAGCACAATGATCTGTTATCCTGGTTTGAAGGTTGCAGAGAGGGTAAAATTGAAGGAATAGTGTGGCATTGCAGTGATGGCTGTTTAATTAAGGTAATGGCAAAAAACAGCTTGTGTGGGGTTATGAAATCTTATGTTCCTACAACAAAATAGAACTGGCACTAAAATTCTCTGCAAATTGCAGTAATTCTGATTTGTAGTAAAGAAATTTAATTTTCTCATCTTACATGCCACCATTCTTTGTATGCTAAAACAGTGTCTACCAATGTGTATTTTGTGGGATGTTGGTTATCCCAGATGTGCTTTGCAGAATTAAGGTAACACTATATCCTGTTCTTGGAAATTCATGTTGCACATTAGTGCTTTCTGAGCTATCCTATACTTAGTTTAACTTAGCATCTCCCAAATTTACTTGATTATAGAATTTGTTGAGTAAAAAGAGTGCCAGGGTGACAGTTGATATGTATGGAATTAATTATCTTCTGCCTGTCCCCTTTCTGTCTGTCTCCTGGACTTGTCTATCTGATTTCTTACAGTTACCTGAAATTCATAATGTTCAAAACTAGACCTAGTCTTACCAACCATCTAAGTCTACACAATTCCCTAAAGTAAAAAATTTGGATATTATTTTTAATATTTCCTTTACTACATACATCCAGTTATCAGTTCTTAAAGATTATTATCTGTTAAATTTGTGTACTCCCAACCAGTTGGTTGTTAATTTTAATTTAGGCCAAGATCTTATTACATCACACTCCTAAACAGTATCTTTCAGTCTTACCCCTGTCGTGTCCATTGTTCACAAATAATGAGAAAATTACTTTCCTGCATAAAACTGTTCGGTTATATTAAGGTTTTTCATGATCTGGCCCCTGCTTAACTCTGCATAACTGCTCTCCACACCCTGCAGCATACTCATATTGTGTTCTAACCATATTTAACTTATTGTGATTACAGCAAAACACACTATTCTATTACATAATATTCCCTTTGGTTAGAAGACCTCCTTGCCCACATTTTTCATGTCATATTCATAACAGACGCTATTATACATTAAATTTTTATGGAGCTCCTGATTATGTTCCTTGCATGTTTCCAGGTGTTGGAAGTACAGAGTCAACAAAATAATGTCTCTGCCTTCACGAAGCTCACATTATAATGGGGAAGATAGACAATAAACAAGTAAATATGTAATACGTCAGAAGAACAACTATGGTGGAGGGAAAAAAAAAAACAGGGTAATATAAGGTAGAGCCTTACATAGTGCCTGGCAGATAGTAGGCACTCAAAATTAAGTATTTCTAAGTGGATGAAGATAATATCTGTAGGCTAAAGCTAATACCCTTTTTCTCTTTCCAGGTCCATCGCCATCATCTTGGTTTATGCTGGCCAATTCCAGATACTTATATGAATTCAAAACCAGTTATTATCAACATGAACCTGAACAAATATGACTACGTCTTTGATACTAAGTGTTTATTTAATTATTTTTCAAAAATAGATAATCAGAAATTTGGTAGGCTTAAAGATATAATACTTGATGTATAAAATGGAAATGCAATTAAGATTAGCTTTATTACTGTTTATTTGAATCTTGAATATTCTGCCATGTTTAAAAATACCTCAAGGTTTGTTGTGAGACATACCAGCGTCTTCCAGCATCTGAAGAAATGACTACCCAGTTGCAAATATCTTTTCAAAATTTCATTTAGAATCAACAAATTAATTTCTTGACACAGAAATCTAAGTTACAGTAAGCTCCCAAGCTTGTACAAAGGCTGGATTCTGTCCACTGTAACTGGGTGGTAATTTAAAGAATAATTACCAACAGTTTTATATCATTTACTTTTAAAATTAAACAGTTTAAGCTCAGTTTAATTTTGCTAGACATTTAACAAAACGTATGGCACAACATTGTAACCTGGGTGTGTCTGCGTGTATACAAGGGTAATTCAAAAAGTTCGTAGAAATGGAGAATTAAAAGATAACACAAATATTTCCATGAACTTTTTGAAGTACTCTTGTGTGTATATATCGTAGTTAGTATTTGAGAATCTTAACATATAAAAATAAGTACATACAAAACCACAATTTTAAATGTTAAAAGCTTACCTGCATACTCTTTAAAAACTTAATCAAAACATTATGAATGTAGAGACATTCATCATAGCTCACTACCTATTACATAGTCATTCTAAAAAATCTTCAAAAATATACTTCTCCAGTAAGATAAACATTTCATATAATTTTATTTACTAAAAATTCCAATTTATGTAAAGGTACAAGGTAGTGAGAAGGAAATTCTTTTAGTTCAGAGGCTTGCTTGACTTCCAAATAGAATTTTAACTTATAAAGTTAATAAATAGTTAAACAAAACTACAGTTACAGATGGTCCTTAATAAATGGGGAAATTAACAGGACTTTCTTCATCTTCTTCAAACTGTTCAGAAGCAGCAACAGGGCTAGTCAATTCAACTCCCAGTTGTTCAGAAAATTTTTTTAATTTCTCCTCTAAGAGAATATTTTTTTTCACTTCTTCCTTGTAATTATACTTCAGATCTTCAATTTCTTCAAAAAATGAAGGATCAAAATTTTCCAGTTCTTTTTTCAGTTTTTTTATTTCCTCCTAGTGGAAACATATATTTAAAATTCCCACATAGGAATATAATACATGTTTTAGGTTTGAACTAATTTAATCACAAATATGAAAGCCAAAGTAAATAGTCAAATGTGGTTAGAAAGGCAGAAGTATTCTCTTAAGATTTTGTTAGTAAGGTTTCATTGTACAATATAAATAACTAACTTGTTAACTGTCCCATCAGGTTGATCTATTCTCTAAGTTATGTTCTAGTTTTGACTAAAATTTATCAACTTAGATTATGTTAGGATTTAATCTTTCTCTGAAAGCATATCAAATACTCTCAATGAAGAAATTAAAAAGACTTTGCTATTCACAACATTGAAATTACTCCAGTTAAGATTTTTTGGTTTAGGCTTCATTTATATTGTCTTTATAATATCTAATTTTTAGTGAATGATGATCAACTTTTTATAAATATACTTATGATCAGGGAAACCCTATAACTTCTGCCTGGCTACGTTAGGCCACTGGTGGAAGAGAGAGAATTTGAGCTTTACTGACTATTTAGAATAGCCAGTATCACTAGCTAATTCTCGTATTGATGCCCTTGTTCTGTTTATGGAGTCTTAAAAGAGGTAAAGCATATTAATTTTTTTTTAAGGGAACTATAACTTTAAGGGAAGATTCCTGAAAAGAATTTCAAAAGGAAATAAAAGACACTGTTCCCAATATGACCCAAAACATAAAATATTGTAATAATGATCTATATTTGTTACAATTAAAAAATAAACTTACTCTTTAGTTCTTTCTATTTGTTTTATCTGAATTTTTTGTTAGCTCTTGTTTAATAAATATTTTTAACATAGATGAACATAATGAATTTTGTAATATCAACATCATATATAACTATAAAATGTAATTTCAGGAATTTTTAGGGTACATACTTAAAGATGGTAGTCAAAATAGTTTTCATGAATATTTGTAATACTAAAATTAGATATAATTAAATATTTAATTACCTTCAAATGCTGCTTTTCTAGATCTGAGGTTTTGAGCTCTGTCTCTAGATCTTTTACCTTTTCCTTTAGTTTATCAGCATCTGACAAAAATATTATAATAATTAGACTCAGCTTTCTTCCACTTTGAATAAGTTTAAGGTAAGGATTTGTTTTCGAGAATAAGCAGAAAACTTAGGAAACCTATAGCATGGGAAATATGGCATTTTATGACTGAAACACTTCAGGCTGTGAACACCGTATATTCCTTCTATCAAGAATTGTAATTCCTTAGTAGCAAAAAGAAAAGAGGCATCTGCTAGCTATTAGAAGTGTAGAGTCAGGTTAAGTTTTTACGTGGAAGAAATTATAAGAAAAATCATAGAACGGGCCGGCCCGGTGGCGCACTGCTACAGTGCACCGCTTGGGAGTGCGGCGGCGCTCCCGCCGAGGGTTCAGATCCCACATACAGACCGGCCGCTCACTGGCTGAGCGAGGTGCGGGCGCAACGCCGAGGGTTACGATCCCGTTGCCGGTCCCGGTCCAGTACGGGCATGACACTGAGGGTTGCGATCTGTTGCCGGTCACGAAAAAAGACAAAAAAAAAAGGAAAAAAAAAAAAAGAAAAATCATAGAACCAGGAAAATTTGTTAGGTACTAAAAGTACAACGGCAGAAAAGTAGGCTATTATTGTAAGGGTCTGCAACCATAAACTGGTCAAATGCTCCTACTACTATTCCATGTAGGTCAGTAAACATTTATAGTACAATTACTATGTGCAAAATGTGCCAGGCAGGGTGTATAATTCAAAGATAAATAAGGCATAGCTCTGCTGGGAACATGTGGATTGGGTTATTCAAATTTTTCACTGTTCTGTGTATATCCACAAAGGCTCCATGAGTGTTGATTTTGGGGTTACAAATACAATTTAGTGAGGAGAATTCACAAATTCAGAATTCACAAGTAATGATTCAATTTTACATTGTGTATATAAGTATATACATTATACATGTATGTGTGTGTGATATATATACTGTGTGTGTTTATATACACAGATACATGCACATAGGAAGAGGGGAATGATTAGTAATCACAGTCACTTCTGAATGGGAATGGAAGTCTTTTTGCTTTGTAAAAGGAACAATGAAAAAATATAGGCAGTGTTTACTTATTTGTAGTATTTAAATTAATAACAAAAAAATTAGTAGTATTTAGATGAAATGCTCAGAGAGATGGAAAGGGCCTATACTTAGAAGCTGGAAGCAACAGACCTTGTATTCATTGCTTAGCACTGTATTGTGATTACATTTATAACACCCAGATGGAACACAAGGAGAAAAACATTTGGGTACTTGCTGCTCTGTAGTACAAAGGACTAAATGAGAGTATTTTTATAGCATGGAGGGACAACAGCTCTAAAACTTTATATCAGGGCTTTAATTGTATATGGAGATGATCAGAAATCTGAACAAACAAAAAAGGCAAACCCTAATTTAAAAACTTATGGTAACTAAGATTTTATAAAATACATTACCAGGGATGGTGCTTTCGGCTCCATTTTGGTCCTTGTTAACTTCTATCTGATGGATTAATTCTGCTTTTTCTTTATCCAGCTGACTATTAGCTAATCTAGAACACAATGATAATGTATTTAAAAGAAAAGAAAAACAAAAAGACATTGCTTTACAAAACACATGGGCATTTCTTATGAACTAGTCATGTACAGTCCTCAGAACATACTAGTATTTATCAAGGTAAAATTTACTTTATTTACTTGCAATGCTGCAATGCTACCATTCTCTAACAAAGCATGGAATCAAAAGTCTTCATGTTTTTCTTAATATCTGACATGATGTCATTTTCAAGAGTGGTTTTCTTATAAGAGGAGCCTAATGAAAATAGGTTGTGGACACCTGGAAGTAAAGAATTATTTCTTCTCTCTTTCATTAATATTTGCCTGTGGGTAGCTAAGTTTTAATTCATTCTATGCTGAGGAAAGTTTAAATTACAAACTGGGAAGTTATATTAGGATTGGGTTTAACCCTTTTTTTTCAGTATCTGTTATGTAAATGAGTATTTGGAATTAGAGGGATGAAATAAAGACCTGAGGAGCCTATTCGGCAGCAACGTTGGAAAATCCTAGTCTCTAGCTGTACCAAACCTGATTATATAAAAAAATAATAATTTTAAAAAAGAAAAAGGTAGTCATTTGAACATATAATGTACCTAAGAACTTGAAGTTCACGTTTAAGGCCTTGCTCTGTCCCAGCACCTTCAGGAACATGTTTGAGAATTTCAATCTTTGGGCACAAAGAAGAGTTAGAAGATAAAGTCTGACGTGGAAATATGAAGTTTCACAAAGATACATATCTTTAATAAAGCATAATATTAAAAGTTGGGTTTTCAAAAGCACACATAAGCAGATTTCTCTATTCATCCACTCAATAATTACTGAGTAACCAACCACTGCATGCTAGGCAATGTCCTGTGTACAGAGGATATATCAGTGAATGAAACCGGCAAAATCTCTTCTTGCATGGTCCTTACATGTAATGTGATATGAAGTGATAATAGTGCCAATGGTAAGAAGAGCTATCAAGAAAAATAAGGTAAAAGGACAGAGTGATGGAAGTTGGTATATAGGGTTAGGGTTAGAGTTAGGGGTTAGGGAAGTTCTCTGAGGAGCCTCCATTTAAGCAGAAACGTGGAGTACGGAAGTAAGCTATGAGAGGATTTGGGTGAATAATAATCTAAATGAAATAAGTGCAAGGATTTGAAGCTTGAATTCGGTTTGTTCAAGGATGGAAAAAAGGTTAATGTGGCTAATACATTGTGGATGAAGGGAAAAGTGGTGGAAGATGAGACTGGAGAGAAAACTAAGTGTCAGACCATGTATGTCCTTATAGGCTAAGAAAAGAACTAAGTTTTATTCTAGGGTGATGGAGAACCATTGGTAGACTCTGAGGATGAGACTGCTATGATTTGCTTTATGCTTTAAAGCATTGTTTGGCAAATGTATGGAGAACAGACCAGGGAGAAGGTGAAATGGTATAAGAGTAGAAGCTGACAGACTAGTTAGGAGATGACTGCAACTGTTCAGGTATGAGATGATAGCTTGGACAAGAATGGTTGTGATGGGTATGCTGAGAAGTGGTCAGATTTGGGATGTATTTTGAAAATATATCAATTTAGTAATGAAAAAGATACGGGGAATGACAAAGAATGAAGTCAATGGTAGAAGTTTTCGACTTAAACAAATGGGTGAATGTTGATGCCATTCAGTTAGATGGGCCTTCCAGGGAAAGAATTAATCAAGAGTTCATTTTTATCTACATAAGACAATGCACAGAGTGTCTTGAGATATAAAGCATTTTATTATGTAAAAAAAAAAAAAAAATTACATGCCTGTTGTTCGAGGTCTTCAGTGTATTTCTTAACTTTTTGTTCTCTCTCTGTTGCTTCTTTTACAAGCTGCTTCAGGTCAGTAATGCTTTGATTTTTTTTGGCAATATCAGTTTCCAAATCTTTCAACTTATTTTCATACATTCTAAAAGTATAAAGGAAAAAAAAAAGCATGACAAATAATTTCACTAATTTAAGTCAGTTTAAATAATCACACTAAAAATAAGCAAGAATATCCTATTATACTGTTTCTTCTAGTCAGACCTTCAGCTATATATTTCTTTAGCATCAAACGGTGATGGCATTCCTTCTTGGCCTTTTGGCTAAGATCAAGTGTAACAGGTGATGGCAAGTGATAAGTATCCCTAATTAATAAATGCACCAATTAAAGTAGAGGACTTAAATGTTTCCCAAGATTATAAACACAAATAGAGCCTAAATTTGACCACTGTAAAAGTTTAAAATTAATACCTTTTTTCAGTCACATAATGAGAAAATACAAAGTAAAATTCATCAGATTATCCAATTCTGTGTTACTAGATATACTTAGGAATATAAAGGTGGCAAATTAAAAGTTTTTATACACACAAACACATACACACATATACACACAGGAGGTATCCAGGTAGAAAAAAAACAGAGTGCAAGGCAGGCAGAAGGAAAAAAAATTGTGCAAAAGCATGGGTAGAGAAACAGTGTATGATGGTGGAGGGATGAAGCTTGTTAAAATCTGAATAGATTTGTAACCATTAAAGAAATGATGAATAACTTAAAAATATCCAGATTCCAAATGAAATTTTTTCAAGATTGAGCCAGTTTTACAGACACATCATACTTAAAAGAAGACAAAACTTAACAATAATCAAATTTTCCAGAGACAGAAAAAAATGGAATGCCTTCTAGCTAAGTGAAAAAGGCTAGCTAGTAAGTCTTTGGCAACAAAATCTGGTAAGGACAGTACAAGGAAGAAAAATTATGATTGTCCAAATACATTCAAATAGCTTTTGATAGATCTTAGAAACTTAGATTAGAAAAGAATGTTCTTAATCTGACAGACTACCAAAGATCTACCAAAGGTTAATGATCAAATAAAAGAACCTCACTCCTTCACTTCACCGAATTCTCTGTTCAAAAGCCACTCAAGCAGAGAGACTTTGTCTGATTACACTATCTAAAACAGTCCCCACATCACCCTGGCCTGTCCCAGAAGTCAGCATAAGACCTGACACAGAATGTGTTAATAAGTTTGCTGAGAAGATAACAGCCAACTATAACAATTTCAGCATGAGCAAAACCTGTGTCATGGGTCCCAAAAGAGGTATCTCCACACTGCTTTATTGAGCTGGGTGTAGAATCTTTTTTGTGGGGGTGGATTTTAGAAACCTGTAGGTCAAGGATGGGAATCAGCCTTCTCTCTGTCAAGATGTTTCTATTTGGACTATGTTTTCAAAATGGTTTACTGAACGCCTACTCAATGCTCAGTTCCCTGTACAATTCTCAGATTAAATATAAATGCTCTAAAATGCAAAGTTATCTTCAAGTATGGTAAAATATCATCACCCCTTCCAGCTGTATATAAACCTCAGAAACCCTTTTCACATTAACAAGTTCTTTTGCAGTCTCACAGAGCTCTTTTAGAAATAGGAAGACAGAGACCATTATCTCCACAGATAAAAAAAACTTGACCCCACAGACAGGGTATAATTTACATCCCCACAGAAAGGATATAAGTTACTTAGGGTCACAGTAAGAATTATGTTCCTCTAAGCCGTAGAAGCTACCTGGCTCTCTGAAGGAACCTAAGCAAGGTAAGCCTTTTAGAAATAACATCCAATGTGAAACAGAGTCTGGCAGTAGCAAGTACTGAGTAAATATATGGAAAATAAATAAATCTTAAAGTAACTCAAAATTCTTTCTGGGTCCATATGTGATTGTAGAAGGAAATAAAGGAACAAGCAAGAAATCAACTGATAGGGTTACTGGCTGAGTGCCACTGTTGGGGTCCAAGAAGACAAAAGAAGAGAACCCTCCCCCCTCCATATCATCATACTCGTTATTTCATTTAACCTTGATGCTAGCCTTCTGACAGAATAACTGGTCCCAGTTTTCAGATGGTAAAAGTGAGGGAGAAGAGTGGATTCTGACTACTGTAGGTATATAGTATTAGGACAAGAACCAACGACTCCTTCTCCAGGACTGCAAGGCCATCTGTGCTGCCCTCTAATGTACCTGCTTAATCTTTCTTTTTTCTCCTTAGACTTGGCTGACAGGCAAATGCAGTGCAGCAAGCCTACTGTGGGACTTGCTGTAGCCTCACAGTGCTAAGACTTCCTAGTTGTAGTGATAGTGGTTGCCATCTTGCCCCTCATTAAGGCCATTCCAAATAGCAGGTAGGGTAGATGAAGCTCTCAAAAACATCAAAGCAGAAACTGGATGCATGGACATAAGGAACTCTATGAAGAAGATGGTAAGATAAAGAGTTTTGTCTTTTGAAATAGGGACAGCAGATGCGCTGGAGAGTAAAGAACACAACTTCACACAGGATGGCTTTGATAGGAAAGGACATGGGCAGGATCCCATTGGTCACTGGCTTCCAGACTCCTTGAAGCAGCTGCTTAAAACTGGAAAGGAGAACGACACCAGAGCCCTTTACCAATTCTTCAGAATCATGACGGACCAACTGTGCTGACAGTGGCAACAAGAATATGAATGTTTACTCAACTCCTATTACCTCTTTCGTAGCTACAAAGATTAGTTTCACAGGCAGAAATCCCACATACTTACAGAAAAGTTTCATGGGGTGGGACAAAATAAAGTACCAGAAAACAGAAGCCAGTAAGACACTAAAGCTGCTGCTGAATTCATCTACCGGGGTTATCTGAAGGGAAAGTTGCCCAGGATATAACTCCAGAAGCATTGCTGCACAGCCCAGGCCCACTATGCCATAGGTTATGACAGGACAGCTCAATTGTTCCTGGTTTATCCTTAAGGTGGAAAATGAACTCAATCACAAAGGTAAGGTTGCAGTTGGAGAAAAGCAGCACCCAGGAGAAGCCAGGCAGCATCAGCCCAGGCTAATGGCAGGTTCATGATGCACACCCAGCTTCATGATGGGGTACCTGAGCCCAGCCCCAGCTCTGCTCTGCTCCATGCCATAACACCCAAACTAGTCAAACATTTTAAGGAAGAAAAAGAATCTTTGGCATGCTAGGACAGAAAAAAAGTGAATATGTTAATACAAACAACCAAATAAACTGTTCATGAGGAAGAAACTAGGTTATGCAGAATAGTGTCATCATTTTGTAAAACAATGACGCCAAAATTAGAACTGATTAAACTTAGTATCTAAGTATTAAGCTATTTATTCCTACCTTGTAACAACAATTGATTTCCAGCTCTTGCTGTCAGCACCTTCGAGCTGTGGACCTCTACTTTCTGCAATCTGTAATCTCTTACCAGTTTCTTCTAGTTGAACTGTCATCTTCTCATTTAATATCTCTAAATTATTCTTGGCTATCCGCAGTTTCTCTGCAGCTTCAGTTTCCTATCATCAAAAGCTACTTAGTATTTTATGACAATACATAATGTTTTTCTCATAATGTAATCAAAATTATCACTACAAATTGAAAAACAAAAAATAATCTGGAGTTCTAAATGCTGATTAAAATTTCAATAAAAATTCTGTATTTCCCTCTAAAACAGCAAAATGATTGTAATAAAAAGATTACATAAATGAGGTCATAGAAATATGTTTACAAGCATTAGTAGTCACTTTAAATTTGTCATTTTGTTTCTCTGCAATATTTTTAGAATAATGAGATAGTTTATGTCTTTACACATTTAAAAGATGCTTATTTTGATTCCCTAATACTTAAGAGACCTGACTATAAGCGCAAACTATGTGTAAGTAACGTAGATTATTTCCAATACTAAACATCCACCTTCAAAGCACAGTATACATCACTCTGGCCTCACAATACATTCAGATACTATTCTAACTAGTTTAAAAATATTAATTTCTATTTATTCACTAGATCCTCCCTATAAATAACAATACCTATTTGTCTGGAGCAAGGAATTCATTCTGCCATTTAAACAGAAATAAATCTTATTGTTTAACAAAACAATTTCATATATTCCTTACTGTGTATCAGGCATTGTTCTAACTCATGTGCACAGACATTAATTCATTTAACCCCCTCAGAAGCTCTGTGAGATAGGTATACTTATTATTCCCAATTTTGCAGATGAAGAAATTGAGGAATAGAGAGGAGTTAAATGGCTTGCCCAAGTTCCCATGACTAAAAAGTAATAGAGCTAGGAACTGAATCAAGACCAAGTAGCTTCTACATTATTCTGCCTCTACATTTATTAATATTTTATATCAATGTCCCTCATGGTGAAAGGATATGATGACAGGAGGCATAAAAATACAATTCCCAAATCTCTTAATGTCTACTTTGAACAGATGCTCTAATGAAGAATCCACTTTTGGTCTTTTCAAGATGTGTTAATTAAAATAAAAATTAATAATTATAATTGGTCATAAAGGTCATACTTTTTTAAGTTCTTTACGAAGTCTTTCATTTTCAGCAACAACTTTTTCTGTGCCTTTTGTCTTGGATTCGTAGTGCATGCTCAACTGACGTCCAAGATGAGCTTTAAGTTTTTCTAATTCAGCCTAGTAATTAAAAAACACTATACATTATCAAAACAAGGAAATAAAATAAGAGATGATCTTCTAAACTCATATAAATTAATTCATAACAGTTTTAGAGACTATAAGCTGATGACTTAAAAGAAAAAAACAAAACAAAAAACACTCCAACACAATACCTATGTTAGGATCCACCCCAAAATAATCAAATCAATCTCAGGGATGGGGGCTTGGGCATCTGTATTTTAAAAAATAGACACAGGTAGTTAATCTATGACACCACAGTGAGAAGCTTTGGTCTTGAAATAATAAGGAAGATCACATTGAGCTACTCTATAACTACCCTTAGCCTTGTCTCCAGTAAGTTTTTTCTGTATGTGTAAAATATGTACTGTATTCATTAAAGCTATTTTATATACTGTGATTATATTTAAAATTTTCCTAAAAAATTAATAAAAACTAAAATAGTAAAACAATCCCATAAAAATGATCATATTTAAAAAATTACCTTCAACTTTTCATTTTCCAGCTCAATATTAGCCATTTTTTCACTGGTCAATATTCCTGATGCTTTTTTAAACTGTTCATTTTCTCTTTGGACTTTTTCAACTACTTTTTTCATTAAACCAATGGTTTTTTCTAGTTCTGGAATTGTCTTTCCACTTCTACCAGACTACGAAAGAATATGTTAACTTTTTAATCAAACATTATAGAGAATATAATATAAATTACCAACAACATAATAGGCTCATTATTATACTCATTATTAGTAATTCCTGACATTTAATGCCAAAGCTTGTGTTAATTCAATTTACCCTTAAAACAACCCTATGAGACAGAAATTATAATTCTCGCTTTACATATAAGAAAACCAAGACTTACAGAATTTGGTATTTCTTTTTTTTTTTTTTTTTTTTTTTTTTTTTTTGTCTTTTTTCGTGTCCGGCAACGGATCACACCCCTCAGTGTCGCCCCCGTACCGGACCGGGACCGGCAACGGGATCGCAACCCTCGGTGTTGCCCCCGCGCCTCGCTCAGCCAGTGAGCGGGAACCGGTCTGTATGTGGGATCCGAACCCTCGGCGGGAGCGCCTCCACGCTTCCCAAGCGGCGCACTAGCGCAGTGCACCACCGGGCCGGCCCCAGAATTTGGTATTTCTAAAGTCATTCAGCTTAAGTAGTTTAGTCCTAATGTCTGATCCAAATAAATAAATCTAAATATTCTATCTAGTTAATGCTCTCCCAGTATACCAGTTTTCTTTTCATAGAATAAAACCACAAAAATGAAATTGTGTCTTTAAAGAGATCTGAGTAATAAAACTTTAATTGCAGCACAACAGAGGCAATTTTCTCTAAGAATAGACACCACTAAGAAATTCAGTTTCTGTGTAAAATAAATAGGAGAGACATCCAAAATAAAAAACCTTGTGTAAAGATATCAACAAAGATGGGTTATCAATAAGTTTAACTTCTTATAATTTACAATAAAAATAGTTTTTAACAGTTGAGTAAAACAGTATGCTTAAAATTTTTTGCTTTTTCATTAGTATTCATACTGTGCAATGAATGACCCTGAAATACAAGCTTTTACACAATTTTAATATATACTTTCATAATTAGACAGAAAAGGTCAAATTAGCACATATATTTTCATTTATAAAACAAATATTGCTGTCAGCAAGACACTTGTTCTGAATACTTTTCTAATAATACTCTTAGTATTTTCAATGAATCTACTATGTATTTAATATTATTACCTGAATGAGTTTCTGCATTATGATTGCTTCCATTTGTGCCACTCACCAATGTAAAATCAACAGGGACTTAAATCACTGGCCTTGGCCTCGTAAGCAACATTTATTCATTACAAAAAGTGAATACAAAATAACATGGGAAGAAAAATACAAGAGTACAAAAAAAAGGGAAACACATTTATAGTACGTTATTCCAAGAAGTTGCTGTGGATATCATAAAAAACAGTTTAAAATGTTAGAACTGGACCAAGGAACAGTTGTAGTTATCTCAATGAACAGGATTCCTGGAAGTTAAACGTTTTCAAGGTGTGACAGGATTCTTGGAAGTTAAATGTTTTCAGGGTGTGCAATGAAGAGAGAGTTCATATGGAGTATGAGTGAAATAAAAAGCATGTAAGGTGTACCAAATGATACATCAATGTTAAAATACATTAACTGAAACACAGAGGAAAGCTTAATGATGTTTTACATTATAGATGCAGCAAAATAAAAACTGAAACTAGAGGCACTAGTAAAGGAATATCACTACTGTTACAACATATATAAACTTTTCATTTCCAGCTTACCTATCACTTCTGAAACCAAAAAAAAAATTTTTTTTAAATATAGCGTATTCTCACATACTCACCCCTCTAACATGGCCAAGTTTCCGCTCAACTTCTGCTTTTTCTTTCTTAAGAAAGTCACACATTTCCTTCAAATCTCTTACTTGATTCTAAGAGATAAAAGCAAACATAAACATTTAACATAGGTATAGCCACTGAAAAGGAAAGGCAAAATCAGAACTATCAATCTCTTCAACTGAATAGTTTAACTAAACAACTGGGTCTCTACACCAACAAAAAAGATTTTGAACTAAGACATGTTCAATTTATACAAGAGTATTTTGTATATGAACTGCCAAGAAATATTTTCCACTTTATTGCTCTAGTATACAATATAAATGAGTTTAGAACTCTGATTTTAAATGTCCTATAAATTATACATGTAGCTCCTTATCCATGTGGTATAGAGAAAAAGACAACTGAACTTCTAACACTCGTATTATCAGTGTAAAAATCAGACTGAGAAGCAGGATATAGCTGTTATATCATCAGCAGTGGAATTAACAGACTGCTAAATTTTAGGTTAGAAAACAGAATTTAAACAATTAGCCAAGAGAAAAAAAGATTCCCATAAAATAGGATAAGATTTGAAAAATCAAAGATAAAAAACTTATTAATACCAGAATAAAGTAAAATTTCTAAAAGAAAAAATTATCTTTATATTTTAAAGTATGATAATTGTTAATGAAATATGCCAATTATCCTCCCACCTCAGGACATTTGAATTTGCTATTTCTGCTGTCTGGAACTCTTTTTCTAGTATCTGTATGACCCATATCCTTACCTCTCTCCCCTAGCTCTCTGTTCATAATCATCTTGTTAAGGAAGCCCTCCTGACCACCCTATTTTAAATCTCATTCCTCCTCCCCACTAAAATCACGCTTTACTTTTCTCCCTAGCACTTAACATAAGCTGACATACTATATATTAACTTTTTACTTGTTTATTGTCAGTCTTCCCCACTAGAATGTAAGTTCTATGAGTGCAAGAATTTTTTGACTGCTGTTTCCCAGCACCTAGAACAATGTTTGATACAAAGTAGGCTCTCAACAAATAACTGTTTATTTTATTTCATCAAATATACAATGTAGTTGATTTTAAATGACTAAATGTATAAAGTATAATACCAATATGATATTTTATGAATATGTATTTTTGACTTCTTTTCTTTATAAGACAATATTAGGAAATATAATAACTCAGTGAGGCAAGGGGTTTTCAAGCATTAGATTTCCTAACTACATAAAGAACATTATGTTTACCTTTAATCTTGGCAAATCTTTATTTGCTTGTTCAAGCTGAAATTTCAGTTCAATATTTTCAGATGACAACTTCAAGTTTTCCCTTTGAAGCTCATGCTCTTTCTGACAGTGATCATCTGACTCTATTCCTGAAGTCTTTGGAAAAACAAAATTAGAAATATTTTTAAAGTTTAATAAATAAAAGCCACAAAAAATACTGAATAAGAAAATACTATATCAAAAATAAATTTTCATCAAAGGAATATGAGAAAATTGGAGAGCACTAGAGCAAAACAAAAACAAATGTTAGAATATAAAACTTGCTTGAGAAAAGGTAAATATGGTTTGCTTTAATTAAAATAGAAAACAAAGTCAAGTATAAAGTCCACACATGTAATGCCTTCATATATACTCTCATAATGGTTATACTAATTTTTGGTGGTTAGACCAAAATAAAGTATTATTGTTATCCACCTGTTATGGGTTGAATTGTGTTGCCCCAAATTCATATGTTAAAGTCATAACTTCCAGTACCTCAGAATGTGACCTTATTCGGAGACAGGGTCATTACAGAAGTACTCAAGTTAGGGCTGATCCCGTGGCTCACTCGGGAGAGTGTGGCGCTCCTGCCACGGGTTCAGATCCTATATAGGGATGGCCGGTGCGCTCACTGGCTGAATGCGGTGCGGGCGACACCAAGCCAAGGGTTCTGATCCCCTTACTGGTCACAACCCCCCACCCCCCCAAAAAAAGAAGTACTTAAGTTAAAATGAGGTCATTAGGGTGGACCCTAATCCAGTATGACTGGTGTCACTATAAAAAGAGGAAATTTGAGAATGTGGACATAGAGACATGCATAGAGGGAAGAAGACATGAAGAGACAGGGAGAAGATGGCCATCTATAAGCCAAGGAGAGAGACTTGGAACTGATCTTTCCCTCACAGTCATTAGAAAAAACCAATCTACCAACACCTTGATTTTGGACTTCTAGTCTCCAGAACTGAGAGACCATACATTTCTGTTGTTTAAGCCACCACATCTACAATACTCCGTTACAGCAGCCCTATCAAACTAATACACAAGGCTATGAAAAGAACTGCCTCAATTCCTTCCTCATTCAGAAAGCTTTTCCTAATTCCTTAGGCTAAAGCAGTCCCTGCTTTCCTCTGAAATCCATTAACAGTATCTAGTACTTGCATTTCTTTTGGCATAAATCTACCTTGGGTTATTATTTATGCTCATTACATCTCATTCTAAACTCTAAGTTACTTGAAAGAGATGTCTGTGCTTTATTATTTTTTCTATAAATTGAGTAGAATACCACCTATCTCATAGGATTATTATAAACATCATATGAAATAATTTTGTGAAAGTACTCAGGACAGCTTTAGTTTTTCCTCCTCCGTCCCTTTCTCTCTCTACTGATTTCATGGGCTATAAAGTCAGTAACTCTGTGGACATTACAGTTCTTAAAATATATTATTATTATAAACATACCTATTACACGTCTCTATAACATCTTTCTACGTAGTAGGTTAAATACTTTGTATTACTGTTCTGATATAATCACGCTTAGGTTAAAAAAGGTAAAGAAATACAAATACACATATTTTCTTAGGTAAAATGTAGTAAAAGTAAAGAAATCACAAAGTAGGATACAAAAGTAAAGAAATTCTGGACAGACGTTTGACTTTGATCTGAGGCATGTAACAGAACACTGGCAGAAAGACTGCAATATCCACCTGATTTTTGTTTGAGAAAATATATACACATATGCACAATATGTAGGGGCTAGAAAAAAAAGACAGACATTTTTGTTGATGTCTGTAAACCACAGGAATGTGTTCTCATTTATTCAAGAAACCCAAGTATAATTACGATTCTACTATTGTTAAGACTAGGCAAATCCTGCCATATTACAAGATTGTCAATTTTTGCATCTTATGGATAAAGGTAGAGGATAATTTTTAAGGTCTCTTCAGACATGGAAATCTATAATTCCCTGTCCCTGAGTTCTTCTGTCTCCCTAACTTCCTCTCTTCTGTCTGTGATAGCTATTTGATTCAATGAATGATAATGAATGAACAGATGTAAAACAAATTAAATATCACTCACAAAAGAGAATATTCTATTTGGTGAAGATCTCACATGAGGGTATTTTTAACATACTTTTCCTCACTAACATATAGCATAACACATGGTAAAAACACTACGAAAGGCCCCTGCTGTTGTGACTCACATCTGCAGCTATGTGTCCCTTTCCTTCGTCATTCTTGCCTATCTTTTTCTGTTCCTTGTCCTTATGTTCCTGTTTATCATTTCTCACAACATTTTTGATTAATTTTCTCAACAGTAGGACTTGGTTCATTTTCAAAATTGGAGTTAAAATCTGCCAAGGTATCATTTGTTGACCTAAATGGACTTGATTTATTGTTTGGTCTTGCCTCAGATTTATTTAAGTCAGTAGGATCTACAACATCTTCTGCTTTGTGGTCTTCACTACTGTAATACCAGAGAATATTTCTAGGTACCCAATGATGTAGGTTGTCACTGGCATCTATTCCTTTCCTATTTTTAATTCTGAGTACTGTTCTAGGTTTTGTTTCCCCTTGAATAAAGAATTTTTGTGAAAAACATTACACCTGTATTTATTAACACTGGTAATAAGGGTTACCAGATTCAGTTGTGTCATATAACAGATTCTGCTTGAAGTAGAAGAGAAAAAACATGAAAGAGAAAAAATATAAAAACTATATACACTGAGTATTTAAAATGAGATCCAAGAGTTCCAGTCAAGATGGCGGAATACACAGTCCCCAGCGTCACTCTGTCCCACAAGTCAACCAATTTACAATTATAAAAAGGTAACATCAGCCAAACTGGGGCCACTGGAGCTCAGGGGAAGAGGAGGAGAGACCTATGGAGTTCATAAAGGGGGAGAAACCATGATGAGAGAAAGAAAAAACTGCTCTGAGTGTTTCGGACCACAGCCGCTTTAAGGCTGGAGCTGCTGAGCAAGTGGAGCAGGAGCCAGCAGAAGCCCCAGCTATGCCCTTCAGATGGAGTTACTTGGAGACAGCAGGAGAGAAGAGGGCCTTGGCGGCCCCTAGGCCAGCAAGAACACTGATAGGGTTCCTGTGGACCCACGTAAGAGTGAGGACACAGAACAGCTGTACAAGGGGAGCCATGCAGAGGCTGGTGAGTCATTGCAAGAGACCAGTGCAGGGCCCGCCCCATGGGAAGTGTTTAGAGCACGGGCAGTGGGGGAGACAGGCCCATCGAGAGAACACTGGGACACAGCAAAGACAACCGACCCACCCCCCAATCAGTGCAGGGCCACTCAGAGGAGACTGTCAGGAATGAAGAATTGGATGGGGTGCAGTTTAATGAAAAGACTCAGGCCCAGATCAGAGTTTCTACACAACCAGATCCACTGTGTCTCTAGAGAACCGGAAGTACCTACAAGGTCAACCATTAAACCCTGAGCTGAACAAATAGCCTTCCCTAGGGAAACAGCAGCAAAGCAGCAATTTAGTTCAACCACACAGCTCAAGTACTGGTTCCCACAGAAAGTTCCCCCATTTTAGAAGTAAGCAAAGGACAAAAAATTAGTTCCGGCCCAGGCACAACACCAGCGCCTTGGGGCCTGCCTGGGAACGGGAAGCTTGCAGCCAGGGACTGGACCCCACTCCCACATCCAGGCACAACACACCAGCACCTAGGGGCCCGCCCAGGGACCCAAGGAATTGAGAAGGTGACTGGATCCCACTCCCACATCCAGGCACACCGCCAGCACCTAGGGGCCTGCCTAGGGACCCAAGGCATGGAAAAGGGGACCAGACACACCCCACAACCAGGCACACTGCCAGAGCCAAGGAGCATGCCTAAAACATCACCTCCACGTGGGTGGCCCACCACAGCCACCACAAGAACCATGGCTGCTGCAAAAGTGGCTAGACACCACAACCACCACGCAGACAGTCTAGCAACCACTAGAGTGCACTGATACAAGAAGGGTCACCAGCAGAGATAAAGAAAAGAAGAGGATGTCTCTCTCCACATTTCAGAGTGACAAAAGAAGCATCTGTTCTATGATAATATTGGTGCTGATCACACCTCTCAGCATTGGACAGATCATCTAGGCAACAAATCAACAGAGTAACCATTGTTCTTTCAGAAGGAGAGAAGAAATCTAGGGTAATTAGAGGGGGGAGGGGGCGGGAGACGGGGATGAGGAGAGATTGGACAAGGGGCATAAAGAATAATTAACAATTTGTAACAATATATGTACTAGTGATATTGATTTGATCAACATATCTCAAATGTTGAACCCCCAAAATATGTATAATCAATTTTGACTCAATAATTAAATTAAAAATTTAAAAAAAATTAGATCCAACAAACGATTCTACATTAATGATAAATGAGTTTTTGTAAACTAGAAATAAATCATACATATTTTAATGAAAATAGTGCTGCAACATATTTTCCTATTTTATTTAATTGTATGCTCCTGCCAAAGCAAAATTTATAATTATCCCTACATTAAGAATCATAAATTTACTGTTATTATGTGAGAAAAGATTACAGAAGCTATTACATTTCACTATCTAGTAAAAATAAAAGCTGAATTTACTGTATTAATATTGAGAGAGATCCAATGTTTCTGACCAGATAAAGTAAGAAGTTGATTTCACGTTTATACATTTAAAAATAGGAAAAGGAAAAGAAAGAAAAGGTATACACTTACTGAAGTCCTAGAATATGCATCCTTTGAAAACTGTTTTTCTAAAGCATGAAGTTTTTCTTGAAGGTATCTATTTTGTAAACGTAAATCTTCTACAACAGAATCTCGAGGAAGAGCTTCATGGGTCCTACGAACAACAACCACAGATATTTTAGTATTCAAACTTCAACTTTTCCCTGTTTTACTACATTAAAATACAGAAAAGAAAGAAAAATGCAATGTGTTTATTAACACTGTATTAATTTCAAATTCTTCAAGACTTCCAAACTTTACAAACAATAAACTAAAACCATCACGATTTTATATTATAAAATAATCTTGCACTTTTCACAGGATTCACTAAAGGGCTCCCTTAAAAGCATGAGTTAAAAAGTGTGTTTTGATTTCTAGAAATACATCAACATTTTTAAAGAACATGCATCTATTTATATGGAATTATATAAGACAGTTAAATTAAAATACCCAGTTTTTAAAACATTATATAATAATTGCATAATACCCATGTCCTTCTCAAGATGCAAGGATCTAAAAACGCTCTTAGTGGTTCCAGAAAATAATCTGTTACTTCAAGTCTAAACTCATCTGGCCTAGGCCAAATCCCTCCCTAATCTGGCACATCCACATCTATCCAACCTTTTTGTCCAGAAGTTTATCTTTACTTAGGCAAATAAATCCACTCATGAAACATATCCACACATAAAACATTCACTCTTGCCTCTATGTTTCTACAAGTGTTCTCCTTTTTTGAAATGTCCTTCCTCCTTTTAATATTTGAATCTGATGAATAAAATTCAGAAATTCAAGCTTCTTGAATTCGGAAAGAAGACAAGTTCAATCCTTATAAAGTCTTCTCCAATTACTTTGGGCCACACTGATTCACATTTTTTAAAAAAGCCTCTGAAACTATCAGAAGCTTTCAAAACTAAAATGATGTGATCCTTGAGAAAAATGCAAAGGAGAATAAAAGGGTTTTGCTTTGAACATATGTTTAGATGAAGAAAAACAAGGAAGGGAAAGATGCACTGCTTGGACCAGACAGTAACCATAAAGAGATGTTAAGAGAAAGAATTCCTCAATCATTTTTCTTTTCCCTATAAAGGAACATTCTGAAGGATTTAAAAAACATTAACTTAGAAGGAAAGGAGATGGAATGTAGGTTAGAAGCTCGTGAGCGTTCCTTTAAGGGAGTTCAACTTCGTAAGTTCACATCACATCCATACTGTCGCAGTAGTAGAAATTAATAAAGAAGCACTAACGGTAACTTCTGAAGATTAATTTTAAAAAGTATGATAAGTGTACAAAGGGTAAATATCCTTACATCAAAATATTACAGGTAAGTACCAGACATTGACAATGATTATTAGCATGATTACATATTGTTTGTAAGCACTTAAAAGAAATAACAAATGGGCCGAGCCCATGGCGGAGTGCAGCGCTGGGAGCGCAGCAGCGCTCCCGCCGCGGGTTCGGATCCTATATAGGGATGGCCAGTGCGCTCACTGCATGAGCGCGGTGCGGCCGGTCTCAAAAAGGACAAAAAAAAATAAAGAAATAACAAACTACCTAAAATTAACCTAAGTTCATCCTGAGAGAAATAAGTGAAACAGATAATTAGAAATAATTTTAGTTATTGTTAGGACATTTTGTTTTACTTTTCATGAGCATCACTATCTCAAAATACGTAGCTTGGAAAGAGACAGCAAAACAAACAAACAAAATCTCAAAGGGTCTGCTAAAAAATGACACTGGGAGTAAGGGATTTGGTTCCAGGTACAATGCAGTAAACAGTCAATCTCGCTTCTCCCAAACGCAATGAACAGCTATTTGAGGACTTTGAAAAGTAAATAGTACAAGGCAGATTGGGATAAAATACCAGAAACTGAAGTTATCAGCAAACAGGTGATGAGTTTAGCCTCTAATTTCTTCTGTTACTGCCTGGCCTGAATACATTATTTGAAACCTAAAGGTGGGTGTCAGCACCGAGGGAGAAAGTTCCAGGGAAGGTTTCCAGTTCCAGTTCATGTAAGGAGAAAGGGAACTTCGAACACTCACAGATAGTACAAAAATACCTCATTATTTTTCTCTCATATCCATTCTCTCATGTCCCAGCCCTCATGCAATCCCATGGTGGTGGTTGCAGAGGCTGCAATGGGAACCCACAGGAGCTAAAATTTTTAGAGAGGGGAAACTTCTTCTGCAATTAGTAGAGCTAGAGCTGTGATACTAAGGAGTAGGGAGAAAGTAGAAGTTTTTTTTTTTTTTTTTTTTTCCCCTTTCCGCCTTCCTGTTGCTTTCTTGGCTGCGGGTGTGTGCAACTGCATAAGTGCACTGTATAACTGCATAAATAAAGCCTCAGATTTCTGTAGGAAGCACCAAAATGGGGAGCCCTAGGGAACTCAAGTATCAGAGATTGCAGAAAGGTAAGAGCTCAAGAAAGGGACCCTATAAAGTTGTTTATGAACTTCTGAACTCACTCTTGAGCTGCACATGAATAGATCTCACCCTAATCAGAATACCAAAGATTCTAAGAACTGAACTAATATAGAACATAGACCACATACGAGACTGTCAACCAGGAGGTGCACAGGCAGAACAGATCCAAATAGCACTGTAAAGGCTTTGAAAATGGAACTGATACCGGAACCACAGCCCACAGAAAGAGGGTTGAAACTTGTGACCTGAACCTAATCAGACGGATTACATGCTAAAACAAAAATATCTATATTTTCCACAGAATTTAAACAAGATCCAGAGTCTCACAACATAATATTTAAAAGTTCAAGAATACAATCAAAAATGATGTGGTATACAAAGAACCAGGAATATCTCAACTCACATGAAAAAAGACAATCAACACAACCTAAGCTTAAAATAACACACATTTATTATTTCCATTTCTTGGGTCAAACAGTTTTTGTTCATTATAATGGGTGGTACATTTCCATGTAATAGCTTACCTCATATATAATATGTCATTTTCTAAGTCACGATTTCTCCTTTTTAATTCTTCCAATTCTTTTTCTGACTCTAAAGCTCGCACTCCTATAACTTGATCAACTGTCATACCGGTTGTTTTTAGTTTCTTCTGCAAAGTAAGTTTCTCTTTATCAGCTCTGTGGAATTTAATATAGAATCATGAAAATATATCATTCAACTGTTTGGTTTGTTCGATATAACTACTATGTTCAATATAACTATATGGTAATATATTCAATATAACTACAAACTACATAACTTCCAGGTCAATAAAATATTTTACACATAATTAGTTTTACAATGAAGTTTAAACTTACTTGGCAAAAAGATCCTTCAAAGTATTCAACTGCTTTGTTAGAGTACAGACTTCCCCCTCTTTCTCTTTTAACTTATTTCGAATTCCCTCTATTTTGGTTTGCCATTTTTTACCTTCTTCCCACCTAATTAATTCTTCTCTAGCACTCTGTAAATAATAACAATGGAGGTAGAAAATTACTGGTATTATTGTAAATTTCATTGTCAGATTTACCAATTACAATTTACCTAGAAAAATAGCAAACCAATAATACATCCTAGAAATTATGTAAATAGGTTCGTTTTGCTTTGTAATTTCTAGAATCTTTACACGTGCCAAACTATTAGCAAAAATGCCCTTCAGTCTAAGTATGCTTTATTCTATCACTTGACAGATCGAATTCTGGGTGATAATTTTGACTAAAGCCAACACTCTTAAAACAGTCTTTAAATGAAGATTCCAATACATAAAATCATGACTACAGTAAGCTTCTAACAAAGAACCTTATGCATAAATGACCAACCCAGTCTTGTTACCCTATGACAATCTTCTAGCATCAGAGATTCTTCAAGTTGGTCTTCAATGCACATTACTTCATTCATTCAACAGATTTTTATTTATTCCTAACCACAAGCCAGGTACTACTCTAGGCACTAGGAATAGAAACTGAATAAACCAGACGAAAAGCTATATCTTCATTAATCTTACAATCTAGTTTATATAGATTGGTTGGGTAGATTGGGGGCAATGAAACAAAATATAGATAACAAAACAAGAAAAAACTAAGTATATTTTGTAATAAGTTAGTTTAAGTGCTTAAAAATTAAGATGGGAAGGAAATTAGGGCATTTCAGGGGTAGGCGTCGTGGTTTGTTTTTATTGAGATAAAGGAGCCAAAGAAAGCCTATGTAATGCAGAATAGTTCCATGTACTAAACAATGCCCAAATGTTCTACTGGATATTCATATAGTTAAATAGCATGCTCATAACTGTCTAAGCTAGGAATTTATCTACATTTCACATATTAACACCAGGAAAATTTTTAGTGGCTTTACTATACACTGAATTTTCTAAGAATACAATGGCCTTATAAAGAAGGAAAGAATGTAAACACTGTTTTGCTGAGAACTGTACCAACAATTGTTTAGCATTTTGGAAATCAAATTACAAATGGCAATGCAATCCTGACATATGAGCTGCCAACAGAACACATTTGTATCAGTCTGTATTTGTAGCTTTGAAGTCACAGTAATGCCGTGTAAAGGTACCCTTAAGAGTATGAGTACTTCATTGTTTTCTAATGTACATATTGAAATATGATAATATGCATATTATTATTTTTATGTTATTTTCCTTTTATGTTTCTCCTATATATTTAATTTAGGACATTTATAATATTTTTTAAATTATGCAAGTAGAGTTTTACTTGGAATAGTAAAGGGGGCATTATGAAACATATTTACGATAGATAAAAAGGAACGTTGGGTTTGAGAGGGTTGAGAGCTATGGTTTAAAGCCAAATTCCCAACTAAGATGAGTTGTCCTATCAAAACTATCTTCTCCAATACTCTTTTCCAGTGCTGATCAATGTTTTAGCTTATTTATTTCAGCTAACAAGTTTCCTTTAAAAAGTGCAAAAATTTCAGTAAATGGTTGAGAGTTATTAATTTATTTTTTTTCTGAAATATGTACAAGAAATTACCTGTACTCCCAGAAATGCAAATACTAGTTGGGGGCATAAAGTATGTTAAATAAATAATTCTGTAACATGAACTGTTTTGTTAGGATCTGGCAATTCTATCCACCTGACATTACTCCCTAAATTAAGATCAAGGGAAGCAAAGCTAAGAGAAGAATTTTAAAATGAACAGAAAAACAGCAAAGGCTAATGTCATCAAGAGTCTGCTCTTGCCCAAGGGAAAAATGGGAGAAGAGAGGATGGGAGAGAAGTTCTGATTTCATATTTTCTGTACCAAAAGCCTCTTATGCAAACATTTTATAATATTACAGTATTTAGGGCCGAGCCCGTGGCGCACTTGGGAGAGTGTGGCGCTGGGAGCACAGCAGGGCTCCTGCCGTGGGTTTGGATCCTATATAGGGATGTCCGGTGCGCTCACAGCACTCACTGGCTGAGCGCAGTGTGGCCGGTCTAAAAAGGATAAAAAATTAAAAAAAATAAAAAATAAATTACAGTATTTAAGATTTTTCATTCATTTAACAAATACTGAAAATCTACTATGTGCCAGGGACTGCTCTAGGTGCTGGGAATGCAACAATGAACAAAACAGGCAAAGCTCCCCATCAAAGCTTACAGCCTAGCAAGGATAGTAAGGATAAACAAAAGATGAACACACAGGTAATAAATATCTAGTATGTTCAGATAGTAATAAATGATTTGAAGAAAGAAATGCAAGGCATGGGGGTGGGTTTTGTTTTTACGTAGACAGGCTACAAACACTGTTTATGGAGAAAAAGGTACTGAAATTTCCACTCAGTATAAACACATTCACTGAATATAAAGTAGAAACCCCAAGCGCTATAGAATCTGAAAGAATATTCTTACTAGATTCCTGGATATAGTTTTTAATACTGGTATTGCCCTCTGTGTTCTCTTTCTTTTTCTAGTTAGTAATAATATCTTACACTGGTATGGACTTGATGGCTTATATAAGACTTTCATGTATTATTTCACTCGATTGTAAAATAATTTTGAGAAATTGGCAACGCAGATTATTATTTCCATTTTAAGGAGGAAGAAACTGAAGCACAGATGTTAAGAATCCAGGCAAAGCCACAGGCTACTGAGGTATTCTGATAGGAATCAGGTTAGGAACTAAAATCCAAGGATTAGACCTATCTATCTCCAATTAGTGAGGTAGTGAAGACAGCAATCCAGATGAGTAAGGATATTTTGAAATTCTAGTTTTCACCAGCAAAGCTTCCGAAAGCAAGCACGTTGTTGCTCCATGCATACAAATGCAAAACTTTTCAACAAAATTATACTGACACTGATGAATTTTCATAGAGAAAATATTTTTTGGAGTATACTCTATTAAAATATTTTAATTCCATTACATACTTTCTATTCAGTGCCATTAAAGACAATTTTCTATTTTTGTTACTGAAATTATTTTATAGATATTGCATATTTTCTGGGTAAATATTACAATAAATTTTTTTCTAACCATAGCTCCTCCACAGTGGTGTTCTTCATGGGCAAATTACTATACTGTACTAACACTAACATTTCCCAGGTCACATGTGATATTTTCAATATAACCAACAATGTATGTCCAGTTTATTGTTCATAACAAGTTTTAATTATATGCATTTTAGCCAATTTTAGTTTTTCTTTGAATTGATTATTTCTATCAGTAATTTTTATGACAAAACACTTTACTAGTTAACCTGTTAGAAAATTTTATGCAATTTTCTTCACATTACAGAATCTATGAGCACATTGGCTATTGATTTTTACTGCAAATACTGAATATATTCCAAATCACTTTGTTTACCCTGAAATAATAGTCCAGTCTACTGAAGGACAAAAAGGACACAGTTGGGTCAAAGTAGAGGTCTTAAAATACCCAGCTTTCTGTCCCAAAGGTCAAAAGCACCAACACAAATAAATAATCACATTGAGGAGAAATAATAAATACAGTTGGATATATATATAAGGTGCAAAGAAAGTACTCTGGAGATGCTCTAATGTCAGGAAGATGACATGCAGATGAGGTAGTAATTTCCAAATAAGAGTTACATATAGGTGTCTTCTCAAATGGACTATAAATTCCTAAAGGACAGAAACTTGTCTTAGACTTCTCTCTGTTATATAGTACTGCTTACAGTATGTATTGGGTCCTCAAATTAATATAGTATATTATCTGTTCATCAACTACATGTTTAACTTACTCTATTACAACCTTAAACATATTAATCATTATGTTTCTTCACATACCTTTTCTTTCACAGGTTTTATGTCTACTTCATCCACCTTTCTTTCTACTTGGCTTTCTAGTTTTTTAACTTTCTTTTGGAGTTCTTCAATTAGACTTTGTTTGTTATCAATTAGAGGTTTACCCTGAAAAAATAAGATGTATGTTTATATTCTACAAATAAATATCAAACAAAATACACAATAAATATTCCAATTATAAAAATTTTCTGAAGCTATTGCTGACCAGGCATTCTAAATGACACTCAATATGTAACATGCTAGGGGCTTCTGTATTTTAATAAGATATGCTACTTGAAGAACTATAAATATACTACAGTTCACTAAAAGAATTAGTTATATTAATCAAAGTGATTTAAAAGCCAGTTTTAGGAAATGTTATAGACAAAATAATAAAGTAAGAATAAACTACTACTTATATATTTTAAGTCAAAGACATATATCCTAAGAACTACAAAAACAGATATACTACTACAAAGACATATGTACTACTCACATATTGTAAATCAAATTATCAGAATTAAATATGAAATTACCTGTAGTCCACTGGCTAGTCTTTTAATTTGCCTTTTCAGTTCATCATTCTCTTGATCAATTCCTTCTTTCTCTCTAAGTATTTTATTATAGGCTTTTTGCTTTTTTTGCAGTTCATTGTTTAAGTCATTCAAATTATCAGCTAGTGAGTTCTCTCTGTTTTTACTTATTTTCAGAGATTCTTTCAATTTTAAAAGATTTTCATTTAAATCTTCAATTTGTGACTAATAAGAGATAAAGAAAGATTTTATTCATGAATTTTCATCAAGTATTATTGATAAAAGCAACATAAAACATAAAGTATACCATTAATACTTATTAAAAAGAAAACTTCAATCTAAAATTTTAAGTATACAAAAAAAAAAACAAACCCACAAGTACATATATTTTTTCATGTTTATGTTAAATCAACCAAGTCTACTTGGGGGGAAAAAAACCCCAAAATAGTCTAAAGCAATTCATCTTCAACAAACACCAGAAACAAAATTTTATCAAATAAGCAAATGTTTCATTATGGCTGAATTAATTAAAGAAACAAGTGTATATCAATGTACACGGCAATGTTGTAAACACTATGAAGCATGAGTAGTACAAAACAAGATTTCTGACTTCAACTAGTGTCTAATCTGGTTTATAAAGACATTACGCAGGGCCGAGCCCATGGTGCACTCGGGAGAGTGCGGCGCTGGGAGCACAGCAGCGCTCCCGCTGCGGGTTCGGATCCTATATAGGGATGGCCAGTGCGATGTGCTCACTGGCTGAGCGCGGTGCGGCTGGTCACAAAAAGGACAAAAAGAAAAAAAAAAAAAGACATTATGCAGAAGAATAACTTGCAATACCAGATAGTATATATAAGCCACCAGAAAGGAGTTCCAAGCAGTCCTCTACAGTGACAGTGAAAGAAACTAGGCCAAATATTATTACTAATAATACTAACAGGAAATTAGCATTATTACTTATGTGGTTAGAAGAAAAACATAATCTGTCCTGGAGAAGTCAAAAAGGCTTCAAGAAAAAGAACTTGAAGAATGCGAAGAATTCAGAGAAGACATTTCAGGCAAAGAGAAGGTATTGAAAAAGACATTAATAAAGAATTATTCCTGTTTATTTATTTATTTAATACATTTTTACTGTCTATTATGCCTATAATCTTGGCAGGTACAATGCAAGATTTTAAAAATTTGAGTAAAATCTAGTCCTTACAGTTTGATGGTGGAGAAGGGAAGGTACAAATAAACCGAAAGTAAATCAAAATTACAAATAAAAGAAAACAAGTAGAATTTTTATTTTACTGTTAATATACTATATTAAACTTGTGTAAAAATTTGAAAATCATTATGAAATATATATGTTTTGGGAAAAAAGTTTAAATTAAAAACCTAATAATCAAGTAGAAAAAAAATATATTATCAATATATAAATAGAGGAAAAAAAAAACAAAATGCTTCGAGGTCAGGCAGCTATATCAATTAAATGTCTCAAAGACTTCATGCATGATTGTCATGAACTTTTTCAGAGGAAAAAAGGAAGCTAATTAACTCTGAACTAAAAAAATCTAGACAGAAATTCTGATAAGGCAAGAAGTAAAACAAACAAAAAGATCTACACACTTTTCTTACTTATCAATACAGAAGTAAAAATAACAGTTTTATTCATAATTGCCAGAGCTTGGAAGCAACCAAGATGTCCCTCTGAAAGTGAATGGATAAATAAACTGTGATACATCCCTACAAAGAAACATAAGTCAGTGCTAAAAAGAAATGAGCTATCAAGTTGTGAAAAGACATGAAGGAATCTTAAATGCATACTACTAAGTGAAACAAGCCAATCTGAAAAGGTTACCAAATATATGATTCCAACTAAAAGACATTCTGGAAAAGACAAAACTATGCAGACAGTAAAAAAAAACAAAACAAAACTGGTTTCCAGGGAAAGGAAGGGGATAAATAGAAGATTTTTAGGGCAGTGAAAATATTCTTTTTGACACTATAATGATGGATACACATCATTATGCATTTATCTAAACCTACAGAATATACAATACTAACAGCTAATGTAAAGTTGGATTTTGGGTGATATGATGTATCAATGTAGGTTCATCAACTGTAACAAATGGCCACTCTGGTAGTGGGTGTTGATAATGGAAGAAGTTATGCATATGGAGGCAGGGGACAGACAGGAAATCTCTGAACATTCCTCTCAATTTTGCCATAAACCTAAAACTGCCCTAAAACAAATAAAGTCTTAAAAAAATCCTAAGTAAAATATTTCTTAAATTTAATTCTTTTAGGAAGAGTGATAAAGCCTATCCTTTCCTAATCCCCAAGATGATAATCAGTACATGAGTATCATAAAAAGACTTATTATCAAAAATGTATGAATGTATGTATATCTATCCACCAATAATTCATATAAATTCTCTATTCATTATCAAAATTACTATACATCAAAGTGGATTCTCTTCCAATGGGAATTATCAGAAATTTTGTTATATTAGTATATGTGCTGATGTTCACCTTTAGCTCTTTAGTATGTCGATCAACAATTTGTTGAACATTGAGATGTGCCTCTTTCTGAGAAGTTGCAGAAATAATACGTTCTTCAGCTGTTGCTGTCATTTCTGCCCGGAGTTCCAAAAGTGCTCGACTAAGTGCCTAAAAATTACAACATATACAAACGTTTTTTAAAGGAAAATTGTTATTTTACATGAGCAATATATAATATAAAAAATAAGCAAGTTTATTACTTTCTACAATTTTCCTAAAATATCATGTATTTAATCAAACATACTTTACAAACAACCCAAATTCCTCAACTGAATTTCCTCTAGTAATTACACTGAATTCTTTCCAAATTAAGTATGAGTTCAAAATCTTGACAGTGATTTTGAGAAGCCAGCATTAAATCAAGCCCTTTGTATTACAAAAACCAGATATGTTTTGTTTTCAAGTATTCAAGTTACACATCTAGCTAAATTATTCACTTAGAATGTACACCCTTCCACATGAAACTAATTGAAATTTAAGCAAACTAGGAAAGTTTTAGGAATAGAAAAGGCTTAAAATTTCATAAATTAGCATAGAAAAACACCCAGCACCTTCTAAAACAATTTGAATATATCAATTCTAAGGTAAATAAAAAAAAACCCTAATAAATCAGATAATCCACTAACCAACTCCTTTCCACAAAACCATCTCTGTGACTTGATTAATCTCTCCTCCTGACTATTATAGTTCTCTCTTAATTCCCCACATTATTTTAAACTGTTCAATTGTTCAAAATAGCTTCTGTAATATAAAATCCTAGTACAAAAGAAAATAATGTAATTAAGGCTTCCCCTCATTTCCAATAGACAATCCACAAATGAAATTGTCAACATAAAAAGATAAATTGGAACATGTTTGCAAGGAAACAGCTTTCAATAAGGCTTAAAGAACTGTCTTGAAAGCCCCGGTTTAAAAGCATAAGATAAAGCTAACAGTTTTCATTTCAACAAAGATCTATACTACTATCTTTTACAAATTTATAAACCTTCTCTTAAAGCAATCTACCATGTTTTTCCTAAATGTTGATCATTTTCTGTTAACTTACTTTTTGTTGTTTCTCCTTCAAAGCTAGTTGGCTCTTTAGCCGTTCTACTAGATTTCTCATTGAAGTTGTTGGAGCTCTAGAATTGGCTTCTTTTTGAGCATGAAGTTCAGATTTTAAACTCTGTGACTCCTTTTGTGACTGGGCCAGAAGACACCTTAAATCTTCTACTTCTGCTTTCATTTTTTTCACTTCATCTTCATGGTTTTCTTGGAGTCTTATGTAAACAAATATATGTACTTTAAATTTAAGAGTGGTTGCTGCCATTAACACCTTGATTTTTACAAATTTCACAAAGAGCAAATGTTGAGTCTTAAATAGTCTAACAATCTAAATCTTGATGCAGACATTTAATCCAAAAGAAGAAAATATTTTATTCCACTTTACTCTTAAACTTAACATAGGATAGACTTATTTCTCTAGTTTTTGTCTACTATTTTTGGCAACAATCTCATAAAGTTATTTCATGGTTCTAGTCAAATAATACAGAGAATGACAAAATAGGACTTTAAATGTTATGGCTCCTACAAGATGTGACTGCTTCCTCTATGTCCAGGTTTCTCAACTACAACACTATTAACGTTTCTGCCTGGATGCAGTGGATTGAATTATGTTTCCCCAAAAGTCACTGAAGCTTGAATTGTGTCCCCCAAGTTTTATGTATTAAAAACTTGCCCCCACTGTGACTGTTAAGATGGAGGGAAATCCTATTATGGTAATTGAAAGGTGAGGCCTTAAAGAGATGATTAGATTGTAGGGCTGAGTCATACTGAATAGATTAAAAATTGTGGTCACAGGCGTGGTTATGAGGGCTTTAAAAAGAGAGTGAATGAGGACGTTAGTCTCTGCTTTATCTGCTCCACCATTTCACAATGTGATACCCTGTGACACTGAAGTCAGATGTGTTACCTGGACTTTGGACATTCCAGCCTCAGAAACTGTAAGCAATAAATTTCATTTTCTTTATAAAATACCCAGTTCCATATATTTTGTTATAAGCAACAGAAACAGATTAATACACCAGTAATTCTGTTGTGGGGGTGGAGGGGCTGTAGTGTGCACTCTGAGATGTTTAGCTGAATTTCTTGCTTCTACCCACGAGACACCAGTAGTACCCCCTAGCCAATGACAATCAAAAATGTCTCCAGACATTGCCAAATGTCCCCAAGGGGATGGGAGGCACAATTACCCCCCTAAATTTGAGAACAACTGCCCTACATTGACATGTTGCAAAGACAAAATACAAAGTTTCACAGAAATCATACATATTAATCATTTGTTTATGATTCCTAATTCACTAGTATTATATCTTTATCTGTATCTAGGATAGTGGAATTATTTATAGGTTTAATTTAATTAATTCAATTAATCTTACTGCTTATTCAGCATTAATTAGTCTGATAATTTGAATTATATCCAGTACATTGTGCATACAGACACTGCATCTGTATGGCTATTCAAATCATTAAACTTTGACCAATGAGAGGAAGATTGTGTTAAGCCATAAAAAAATGTTGCTTGTAGTAAAACCAAGTCTAACTTTAAATAATCATCATCAAATTGTGAAAATATCAGATTTTACTAGAGAAATCACATAGAATGGGATGATATATTCAAAATACTAAAAGACAAAGATTGCCAGCCAAGAATACTCTATCCTGCAAGGCTGTCCTTCCGAAATGAAGGGCAAATAGTATATTTCTCAGACAAACAAAAACTGCGGGAGTTCATCACCACACGACCACCCTTACAAGCAATTCTCAAGGGAGTACTGGGATTGGATCCCGGAAGATAATTAGCAGAAGGAAAGAAATCATCAAGATCAGAGCAGAACTTAATGAAATTGAATCCCAAAAAACAATACAAAAGATCAACGAATCAAAAAGTTGGTTTTTTGAAAAGATAAATAAAATCGACAAACCACTTACATGGCTAACAAAAAAAAGAAGAGAGAAGATTCAAATAACAAAAATTAGAAATGAAAAAGGTGATATTACAACTGACCCAAATGAAATACAAGGAATCATCCGAGACTACTATAAACAGCTATATGCCAACAAGTTCGAAAACCTAGAGGAAATGGACAAATTTCTGGACTCACACAAGCTTCCAAAATTAAACCATGAAGATATAGATTTATAATTTCTTAAGATACATTAAAATATGTACACAAATGTGAATATAGAGAATAAAAGTATAATTTTAGGTTAAAATGTACAAGTAAGGTACAAGACAATGACTTCAAATATTTACTAGGCAAAAAATTATATATACAAGATATTTCAAAAGATGACTATTTTCAACACCCAGGAATTAGATGCACAACACAAGTTATTTTATATCCAGAAACTTGCTATACCAAAAATAACATCTCATGTATAAAATTTAACAGAGTGGGGAAAATAGATTGAAAATACATATATACTGTTGCTAATGCTTTTTTCTTTTAGAGCATAATTTCTTAAAAGTGGCAGCTCCTTTAACAAAGTAAAAATAGTGTTAATTTTGTCAGAGGCACCTTGGATAAGTGAGCAAAGAATCAATGGATTCAGAGCTGGAATTATAAGTCAAATAGTTCAACTTTCTCATTTTTGCAGGTAAGAAAATTGAGGCCCAAAGAGATAGTTAAATGATTACAAACTACATAACTATAAATCTATTTTAGTTTTAAAATTTATATTCTTACAAATTGGTTGAACAATGCTTAGAATCTCTAACATACAGAATGTTATGAATGCTGTACTGTCACTATAATTAATACAAAAAATTACCTTTTTAGTTAACATTTATTGAGCGTCTATTATGTGGCAGACACCATTATAGGTGTATAAACAAAAGTTTAATGTTTATGTTATTTTACAATTTTCAAATTATTTTCATATATGGTACCAGTTGGCCTTCATATAACGACCCTGAAAGAATTAGGGTAAGTACTGTCATTTCCATTTCATAGATAATAAAACTGAAGCTTGAAGCGGTTAAAAACAAGATTCTGGAGAAAAATCTGAATTGGCTTTTGAGTCAAACTGACTAGTTTCAAATTATGGCTTTCCCACCTCCTTCTAAGTATGTTATGAGACTTCCGAGGCACAGTTTCCTAACTGAAAAATGGAGAAAATAACATCACATGTCATAAGTAGACCTGAGGATAAAATGAGATAATATACATAAAGGTGTTAGAACAGTAACTGGCACAGCAAATGCTTACGTTTATCTTCATTATATCATTATTACCATTTGCCTATTTCTAAAATACACTTCTAAGACTTACCGTAATTTGATAATTTCAAATTCTTTAACTTTTAATTCAGTGATTTCTCTCTGTCTCTCTAAATCTTGAGATACTTTCTTTAGTTTGATCAAAAGAGAGGAGAGAGAGTCATCTTGTTCTGCTACTGTCTGTTCCATTTCAGCCAGACGGACAAAGTGCTTGGTGGTAGGAACTGGAGTAGGAGACTGTTTTATTAAGTCCTATAAAATATGAATATATTAGCCATGGCATGTATAATTTAATGCCATACTTATTCCATAATTTTAATTTGGTTCCTCAGATGATTAAAAGATATTATCTAATCTAAAACTTAATGATTTAGCAGGCAATAAAGGCTTAAAGAAGACAGGAAATAGAGACCTTACACTTTGTACTCTCAGCATCTAGCAAAGTGTCTATACTTTTATGGTAGAGGATCAATAAATGTCGATTGAATTAAGGAGGTAAGGCTTAAAGATGCTACGGTTGCACATTAAGAGATGAAAGGTAATTTCACCCAAACAGAAAGAATGACCAAAAGAGGCAAGTGTGAACTGAATTCAGAAGATGAAAAGCAGGAGATACAGGAAAACTTACCATGATTGAATTTTAAAAAGACAGGTAGGTTCATGGAAGGTTTTGAGTACACAGCTAAGGATTATAAACATGATTTTGTGAGCAGTGGTGAGTTACTGAAGAATTTGGGTTTAGGGAGAGGAATGATCAGAGCTCTACTTTCAGAAGATTATTTTGGCAACAAAAAGGTAGGGTGACTCATAACCTGGAATACAAAAAAGCTAAATTTTTAATTATATGATCTCAAAAATCAATAAAAAATAGGACAAAGTTCTTAGACTCTTACCAAAGCTGTTTGTTTGAATTTACTGAGTGAACTATCAGCTTGTAGTTCTAATTTATGATGAAGAATATGAAGGTCTTCCTCATGTTTCTTAACAATTTCCCTTTGCTCCTGTTTTACAGAATATCAAAACTATATTTTAAATTGTGATTCAAATAAATTCACATTCCAAAAATCTTAAATATTTTAATATCTTTAATATTCTAAAATCCCTTTGAGATAGGAAAGGAACAATATCCACATGTACCTATTTAGACCAGTATGCACCTCCCCTAGCACGTGTTCAAGTTAACAAGCCCAGCCTCTGACCATTAATTTATTCTGAATGTTAAAATAACATGTTATCTATCATCTCTTACCTTATTTCTAAATTTTTAAAAAATGTTAGATTTCCCCCCCAAAATCTGATTTCCACTGATTACCAGAGTGACAGATTTCATTCTAACTTATTGCCTTAATTCTTACCTATAAACTCAATTGGTATTTTAAAAAATCATATAGTTTCACCATGACAGCTATTCCTGCTTTTGCTAGTCCACGGGAGAAGGATATGCATACATAAGCTGCCAGTTTTACTGTCAGGTCTGTAATCCAATCACACAAAAATAACAATTCCTAAACAGAATCATTTAAAGGTAAGAAATGAACTACCACTTTAGAGAAAGATAATATCTGGCATTTGACTAAAAAACATGATAATAAATAAAATAGCATAACATGATATAATAAAATACCTCTCTGGCTTTTTCTAGAAGATGTTGATATTTCTTTAACACTTCTTCCTTTTGATTTAACCTTGCTTGCATATTTGCAATGGTCTGATGAGCAATTTTCAAAGTGTGATGAGATTTTGGTTCCACCTCTTTTCTGACTAGCTCAGCTATCAGCTTTTCTTGTTCTGCAGTGGCAGGTAATCGAAGCCTCAGTTCATTGATTACTTTGTCTCTTGACAGAATATTTTGCTCTGCTAACCACAGGGCAGATTCTTTTTCTTTTAGCTTCTGAAATGATCAAATCACAATAAATTATTAAAGTATATTTTTTTCCTTTAAAATGTTCCATCTGAATTTTAGTTACATGAGTTATAAGCAAAAAAAGGAGTTTCACTTTTCTTTTCACATCATATTTACAACACCCATCTGGTATTTAATAAGGTTAAATTGAGTGTATTTAAATGTGACAGCACAGTTAGCTGCATGCATACTTTAACTTATTTATAAGATTATCTTGTGTTAAATACTTCATTGTTATAATAAAATGAAATTTAATTAAGGTGCTTTATTTAGATGTTGCAGTTTAGAACTAGAAATGTGGGTGGTGCTAGATTTAATAAGAAAATGTAACAAATCATTCTTTTTATTTAGGTCCATTAACTATTAGAACACTAGAAGACTAATCCATAAAACGCTGCTGAATACAAAACAGGAATTTTAGTGGCCCAAAATGATGAATACCTATGTTAAGATCTGCAATTTATTAAAACAAAACAGAAAAAAGTTTATACTCTTCAAGAGGATTAACAGATATTTTAAACCTAGTAACAATTCACATAAATACAAATCTTACAACTACTGAAGAAAACCTAACTTTCCTGAATTAATTGAAAACATATAATTTTACTTGAAAAATTGTTTTTAAATGAATTTAAAGCTAAAATGTTTAGAAGGAATCTAAAATGAAAATAATATTCACTTTATATTATTTTCTGAATAATTTAATAAAAATATTTGTGATCACCTATCAATCAAATTCAAGACCTAGATTAAACTAATAAGTAAATTACAGTTCACCTTCCAACCTTTAACCAACCATATAAAGGAATGACCTGAAAACTGATTCATAGCATACTCAACATACACTTCAAAATAAAACATTAAAATAAATAAAAGTAAAAAGATCATATAGGGGAAGGAAATATACTGCTCATAAAGTTACAATTAAATGATCTTTCACGATCACTATTACTGATCAGCCTGCTCAAAAGTAACAAGAAATTATTACATGAATAGTGAATTCATAGAATTATTGTTTTCACTTTAAATTAAAAAATAAAAAGTTTACTATGGGAATTAATCACCACTAGAACAACCTTAAAAGAAATGCTCAAGGGAGTTCTACAGCTGGAAGTGAAAGGAAAATAACCACACTAAGATAACAAATGAAGGAATAAAATTCACTAGTAAAGCAGGTACACAACTGGGAAAGAAAAAGAAATAAAACTTTATCACTACAGAAAAACACCAAACTCCAATGATAAACAATAAGTGAGGAAGAAAGGAACAGAGATACACAAAACAACCAAAAAAGTATATACAAAATGGCAGGACTAAGTCCTCACCAATCAATAATAACCTTAAATGTAAGTGGACCAAATTCTCTAATTTAAAGATAGAGACTGGCCAAATGGATAAGAAAATAAGATCCAACTATATGCTGCCTTCGAGAAACTCACTTCACCTATAAACACACATAGACTTAAAGGGAAGGGATTGGAAAAGATTCCATGCAAATGGAAACCAAAAGCAAGCAGGAGTAGCTATACTTAGAAAAAACAGACTTTAAGTCAAAAACTGTAAAAACGAAAAAAGAAGGTCATTATATGTTAAAGTGGTCCATTAAACAATATAATAAATATATATGCACCCAACATCAGAGCACCCAGATATATAAAGCAAATATTGTTAGATTTAAAGGAAGAGATAGACCTCACTACAATAATAGTTTGGAACATCACACCCCACTCTCAGCATTGGACAGATCGTCTAGACAGAAAGTCAACAAAGAAACACTGGATTTAAACTGCACCACAGACCAAATGGACTATACTGATATTTATAAAACATTCCATCGAACAGCTGTAGAATACACATTCTTCTCAGTAGCACATCGGACATTCTCCAGGATTGACCATATGTTAAGCCACACAATAAGACTCAACAAATATAAAAAACCTGAAATCATATCAAGCATCTTCTCTGACCACAATGAAATAAAACTGTAAATCATTAACAAGAGATACCCTCAAAACTATAGAAATACATGGAGACTAAACAACACACTCTGAGTGACCACTGGGTTAAAGAAGAAATGTTTTAAAAATTTAAAAGTTTCTTGAAACAAATGAAAACAGAAACATGACATACCCAATACCCAAGCCCATGGGAAACAGCCAAAGCAGTACCAAAAGGGAAGTTTATAGTAATAAATGCCCACATCAAAAAAGAAGAAAGATTTCAAATAACAATGTATCCTAAGAAATTAAAAGAGCAAAACCAAACCAAACCCAAGATTAGCAAAAGAAATAATAAAGATCAGAGCAGAAAGAAACAAAATTGAGAACCCCCACCCCCAAAATACAAAAGATTGACCAAACAAATTGTTGGGTTTTTTAAAAGATAAACAAAATTGACAAGCCATTAGCTAGCCTAACCAAGAAGAAAAGAAAAGTCTTAAATAAATAGAAATGAAAAAGGGGACATCACAACTGATACTACAGAAATACAAAGAATCATAAGAGATTATTATGAACAACTATGTGCCAACAAATTGGGAAACCTAGAGAAAATGAATAAATTCCTGGACATATACAATCTACCAAGAATAAACCAAGAATAAATAGAAAACCTGAATAGACCAATTATAAGTAATGAGATTGAATCAGTAATAAAAAGTCTCCCATTAAAGAAAAGCTCAGGACTAGATACTTTACTGCTGAATTCTACCAAACACTTAAAAAAGAATTAATACCAACTTTTCTCAAATTCTTCTAAAACACTGAAGAGAACTCTTCCAAACTCATTCTATTTGAGGCTAACATTACCCTGATACCAAAACCAGACAACGATGCAACAAAAAAAGAAAACTACAGTCAATATCCCTGATGAACACTGACGTAAAAATCCTCAACAAAATACGAGCAACTGAATCCAATAGCATGTTGAAAAGATAACTCACCATGGTCAAATAGGATTTATCCTAGGGATGTAAGGTTGGTTCAACATACAGAAATCAATAAACATGACACAACACATCAACAGAATAAAGGACAAAAACCATGTGATCATCTCACTTATGCAGAAAAAACATTTGATAAAATTCAAAATCCCTTCATGATAAAAACCTCAACAAATTAGGCACAGAGAGAATGTACCTCAACACAATAAAGGCTATATATGACAAACCAAGAGCTAACATCATTCTAAACAGGGAAAAGCTGAAAGCTCTTTCTCTAAGAACTATAATAAGGCAAGGATGTCCACTCTCTCCACTCTTATTCAAAGTAGTACCAGAAGTCCTAGCCAGAGCAGTTAGGCAAGAGAATGAAATAAAGGGCATCCAAACTGGAAAAGAGGAAGTCAAATGTCCCTATGCTTTGGATTGAATGTCCCCCCTAAACTTAATTCCCTCTGTCACGCTTAAGAGTAGGAGATCCTATTATGGTAATTGAAAGGTGGGGCCTTGAAGAAGTGATTAATTTGATGGTGTAATAGCAGTTGTGGGCATGGTTCTGAAGACTTTAAAAGGAGAGTGCATTAGAGCTCTCTCTCTCTGCTTTTATTATCTTGCAATATGATACCCTGTGTCACTAAAGCCACCACCAAGGAAAACCCTCACCAGATGTGTTCTCTGGATTTTGGACTTCCCAGCCTCAGAAACTGTAAGCAATAAATCTCATTTTCTTATAAATTATTCAGTACCAGGTATTTTGTTATGAGCAACAGAAATGGACTAATACACCCTGTTTGCAGGTGACATGATGTTATATATAGAAAAACCCAAAAATTCCACCAAAAAACTTTCAGAACTGCTAAACAAATTGACTAAAGTTGCAGTATACACAATCAACATACAAAAATCAGTAGCATTTCTATACACCAATAATGAGCAAGATGAAAAGAAATCAAGAAAGCAATCCCATTTATAATAGTTACAAAAAATTAAAATACCTAGAAAATAATTTAATCAAGGAGATGAAAGATCTCCACAACAAAAACTATGAAACACTGATGAAAGAAATTGAAAAGGACACAAAGAAATAGAAAGACATTCCATATTCATGGGTTGGAAGCATTAATATTGTCAAAATGACCATATTACCAAAAGCAATTTACAGATTCAATGCAATTTCTATCAAAGTACAATGACATACTTTATAGAAATAGAAAAAACAATCCTAAAATTCATATGGAACCACGAAAGACCCCAAATAGCCAAAGCAATCCTGAGCAAAAAGAACAAAGTTGGAGGCATCACACTATCTGACTTCAAAAAGCTATAGTAACTATATATTTTTACATTTAGTATATAGTAACTATTATGTATACTATAAAGCTATAGTAACCAAATAGCATAGTACTGGCATAAAAGCAGACACACAGACCGATGGAACAGTACAGAGAACCCAGAAATAAAGCCATGATGTATTTACAGTGAACTGATTTTCAATAAAGATGCCAATTGGGGAAAGGACAGTCTCTTCAATAAATGATGCGGGGAAAACTGGTTAGCCATATGCGGAAGAATGAAACTAGATTCCTATCTCTCACCATACACAAAAATCAGCTCAAAATGGTTTAAAGACTTAAGTGTAAGACCTGAAACTATGAAACTTCCATAAGAAAATACAGGAGAAATGATCTAGGACACTGGGCTGAGCACAGACTTTATGAAGAGGACCTCGAAAGCACAGGCAAAATAGACAAATGAGATTATATCAAACTAAAACGCTTCTGAACAGCAAGGGAAACAATTAACAGAGCAAACAGACAATCTACACAATGGGAGAAAATATTTGCAAAATATGCATCTGATAAGGGATTAATATCTAGAATATACAAGGAATTCAATATACAAACAATTCAATAGCAAGAAAACAAATAATCTGATTAAAAAATGGGCAAATGAGGTAAATAGACATTTCTGAAAAGAAGACACACAAATAGCCAACAGGAGTATTAAAAAAAAGTTCAACATCACTAATCATCAGGGAAATGCAAATCAAAACCATGAGATATCATCTCACTCCACTCAGAACCGCTATCATCAAAAAGACATAAAATAAATACTGGCGAGGATTCACAGAAAGGGGAACTCTTACACACTGTTGGTGGGAACGTAAATTAGTATAACCATTATGGAAAACAGTCTGAAGGTTCCTCAGAGAACTACAAGTAGAACTACCATATGATCCAGCAATCTCATTACTGGGTAAATATCCACAGGAAAGTAAATCAGTAAATCAGTAAATCGAACCCAGATTTGCACTCCCACATTTATTGCAGCACTATTCGCAATAGCCAAGATATGGAATCAACTGGTGTCCATCAATAAGTGGATAAATAGATGTGGTATATATACACAATAGAATATCACTCAGCCATAGAAAAAGAATGAAATGCTATCATTTGCAGCAACATGGATGAGTTTGGAGGACATTACATTAAGTAGGTCAGGAACAGAAAGAGAAATGGTGCATGTTCTCACTCGTGTAAACTAAGAAAGTTGATCACAAAGAAGTAGAAAATGGAATGGTGGTTACAAGGCTGAAAAGGGTGTGGGTAGGGGCAATAGTGAGCGGTTGGTTAAGAGATACAAAGTACAGCTATATAGGAGGAATAATATGTGGTGTTCCATAGCATTGTAGGGTGACTATAATTAACAATTTATTGTATAGTTACAATTAGCAAGAAGAGAGGATTCTGAAAGAAGAGAGGATTTTGAACATTCCCAACATAATGAATATTGAATGCCTGAGATAAGGAAAAAAAAAAAATCAGTGGTTTCCAGGATTTCAGGGAATGAAGAAAGGAAGGAGAGAGGGATGAGCAGGTGGAGTACAGAGGACTTTAGGGCAGTAAAACTATTCTGTGTGATACTGTAATGGTGAATACACAACACTATGCATTAGGCAAAACCCATAGAACTATACAATACAAAAAGGGGAACTCTAATATAAAATTAAGTTAATAACAATAAATCAATATTGATTTGTAATTATAACAAATTTACCACATGAATGCAATAAGTCAGTAATAGAAGAAACTATATGTGGGTGAGAGGAGGGTATGGTAAACGATCTGTAGTTTCTGCTCAATTTCTCTGTACAGCTGAAACTGCTATAAAAATAAAGAAAACAAACAAAATTATAAAGTTTAAACATTAAGCAGTTATCCCTAGGCAGGGCTGGGGTGGGCAAAAGGGTAGGCAAGGTACACACAGGAACTTAGAAATGTACTTGTTATGTTCATATCTTAAACTGGTTGGTAGAGACACAATGTTATTTTATTCTTATAAATTTACACGTCATAATTATCTTGTCTACAACCAATACACAATAAAACAAAATTATTATATCTCAAATAAATAAATGAATAGACTGATATACAGTTAATTTAAATTAGCCGTATCAGGTGTTCATTATTATTTACTGGAAACACAGGACAGTAGAGAGTGGAATTAGCAATAGATTAATCATTCTATGCTTCGTTCTCATTAATAAATGTTATTTAGAAAATTCCACAAACATACCCAATAATATACTAAACGAAATGCAAATTCATCTAATTACCTCTTGTAGTGATTTGCAAGTTGCCTGTGTTTGTAGGATTATGCGAACATTCTCCTTAATTTTTCTTAGAGCAATCTCAAGTTGATTTGGAATGGGCAAACTAGGGTCTGGCACTGATCCCGTAGCCTCTTCAAACTATTAAAAAATAGCATGTTTTAAAAAAATCAACTGTAGCATTGAGAATATTAATTTTTACAACTGTATGACAAAACAGTTTAAACCCCAGTTGTGTTTTAAATATAAAAAGATAACATCAATTAAAATCAAAACAGATTTAGAAAATATATCTATCGATTAACACTCTAGGCTGTGTTACACAGTAGCAAACAGTATTAATCACACATACCTTTTGTGCTGCATTTAATATTTCATTTTGTTGACGGTCAAAAACGTCTATTTGACGTTCCAGCTCAACTTCTCTTTCATCCCAGGCCATTTGTCTTTCTTCATGAAACTGAAAAAAGACAATTTATATCAAATATGCATACAGAGATACCACATATATAACAGATGTTTTACATGTATTTTCTTACATAATCCTCATAACAACCCATTGAGGTCACTATGATTATTCTCATTTTAAGGAAAAGGATATAAACTCAAAGAGCGTGGAGTAACTGACCTATGATCACAGAGACAGGCAGATGTGAAGTCAGGATTTCAATCCATCCATCCATCCATACAAAACATATTTAACAATATACTATGTGCCAAGAACTATCCCAGAAAGTGAAAAAAAACCCAGTGAACAAAACAAAGTTCCTGTAACCATGTGTTGGGAAAAACAGGAAAATGTCAGAGCCCCTCCATGTCTAGAATCTTGCCAAGCATTTGCTGTAAATATCCTCAGGTGTTCCTTGTTACTGCTTAAGGTAAATTGTGTATGGGCATCCAGGTGTCCAGGGTTGTGGACTTAAGTATAAAAGACTAACAGCTCTGATCCACAGTGCTTCTCAGAACTGAGACAGTTGTTCCTAGATCTGAATAAAACCCATTCGTATCTCTATACCCATGGCTCCCAGAACCTTTTTTTTTTTTTTCTATTACCTAGCTCACAGACCTCCATGTGGAGAGTTTGTAAACCAGTCTGTGCAACAGACTCGAGGGGTCTGTAAGCCCTAGCTTTACACCATGGAATTTATATTCTAGTGAAGGGGAGACAGCCTATAATAAACAAATAAGTATGTAATGTTAGATTGTGAGAAGTGTTATAGAGAAAAATGAAGATAAGTAATATCTATTGAGGGAATCTTGATGGTAGGATTTACTATTATATACTGGATGGCTGGTGAAGGCTGCACTGAGAAGGTAGGACATTTGAGCTAAGACCTGAAGGTAGTGAAAGCATAAACACCACAGGCTTCTAGGGTAAGAACAATCTAAGCAGAGGGGACAACAAAATCTCTGAGGCAAGCATGTGCTTGATGAATTTCACCTGCCTCCAAAGCATGTCTTTTATTCTACACCAAGCTGTCTTCTACTCGCATCAGTGAGAGCCAGTAGAAACTTATAACTGTGAAAAGTCAAATAACCAATATTGCAATAAAAATTAACTTACCAAGTAAGTTTGCTTATTGCTCCTTTCAAGTTTAAGACTACTGTTACAACAACTAAATAAATAAATATGCATTTTCCAATGGGCCCATGAAAAAATTCTCAGCATCAGGAAATCCAAGTTAAAAAGCACATGACATATCATCTCATGCCAGTTAGAATGGCTATTATCAACAAGCCAAAAAATAACAAATGCTGACAAGGATATTGCTAGTGGGAGTGTAAACTGGTATGGCCACTATGGAAAACAGTATGGAGGTTAATTAGAGAACTAAAAATAGATCTACACTATTACCAAGCTAACCCACTACTGGGTATATACCCAAAGGAAAAGAAACCAATGTATCAAAAAGACATCTGGTACTCCCATGTTCATTGCAGCACTATTTACAACAGCCAAGAGATGGAATCAACCTAAATGTACATCAATGAATAAATGGATAAAACTGTGGTATATATACACAATGGAATACTACTCAGGTATCGAAAAAAAAAAATATCCTGTCATTTGCAGCAACATGGATGTAAATGGAAACCATCATGTTAAGTAAAGTCAGTCAGGCACAGAAAGACAAATACTGCATGATATCACTCGTATGTGGAATCTAAAAAAATTTTTTAAAATGGTTCTCATAGAAATAGAGCATAGAATAACAGTTGTGGGGGAGGAGGGAAGAGAAATGGTGGACTAATGGGTACAAAACTATGCTACCTACCCCAAATGAATCATTGTGCAGTGTATCAACATACTATACCCTACAAATATGTACAAATAAATGTTAAAATATTTTGCATAAAAGAAAAAAAAAAGGAAACAGATTCTTTTATAAACCCATTACAAATCGGAGCTTTATTCAATTACAATAATTGAGTCACTCAAGCAATGTTCTTATGTTTAAAATCTTAGCAAAGTCACCAAAATAAATATAAAATGAAACCTTGTTCTGCTGAACAATTTCTTCCTCCAGACTGCTGATTGTATGCTCATATTCAGAAATTATATTATTCAAATATTTTATTTCTTCTTTATCCTTAACTAATTCTCGATTTAGTTTAAGCTCTTGAAGACGAAGTTCTTCTATTTTCATATGCCAATTGATTACCTAAGATGTACAAATTATATATACCAATGTAAATGCTGTATAAGTAAATAATATATTTCTCCATTGATCATAATGGTTTTCACTGAAATTAATGGACATTCTATAATAAGATAAGACATAAAGTTATTCTTGCTAGAGCCACATGGCAAAGTTTACTTAGTATTTCCACAGACTTTTTTAAGACTATGTGAGATCTTACAACAAAACATTCTTCAAATTATGTATGAACAGATACCATTAACAATCATTTTCATTTTTTCATTATTATATAATTACTGAGCACTTACTGTGAGCATATACTGAAATATTGGTACTACTTTCAAAAATGGAAATCCGAGGGGCCGGCCCGTGGCTCACTCGGGAGAGTGCGGTGCTGATAACACCAAGGCCCCGGGTTCGGATCCCACATGGGGATGGCCGGTTCGCTCACTCGCTGAGCATGGTGCTGACAACACCAAGTCAAGGGTTAAGATCCCCTTACCGGTCATCTTTAAAAAAAAAAAAAAATGGAAATCCGAGGGGCCGGCCCGTGGCTCACTCGGGAGAGGGCGGTGCTGATAACACCAAGGCCCCGGGTTCGGATCCCACATGGGGATGGCCGGTTCGCTCACTCGCTGAGCATGGTGCTGACAACACCAAGTCAAGGGTTAAGATCCCCTTACCGGTCATCTTTAAAAAAAAAAAAAAAAAAAAAAAAAAAATGGAAATCCGAAGTACTTCAAGCCTAGAGAATAGGCTAGAGAACTGCAAGATAATTATTTTTCATTTAATTCTTTCTGGAGGGGGATAAAAACCAAATCATATCTAAAAATAAATAAGGGTCTACTACTTCTAAATAATTTTAAACAGATAATAATTAGGAAAAGTAGAATTCAACTGATAACCACTACAATGTTTAAGAACATCTATAATGAGCATTTAATAAATATATACAAACTTTTTAGAGTGTTTAAAATTCTTCACTATTATATAAGCATTTCTACTAAAATTTTTGCTTAGAAAGGTCTCATTTTATTTTTACAAATAATAGACATTCAAATAGCTATAATTCCAAATTTACAAAATCTAAATTAATAAATTATAATTGGAATTTTGGTTGTATATTAGGCATTTTTCATATAGGACATACTAAGAAATTAAAATCAAGGTTTACCTTTTGGGCTCCCCTGGCATCCTTTAAAGTGCTTATTAATTCTTCTAGGCCCTTTAATTTTAATTCCATCTCCAATGTTTTGTTCTCCATACTTCTACGTTCTTGTTGAGAATTTTTCAATTCTTGCATTACCTTAAGTTTGTCATTTTGTAGTTGAATCATTGTTTTAGAGAATTTTTCTTGTTGTGCCAAGGGTAAAGCTCCACTGAACTGTCGTCGTAGAGACTGGATTGTTTGGCGCAGATGTTTTGCTCTATTTCTCCCCTCCAAACGAGCGTAATATAGAGCCTGTTCTTTTTCATCGAGTTTCTGCTCTAAGCGCAAATTGTAGGCCTCCATCTTCTGCAGTTTAAATGCAACTGACTCCAACTTACCAAGAGCAGTAGCCTCACTAATTTGAAGAGAGACAATATGTTGGTGCAACTTGGCAATTAGTGCCTTTTCATCAGACTGTGCCTAATATTAAAAAATACATATTTGTAGTAAGTTTCAAGCTTTCCCAATGAAACATCATGGATTTAAAAAATCATACTTTACTAAATAAAATTTTAAAACAGTGTGGTACAGAGATCCTATAATAATCTAATTTTGTTTTAATATAAATAATTACCAAAGAATTATAAAAGAAAAAAACTCAGAATCAAATATACTTAAAATACAAATCTAACTAAATAACAGAATACTACTGTATTTTTTTAACTTCCATATTCATATTTCAATATTGGTATAATTCTGATGTAGACGATGTGTATTTTTTTATCCCCCCCCAAAAGACTTAGTACTTCTCAGTGTCTTAACTTTGATCAGCAGCCAGCATGATACATCTGTAGGCACTTAAATGCTTTTCTGAATTATAAATGGTATTTCAAATTTTAAAAGAATTTTTCTAATCAGGTTCCAACTAACAAGAATAGGAGCCTCTTGATGACACATCTTCTGATTAAAACTATAAAATCATCCCAATATTTCATGTGAATTTAGGAAAAAAGTTGATTATATAGAGAAGAGCTAATACTGCACATACCTGATACTCTAGCAACTGCATTCTGAGAGACTCTACTTCCTTTTCCCTGGACTGTTGCTGTGCATTCAAAATTTCAACTTGCCTTTTGGCAATATCAGAAATCTCTCTCAGTCTAGAAAGTGATATTTCAGAAAAAATTCTCTAAGTAAATACCAAAATTCCAAATTTCTAGACCCCTTTCTAGAACAGCCATTAGTTTTCAGCATCTCTTCTTTGTATAAAATAGTAAAGCAGTGTTTCCTGAACTGTTTCATGAAATATAATTCCATGAGAGATTAACAAAGTCTTACAAAAAAACTCCATTCCCAACACCTCTCCCCTTTGAAAATTTATAATATATAATATCATATTAAATGTTCTGAGAAGTTCTAATATAAATAATTATCTCAAATTGTTCTTAATAAACGTATATGGCCAAAGAACCCCTTCTCTCACACTTTTTTTCACAAGATATTTATAATTTGGGATCTACTAGAATAGGGTATTAAGTAGGTTTATCTGACACCATCACATAGTTAAGAATACAGAAATTTAAAAAATTTCTAGGTGCCATAGGTAGATTAATGTAGGTTTTCATTTGTTTTTTGTGCCATAGGTAGATTAATATAGGTTTTCAATTGTTTTACCTTAATTCACAAGTCATCAGAAATGTGAAAAGAAACAAAGTATGCATTTACTACAATTACAAAAAGTGGGGGGGAGCTGATGATAAGCCCTTCAATTTCCCTTATGATTACTATGATAAGACAATACAGACAAAGTAAAATATAAAGTTTCTTTGCTTTGGGCTGAATAATTTTAGCCGTGTGTGACAGATAAGCCAGATTTCCTCACACTGATCAGAAGCTCTCATTGCCAGTTATATAAGTTTTGATTAATAAAATATGATAAAATGAATAATTATAAATTAGTTTATTTCAAAGGTGAGGTCCATGAGAAGAGAGGAAGAATGAAAAGGAGTCCTTCGTAGTGAAAAAGGCTGGCAATGACTGATATTCACAAGAAGACTATCAAGGCTCCAAAGGAATGGCTATAACTTTAGGTGTAAGCCATAAAAACATCTTTACTAATTTATTCGTGCTTGACAAATTAACTCAGTGCTCCTCATACTTTTCTACTGAAGTAGCACTTAATTACAAAAGAGTGAATACACAGCGTCTGTTTGTCATACAGGACTTACTCCTTATATTTTGTATTCTAAAGTAGCTGGTCTGTTTCCTCATGTAAAATAAAAATAACAATGTTACCTCAGGGTTATTAAGCATAACTGTACAACTTAATATATGTTTAATACCTTGCACAGTACCTAGTATATAGCAGAGACCCAATATATGTAAATTAAATGAAAATCTGGATTTTTCATTATTTTTTTTACAACAACTTTAAAAAACATGTAGAAGAGGTAATATAACTCCTTCGTTAAAGTGAAGAAATTAACCGTTCTTCTCCATCTCCGCCTCCCAAGAAAAATTAGAAGATGAACAGGATCTCATAGGGTCTTGATTCACTGCTTTCTGCAATAATATTACTGGACTCTAAAAAATGCAAATCTTGAGAGGTCATTTCGTCTTGAATACTATTATTAACACTTTTAAAAAATCAACCTTAATAATATAAGAATAATCCTATTCTTATAGATAGAAACCAGTACCGATTGCCACTGAGAATATTACCCCTGTATATTTGTAATTAGGTTTCTTAAAGTCAAGTTAGAGGACACACATCTATTCAAATGACTAAGATGTTTGTATGCACTTACTTTGACACTTCAACTTTCAGTTCCATTTCATTCTTCTCTAATTCTAGAATCCGTTGCCTATCAGCATCACTTACTGCCTTGCTCACACTATCAGCTAATTCATCTCTTAACATCTGTTCCACCTTCTGTGCATCCAAGTTGATTTTGGTAAGCTAAGAAAAAGTAACATTAAAAAAAAAGTTCAGATATACCAGTTTTTGGCAAGGTTGTCCTCATAATTTGATTTTCAGAGTACTGCGGTCCTCTACTTTGCCTTACTACAGATACTAAATTGGATATAAAGTGTTAAGAACAGATTGGAGAAGGTAAAGAGAGAAAAGAGTCAGGAACAAATTATGAAAATTCTGGTTATATTCCAATACACCAAAAGTCATTTGTAATCAGACAACTTACTGACTAATAATATCTGAACTCCTGATATTCTTAATTTACTTGGAATGCAGTAAACTCATTATATTTTACTTCAATTATATCATCTATAAAAAAATTCAAATTAGTTAATAAAATCTTATTAATATAGATTTAGTGACTCAGTTAAATAAACAAAAATGATATATATGCTTTGAAAAATATATTAATTCCAAGGTAAGCAAACATTATAAGAGTGTTGTTTTATCACAAATTGTCAACTATATGCAATCTATGTTTACTGCAAGGCAGTTTAACGATTCTGACATCAAAAACATCTAAAATCTCCTTTTAGAATGTAAGGTCTCTGAAAGCAGAGATAACTGTTCATTTTGCTTCTTGCTATAGTCCCAGCCTCCATACAGGGTCTGACATGTAGCAATGAATAATTTATTTGTTAAATGAAAGGATGGTAGTGGCAGGCAATTCCATTATTAAGTAAATAACATCTTTTTGCATATTAAATATAATAATGCAACATTGGTGAAAAAGAAGACCTCATTCACAGAAATATCAGCAAATACTCTTTTTAAACAACTCAGATTTAAAAATAAATCTTTTATTCATTACATGAAACACAACATTATATTAATATGTTACTTCAGAGATACAAACCTCTTAACAAAAATACAACGTCTACCAAGACTAATTCTTTACTAATTGCATGATAAAAATTGTAACATCAAACCTCAGCAAATTTGGTTTCCAATTCAAAATTACGTTCTTCCATTTGCTTTAATGAAGTCCTTAAGTGTTCATACATTTTTTGACAATGTTCAGCCCGCTGCCTTTCGTTTAATTCCTTCATTTCCAACATAGTAATTTTTTTTGAAATAGAAATAATGTCACTGTTGGTTATTGATTTCTTTGCCTTATCCATGTTAGATTCATTTCCTATATGCAATAATACTTAAGTCAATCATGTTGTTTACATCAAAATTATATCCCAGATATTTCAGATATTGTATATAAAGGGGACAATATATTTACATGGAAAGCAGGTGAGCTTTTGAATTACGACAGACCTGGATTCTATTCTTAGCTGTTACTTCCTGCCTATATGATGCCTGTACCACTTAATCTCTCTGGAACTTACGTTCTTCATTAATTAAATAATAAAAAACTGTTCCTCATAGGATTATTGAAATAACAGTGGAAAGAACTTAAACCTGAAGGCATATGATTGAGAAATCTTATCAAATATGATCTTCTCGAACCATAAGCATTATCTGGCCTTTGTACACATCTAATATCAAATATTTTACATTCTTTTATTAGTTGTATGCCCTAATCTTATATATGTAGTTATATGGCTTGTCTTCAGACAAGAAAGTCTGTGGTTCAGTGAAAAGAGAACTAAAACCTCCAATTTACCATAAAAAGATATCACATAAAAGTGTCATTAGTTACTTAGTCATTGTTGGGGAGGAGGAAAGAACTTATTACTTTTGTTTTGCATAACAGACACAGTCCAGAAAAAAACCCCACAAAATCTGGTAGAGTGTTTTGATTTTTGTTGACTCAATTAAAACTCATGTTTAGGGTAGCCAGTTATTTAAAAGAACTAAGCAGTGACTTACTTTGTAAATAGTCTTTCATAATACCAATAATGCCCCCTCCTATTTTAGCAGCTTCATAAATTCAAGTTTTACAATTGAGCTTTCTCAAAGTAACATATCTTTTCTGAAAGGAAAAAACTGGTGTCTGTCTCAGATTTAAAAAGGACTTCATTATGTTTTGTATGTATCTTTAAAATATATGATTTTAGAATAGCTGATGCAAGCAGTGATCAAGTAACTAACAATAACAGATTATTAAAAGAAGTTAAACATGTCAGTAAATCGATTCATTATGAAATAGAGACTCATTCGGGCAACCCTAAACACCATGAATGAAACAAAAAAACTGCACTAAATATAAATATATAAAGAATATAAAACCCTTTTTCCATTCTGTATTGTGTAAACTCTCTGATAATAAAAAGAAGCATGTCACAGAGACTGAAGCAGATGAGCCATCTGACGTTCCTGGGTTGGGGTTTTCTTAAAGAAAGGGTAGAGCACAACAGCTCAACACCAACAAATTCCTGGATAAAAAACGCTGAGGAAGTGATACTTTCAAACAGAGACATAAGGGCAACAGGAAACAGGAAAAAGTTCTTAAATCTTCAGTGATATAAAGCCCTGTATGAAAGAGATTAAGGTACTTGAAAATTAAGGAACTTCTATGGAGAATACGGCACTTATTAAAGAGAGAGAATGAAATGAACCGAGAACTTACTAAAATTGTATATAATACTCTTTTATATCTTAGTTTAAATGATATCTTCTTTAATGTAGAAGCTATAAGGAAACTAATTCGTACTTAATCTCTTATTGAATTAAAAATTACATTTCTAAAAATAGCTTATTTTAGATTTCCCAATGTGGGCCTCTGTAAACCAAATGTCTTAGTTACCAATTTAATAAAACAGCTCTACTAACAGAAACCTTGAATAGCATTAGAGCTCTAAGATCTAGGAAAAAAATTTTAAAAACACCTTATCCAAAGCAGCAAACTTATTTGAAAATTATAAAGCACAATACTATGAGATAAAATTATTAAAATGCTGTAAACTAGGATAATCATTTGAGAAACTAATACAGAAAACCCTAACAGAAAACACAAAGATTTCAGTACTTTTGAAACAGTAATATCTGTTAGATATACATGAAGGTGTTCATGATAGCACTATAAGCAATAGCAAAAATAAGAAAAGCTAGTGATTTAATCACTCAAACACAGTAGGATATTTCATGAATATTTACATTTATAAGTATGATGAATAAAACAGAAATATTTTTGATATCTACTAAATGAAAACAGAATATAACAAATAATGTTTATTATAATTTAAAGTATATAAAATATGTAAGCATATATAAGCAAAAAATGTGATTATATAGTAGTGAAACTATGAGCAATAAAAATTTTCAAATTATTTTTGATGTTTTATGGTGATCTTTTAACTTAAAAGTATCAAATGATGTATATCTAATATAACTTTACACTCAGTGGAAGAATTCATAATACTACTATTAAAATACAGGTATTTCAAAATTATCACCAGTTTTGATTGTTAAATAGTTCAAAATAGCTAATATTTAGTCATAAATTTTTAACATATATGATCTTATTAGGAACAAATGTAATTTAAGAACTGAAAGCCAAATTTTGATGGGGATTAGTAATATTATTCATCAACTGCCTGCTAAGTTAAACTGTTAGGCAGAGAGTTCATTTTTTTAATCAAAATACTTCCTTTTCACCTAGTTAGGAAAGAAACTTTAAGTGAAAAATATTCACTATTAGATCTTAATCATTTTATATTACTGGAGTTATAAAACTTACTTACCTAATTTACTTTCTTGTTCCCAGGCTTGTTCAACAGTGTGAAGTTTCTCCTTGGTAATCTCCAGTTCTTTATTTACAGATTCCACTTGTTCTTTTAAGGATGTATTTTCACACTAAATAAAAGAGAAGCATCACTAAAAAATTGCACTGTAATTCAGATCAATGTTACAAAAGTGACATTGTCTTTTAACTTTATGTAATATCTCTCAAAACACAAAATCCATAATTTTACAAAATTAGAATCTCCCCATACTTAATATGTATATACACTTGTACATATTCTTATATAATGTAAAATATTATTTAAAAATAATCAATAAAATCCTGTGTATCTAATATGTGTCCCTAAATCTCTAAGTATTAGCTTCTACCATGAAAGCTATATGTTCATTTTAGCAAAGCTGGAATACTCCAAGAGTTTTACAACCTTCACAAACTAGTATTTACTTCCCTCATTCATACATACAATTACTAAGCATCCCTAGCATGCCATCAGTGACAGGTGCTGGATGTTCACGGTGAAAAGAGACAAAATTCTGACCTTCATAGGCCTCACAATTTAGTGTCTGTGTGTATGTGTGTGGGTTAGGAGTTGCAGAGGGTGAGGAAGGCAGACAATAAACAGGTAAACACACAAAAAAATCCATTAAAAATGTCAAGATCTAGAAAGAAAAAACAAAACAAAACAAAACAGGAAAACAGGGTGCAGAGCCAGAGAATAATAAAAGGAGGTACATAGATAGAGTGATTCGAGAAGGTCTTAACCACCAAAGAGGTAGTACTTAAGCTGAAACTTAAGGTATGAGAATGAGCCAGTATTGACAAGAAATTAGTCATGGAAAGAGCTGATGTACTGGTAAACCCAGATGATCTAAAGCAAGTAAGGGTTTGGAGTAGTAGAAAACCAAGAAGAAAAAAAGGTCTGAAGCAGGAAAAGATTTGGAGTATTAGAGGGCCAGAGCAGACTTAGCAAAAATGAGAATAAGGAGTGGAATAAGATAAAGTTGGAGAGGCAATCACAGGCCATACCACGGAGGTAATGGTATATACCAAGATAAGGAACTGGAATTTCACATTTAATGTATAATAGGAAATCATTTAAAGACTTTAAGAAGGAAGTTCTAAACAATCATTCTGGCTGCAATGTGAAGAATAAGTAAAGGAGCAAGTAGAGAAATCAGGGAAACTAGTCAGGAAGATACTGTAGAAGATCACATGAGTGACGATGCTGTAGCAATGAGAATGGAGAAAAGAGAACACATGTAAATTCCATTTGAAGCATAAAATGAGAGGGGAAAGGAACGGCTAGAGAACAACTCTAAGGTATTTGCCTTGACAAACTGGACAGACAACAGTAGCATAATATATTGAAACAGGGACATTCAACTGTGAGAGAAACAAGAATCAGGAGCTCATTGTGAATATGTTAAATTTGCGATCCCCTTAAAATATCTAAGTTGTCAAGTAGTAATTCTGTATAATGGAATAGAGCTCTGAGAAAAAGTGAGGCTAGAGACATACATGTAAGACTTAGCAAAGTAAATACAATATTTTAAGTTCCTTTTTTCTTTCTTTTAACAAACAGAATGGCTACTATGTGCCAGGTACTCTAAGCAATGGCTTTCAATGGTAAACAAATTACAACTGACAATTTATATTTTAGTGAAGAAGATGAAAACTAAGCCAATGTCTAATACAATGTCAGTTAATAAGTATTATGAAGAAAAATAAAAACAGGGTAATGAGATTTTTAAAAAGGAATGTTATGATGAAATAAGCAGAATATGGGACTAAAATATGATTTTCTAGTAAAGTGCACAATTACAGTTTTAGATACTGTGAATACATAGAAGGAAATAAAAGATGGATGAGGGGGTTTTAAATATCTTTCTATGCATTTTTTTTCTTCTTTCCATCATCTTTCACAGGATAATCTTACTCTTGGTCCAGATCCCATTTTCTCGTATTTCACTCTCTCACTTAATGCCACTCTCATCTCTAATCTCCATCACTCTCTCCCTATTAGCTCTAAATTTTCTTTCCCTCTTTCCTCAAACTTCATTGGTCTCATTTATTTAAAAAAAAAAAAAAAAAAAAAAACCCCCCTTGATTCTACCTCAATCCACATCTTTCTTTTCTTCTTCTACTATCAAATTTCCAATTTTTGAATTGCCTTATTACCCATCCAGTTTTTATATCTCCTTATCATCCAATTTGTTCTTTATATTCTGAAATCTGATCTTTATCATGTCTATTCTCATAAAATTTTACTGTCAAAAGGCATCAATGATTTTCTAATCACCATATTTGATGATCTTTGCACTATGGCTCTACACCACTAATCACTCTCTCAGGTCAACATGTATTAGATATAACTCTGTGCCAGACAGTAGATACTAACTAAACATGTAAAAATGAATTAAATAGAGCTCCTCATATCACAAGGCTTATATTCCAGTAAGGCAGGCAGACACATAAACATATATAATACGATGTAATATAAATAGCGGAACTGTATACAAGATATAGAACTAGTATTGACAGAGGAGTGAATTTTTTCCATAAAGACAGATGTTTCAAGAAAAACATAATGCCTTAACAAAGCATTGAAACACGAATAGAAATTCATTGAACAGATAAACTGGAAGAGGGAAAGGATTTTCTAGCCAGAGGAAACAGCATTTACAAAAAAAAATGAAAAATGGTAGTTCAATTTCTAAAATATAAATTGTGAAACTCCTTAGAACAGGAGATGACATGAGGTACGTATAGGGAACTAATTACAAGAGGAACTTGATTTTTACCTTTCAGGTGACTGGCAGCTTCTGATGGTTTTAAATAAGAAAGTGACATGGTGGTCAGATTCATGCTTAGAATGATCATTCTAGTGGCAGTAAGGAGGAAGTAAGGCTGGAGATAGGGATACAAGTAATGGCTACCACAATAAAGAAAATAAAGAATAAAAATAAGACATTACCAACAGGAAAAGGTATAAGATATTTAGAATTATAACTAAAATACAGGAAGCACAGGAGAGAAAGGAATATAGACCCAACTAATGGGTCTCTTAACTGGCTGATGGGTCTTGGATAAAAAGTATCCAAGAGTCTTCAACGTGTTGAGTTTGAGGAAACTGTCAATAAGCCAGGTGGAAATTTCCTTGAAAATAGCAGGTTGTGACATTTAAAAAAAAAAAAAAAGCCACAAATTTTTTGACAGTCTTTACATTGAGAGGTGAGGGCTATGTTCCCTTTCATTATATCTCAGCAGCTTTGCACTACTTTAAGCAATAGAGACAGAGGAAGATGACACTACGTCCCTTCCAAAGTTAAGTCACAGAAGACAACATGGTTTCCACCTTGTTCATTAGAACACTAGTGCTGAAATCCTGAGTAGTCATATAATCTGAGACTGCCATATTGTGAGGAAGCTAAAGTGTGTGGAGAAATCACACGGAGACACTGACAAACAGGCCCAGCTGAGAATCAGCCTTAAGAGTCACTGCAGCCCAGGGATCAGATATGCAGGTGAAGAAGCTTTCATGATTCCACTCCCCCAGTGTTGAGTCACCCTTAGTATTTAAAATCTTCTCTGATGAGGAACCAGGTATTACAGACCAGAAACGAGCCATCCTCACTGTCTGAATTCTGGCCCACAATATCTATGAGCAGAATAAAATAGTTGTTTTATGCACTGAGTTTTGGGAGAAGGAGTGGTTTTGTTATGTTGCTATAACATCTGGGACACAGGCATTTAACACATTTTATTGAAGTAATTAGTATGTAAATGAATATATGAAAAGATAAAGATTAAATTACAAGAAATATCAAATTTTTTAAAATTTTGAGAAAAGATAGAAAAATATTGTTTGGGAAAATGATAAAATAAAGCTAAAAATTACTTATTGATATGTTATCTCCAGAAGATTTCTTACCTAGGGTTTTCTAATGCTAGAGAGGACAGAAGAGAGGACATACAGAATGGGAAAAAAGAAATTATTACCACACCTAAATATTCAGAATTTTCTATAAAAATTAACATAATTATCTCTCTTCAGCAAAAGCAGTAAGAAGTAAACTTGTCATGATTACTCCTAGATACTATTAATAAATAACAACAGTAGTGGATTGAATTATATCCCTCCGAAACTCCCTGAAGCTTGAATTGTGTCCCCCAAGTTTTATGTGTTAGAATCTTAGTATCCACTGTGACTGTTAAGAGGGTGGGAAATCCTATTACGGTAATTGAAAGGTGGAGCTTTAAAGAGATTGGATTGTGGGACCTTGCATAGTGAATGGATTAACAATGGTGGTCAAGGGCATGGTTCTGAGGGCTTGAAAAAGAAGAGCAGAGTCTGTCTTTCTGTCTCTCTGTTCTCTCTGCTTCCACCATCTTGCAGTGTGAGACCCCTGGGTCACTGTTGCCACTACCAGACGGACTTTGGTCTTCCCAGCCTCAGAAACTGTAAGCAATAAATTGTTTTCTTTATAAATCACCCAGTTTCAAATATTTTGTCACAAGCAACATAAATGGACTAATACAGAAGCAGGGTGTTGCTTATAACAAATACTTGAAAATGTGGAAGCAGCTTTGGAACTGGATGTTGAGGAGAGGCTAGAGGAATTTTGGGGAACAGGCTAGAAAAAGCCTAGATGCTGGTGAAAGTTTAGAAGACAAGAAAACCAGGGAAAGTTTTAGAGACTGGTTAAATGGTGGTGAACAGAATGCTTATGGAAATACAGACTGTAAAGACCCTCCTAAGGAGGTCTTAGATAGAATTAAGAAGGAGTTTATCAGAAACTGGGGCAAAGATCACCCTTGCCATAAACTGGCAAGGAATCTGTCCGCATGCAGACAGAATGCTTATGGAAATAATGGAAATACAGACTGTAAAGACCCTCCTAAGGAGGTCTTAGATAGAATTAAGAAGGAGTTTATCAGAAACTGGGGCAAAGATCACCCTTGCCATAAACTGGCAAGGAATCTGTCCGCATGCAGTACATGCCCTAGGACTTTGTGGAAGTTGGAACTTAAGAGTTGTGGACCAGAATGTTTGGCGGAAGAAATTCCTAAGCCACAAAACATTAAGAAAGCTGCTTGGCTACTTGCAACAGCCTACACTGAGTTATGGCAGCAAAGGCATGACATAAAGCCAGAATTTAAAAGGGAGGCAGAGCATAAAGATGTGGAAAATTTGCAGCCTGGCCACGTGGTAGATAAGCAGAGCGCATATTCAGAAGAAAATTTCAATGGTACTAAGAAGATTTACACAAAAGAATGGGATTATCAGAAGGGGAAAAAGGCCCTGAAGGTACTGCAGGAACCTCCGGGACCAACCCTTCCATTTCAGGCCCAGAGGCCTAGGGAGACAGAATTGTCTTGGGGAACAGGCCTGAAGCACCCTCCATGGGCTTGCTGCTCAGGGCCACCTCAAGAAGCTGCTTCCAGCACCAGCATCCCAGCTGCTTTGGCTGGTCCAGCTGTGGGTAAATTGGCCCCAAGTGTGGCTGGATGTGCAGCTTTGGAAAATACAGGCAGAAAGCCTTGGCGGCATCCACATGCTGTTAGGTCTGGAGGCTTGCAGAATACTAGAGCTGTGGAGGCTTGGGAGCCTCCACCCCAATTTCAAAGGATGTATGGAAAAGTCTGGGGGCCCAGGAAGAGATCTGTCACAGGGGCAGAGTCATCACAGACAGCCTTTGCTGAGCAATGCAAAGCAGAAATGGGGTTCAGAGTTGCAGCAGAGAAACCCCAACAGCACCATGCCTAGTGGAGCTGAGAGAGTGGGACCACCATGGAGACCCCAGACCTGTGGAGCTACCAGAGTGGAACACCAGCCTGGGAGAGGTGAAGTATGGCCTGAGACCAGGAAAGCAATAGGAGTGGAGCTGCCCAAAAACTTGGGGACCCAACCCCCACACCAGCATGTAGAGGAGGTCTAACATGGAGTCAAGGTACCTGATTCACCAGCTTTGAGATTTAATGCCTTCCCTGCTGGGTTTCAAACTTGTTTGGGACCTGTTTCTCCTTTCTTTTCACCTATTTCTCCCTTTTGGAACGGGAATATATACCCTATGTTTGTCCCACCATTGTATCTTGGAAATAGATAACTTGTATTGATTTCACAGATGGGACTTTGAACTTTGGACTTTTGAGTTGAAACAAGTTGACTTTGGGGATGAAATGAATTCATTTGCACGTGAAAAGGACATAAGTTTTGGAGGGCCAGGGGCGGAATGTAGTGGATTGAATTATGTTCCTCCAAAACTCCCTGAAGCTTGATTTGTGTCCCCCAAATTTTATGTATTAGAAACAGCCCCCATTGTGACTGTTAAGATGGTGGGAAATCCTATTACGGTAATTGAAAGGTGGAGCCTTAAAGAGATTGTATTGTAGGACCCTGCAGTAGTGAATGGATTAAAAATAGTCGTCAAGGGCACAGTTCTGAGGGCTTTAAAAGAAGAGCAGAGTCTATCTTTCTGTCTCTCTGTTCTCTCTGCTTCCACCATTTTGCAATGTGAGACCCTTGGGTCACTGTTGCCACTACCAGATGGACTTTGGACTTCCCAGCCTCCAAAACTGTAAGCAATAAATTGTTTTCTTTATAAATCACCCAGTTTCAGGTATTTTGTTATAAGCAACACTAACAGACTAATACAATGACTCAGATGATTCTGTAGGAGTCATTGAAAGTTATTCAGAAGAATGTTTCAATTTATTGAATGTGCCCCCCTAAGCAACTAAAAGCTTTTGAGCTAACAGAAATTAGAACTTATTCCACTCCCGTGAGAGGATCTTAAAAGAGAATAAGCCAAAAGACATAAGCCTCTATTTCCAATGAGGAAGATGAAAAAAATCAGAAGCTTGTTTTGACTACTATAAAAGGTAGGCAGGTCAAGAGGCTATAAGAGTAGTATAAAGGGCCTGGGCCATATTCACAGATTGTTTGAATGGAATTTATGATACTACACCTTACTCTTTTGTATCTTTACAATAAGAAAGAATGGGAAATTGTAGAGCTCATCCATGGCGCACTAAGAACCATTAATATGTCATCCACTATTGGCTACACCCATCACAAAGAAGAGAATCCAGAGACCATGACAGAATATAGTTTGCTCTGGGAATAGTTGTAAGAGAAAGGCATGAGTATTTAATGACATTTCTTTCTTTGATTGCAATATTCTATCTGTTCCATACTCCTTTTTTTTTTTTAAGTGCCTAGTTGAAAGAGGTTTGATTCAGCTAAATGCTTGCAAGTGAGCTAAAGAAAATGACCTGGATAAAGTCATCCATAAGTCATTCTGAAACTATAAATAGATAGTACATTATATACAGTGTGTACTGATATTCAGAAACACAATATTTAGGATAAATTAATATCTGCAAAATCTCCCCAAACAGAAAGATATCATTCAAAGAAAAATGGCTAGTATCACAAAGTTCAAGGATCACACAAATTTACCTCCAGGTGTTCCAAGTTATTTGTTCTCTGAACAAGCATATTATCCTTTTGCAAGATGTCCCTGTACTTTGCAGTCAGTTCGTTGTATTGTTTATTGGCTAATTCTAGTTCAGATGAAGAGACACTATTATCTATAACTTTTTGGAGAGCCGCAATCTTGAAAATGGACATTTCCTATGTAAATAAAAACACACTGAGTTATGTTAGTGCATTTTTTTTTTTTTTTTGGTGAAGCACTAACCACTTTTGAGCAGGATAACACAAGATAATACAACTGAAAGCAACACAGTTTCATTTTTTAACCATTTAAAAAGTATATGATTTCCCATGTAAGAGAAAATTTGCAATAATATTAATCTCTTTCATATAAGAAATAATACTTATTTGGAAATTCTAAATCATAATAAAAATAAATATAAAGTGAACCCTTTTATAACTCCTGTCATAGTAAAATGAAATTCAATTAATTTGAGAAAGTATAACAGTAGCAAGAAAATGTATCACTCAGAATATATCTCTGAATGGCTTTTCTAAATTTCATAAGATCAAAATACAACCTGCCTTTTGACAGATGGATGGCAAAATTAGCCTTATCTCAGGTACAGCTTAGCTATTTCTGCTTATTACAATTTACACAGACTAGCTTTGTAACAAAAGAAAACTTTCTGCTCACATGAAGGAAACATTATTTAGGGGAAAACACCTCTCATAGTTATCTATGTTTGTTACTTTATGTCACTTGGTTCATGTTCTACTCACCAACTATAAAACTATAAAAAGTCACTACTCAAAGATACCTTATAATTAACATCAAAAAGAAATGTCTGAACTTTCTCTACAGTAAATTGCTCTGTGATAAGCAAAAACTATATAGAAAAGTAAAATGAAGAGTGATGGAAGCTGATTAAGAAGTGGTGCAAGGAATAATCAAATTTATGAAGTGAGAGAGAAAGAATTTATGCTTATAATTCATTCTGTTTTTTTTTTTTTTTTTAAAGATGACCGGTAAGGGGATCTTAACCCCTGACTTGGTGTTGTCAGCACCACGCTCTCCCAAGTGAGCTAACTGGCCATCCCTATATAGGGATCCGAACCACAGTCTCCCAAGTGAGCCAAGGGCTGGCCATGCTTATAATTCATTCTGAAGTACAAAAATAATTATAACAGTGTTTCAGATCTCATTTTGACAGCTTCTCTTCTCTATCTAAATAAGTACACACTATTTGAGGTTTGGTTTCACTTCTTATGGTGGGGAGAGAGATAGGGGTAGACAGGGTTCTGTTTCCCATCACTTAAAAATATCCCTTTTTCTTGGCTTTCCAACTATTGCAGAAAAGAAAAAAGAAATTCAGGTTGAATGACCAGGTTGGAGAGAAATAAAATACTAGTTGTCTTTTCATTTCTATCTCAAACACTAACTATATTTGTAAAACTCCAAAAAAAGTATATTCTAAAAAATCTAACACAAAACAAGAACATTTCCTATTTCTCAAAATTTCCTTATTATATGTCTGAATAAAAAGAGCTTTCTTTTTTTAACAGGTTTCTTAGTGCACCAGGAATCAGGTTTAAGATCACACTTGAAATAGGTATATTAGCATGAAAATATCACTCATTACTGTCTTTAAAATGGATGGTAAAGAGGCATCAGAGAGAAATAACACATGTCCTCACTCATAAGTGGGAACTAACACATAAACAAATAAAAAAATGAAAGAATCATAAAACAATCATAATAATACACTGAACTTTCAAAAGGAGAGAACAGAACTGAGGTTATCAGAGGTGGGAAAGGGAGTGTGGAAGGGGATAACGGAGAAATTGGTAAAGGGCCATGAAAAACAATTACATTGTATAATGTTGAATATCCTGATTTGAGCATCACATATTGCACACAAGTATTGATATTCAACTGTGTACCACACAAATATGTACAATCAACTATGTTCCTATTAAAAAAAAAATTAATTAATTTTTTAAAAAAGAACTCCACCTTTCAGGTGATGGAAAACCAAAACAGGGATTTTGATCATGGAAATGACATGAAATAAAAACATTTAAAAAATATATTCATTACTATGATGTCTAGTATGAACCAGAATGGGGAGAGATGGTATCGGAGAAGCTGAGAATGAATTATCATATTCCATGTTTGAAAACACAGGAACTTGAAAAAGAGAAACATAAAGAAAAATAGAAGAGAAAAATTCGACAAAAATTGATAAATATTTGATTGTAGTATGCAAGGGAGGGAAAAGTGGGGGAAAAAGCTGAAGAAACGGGAGGATTGAATAACTATTTGATCCATTTAGTTTGCTTAGTACAGACTGAGTAATTTTCCAAAATTTAATTCTATGGGCCTCATATACTCCTGAGTAAGAATTAAAGGCAGTGTAAAGCCATCATCATTAACAAATACTGTTAAAAAGTACGTATGCCAACAAAGGTGGATCAACTGAGTGTACTAATTTAATGTATGAAGAAAAACACTTTTTTAATCATCATAGCACAAAGTATGGCAAATCTCTGAAAGCCTCATTTAAATGTTTTCTCAGCACCATGCCATGCTCCATGTGTTTCCTTCATTTTGTCAAAATGGTTCCTTTTATGTGAACCCTGTCTTCTCCTTTCCACGTACCTAAATAATATTTATTCTTTAAGGCCCATCTTCTCTAAGAAACATTCCCTAACTCCTCAAACACACATTGAACACCCATTCTTCCTTGAACTCCTAGGGCCCTTGCTGAATTAGCCACTTAATTTGCTCTTAATTATGTATGTCAGCAGTACACTATTCACATTTCACAAAATGTATCACACCTACTCCCATTACTCCAAAAAGAGGAATTCTGAACACGTTTAGAAAATGGCTACATCACTGCAATGTGCACACTTACTCAGGGTAATTGCACTGTAAAATATCATTATTAATTAATATCCATTCAGTAATTCAAATAAAATGTTAATTCATTAAAAAAAATGGATGGTAAAGAACTTAAGTTCATTTTTACTTTGAATTCTGTGTTCATATAATCCTACCTAAATTTAGACACATAAACTCAACATTTACATGCTTAAAAATAAGCTATAAGGCTGGATATGAAGCATGGTGCAGAAGAATGTACATGGCATGTAACCTTCCCTGTCTTTGTTTATGTTGGGGGAAAAAAAGCATTAGAAGGATAATCATTTAGTATAGGTGATAGGGCATAATTAAGTGAAAGTCACAGAGATGAAAGGAAGATTTATCTGGTTAAACCTTTCAAATATGTAGCTATTTTATACATTCAAATTAAACAACCAAAAATATTAATCCCTAAAATTGAAAATAAACGAAAAATAAATGAGCCTAACTACATATCAAATGTATAACATAACCACATGAAGAAGAGAATTATTTCTAGTAACAGTAGAATGTTCCTTTGCCTATACATCGTTAGTGAGATGTTTTTTTTTTTCCTAAAAGATGACCGGTAACTTAACCCTTAACTTGGTGCTGCCAGCACCACACTCTCCCAAGAGAGCTAACTGGCCATCCATAAATAGGGATCCAAACCCGTGGCCCTGGTGTTATCAGCACCACAGTCTCCCAAGTGAGCCATAGGCCGGCCCATTAGTGAGATATATTCTAAAGAAAATAAGAACTGTAAGAAAATGTGAAACTATGTTTGGTAGCACTGCTGTTATTGTTAATACCAATACAAGTTATTATTATTTCCAAATGTATATTGTGGGATAAAACAATTATTTTACTATTAATAATCAAGATTCTCTATGTAAGAAAAAGAAATACAAGTACAAAAGATCAAAGAGGGGTAGTAAAAACCCCATATGCTTTACTTACCCCATAATGTTAAATTTGAATTGAAAATAACAATATGAACTCATGGTTTAAATATACACATATTTTCCTAACTTGTCCACTGAAAGGAACTAGTAGCAATGACACACAGTGACCAGTTTTTGGTATCCAAATTATTTACTCCCTAAAAAGAACCAGGGCTCTTTAGATAAAAAGCTAATTCCAAGTCCAAACAGAAAGTATATTAGGTAAGTTTAACACATCTTGTGCCAGAAAACAAACCAAGCTTTGAAGTTCGGTTCAGGGACTCATAGATTCTTGTCAAAAAGAAATAGAGTCAGCTTTAAAGGGCTCCCACTGGCAGAAGTTGAGACAGAAGAATAATGACAACTGAATAACACACAATGAATATTTAAAATTCTGTGAGTCTGTTACACTGTAAGAGAAAGTGGAGGGGGAAAAACAGGAAGAAGGAGAGCACAACAATTCTGTATTCTGAAAACTGGCAATTAAAAGGAAAGAATGAATTATTTATTTATTTATCTTGCTTTTGTAGTAGGAACTATACATCAAGATAACCAAATTGCCTAGGCTAATGAGGGAAAGCTCTTTATTTTACAAAAGAATGCCTGTAAATAAATATAAAAGTATAATGTAACTAGAAAACCATGATTTTTGCAACTCTTAATGAAATAATTAAGTCAGGCAACAATCAGTGGGTACTAAAACTATTAGGAGGACCGAAGAAGAATTTGTTATTTGCATGTTACCAAAATATCACCGAATAGTTAACTCAATCACTCAATAATGGAAGTATATGGCTGTCCTCCCATTAACACGGGGATCAATCACAAAACGGGAAAACCAGACATATTCTCTCTTGAAGTGATGCAATATAAAGTAAAGAGCATTACTTATGAAGTACTCTTGCCAAAAATATTTAACCTGAATCTAATAAGGCTTCAGAGCTAATTTTTAATAAGTACAAGGGGTAGAGGAAGAAGTAAAATGACACACAGAAAAATCAGATAAACCTTTAAACATTTTTTAGAGGAAAACAAAACAAAACAGGGAGATCCTAGATCCTCAATTGAAACATGGGACAAATGAGGAAATGTGAACATAGCCTAGGCATTAGGAATACTAGGGAATTATTGTCAGTTTTGCTGGGTATAATCAAGTTACTGTGGTTATGTAAATTTTAAAAAAGGTTTGGTTTTTAGAGATGCCCACTAATATATTTAGGGGAGAAATGTCTGCAATTTAAATATTCCTACAAACAAGAAGAAGCCCTCACAGCAAATGTTGATAAAAGTTAAATACTAATCCAGGTGATGGGTGTAAATGATGCTATCCTATCTTTTGCATATTTAAATATCTTCACAGAGTCAAAAAAACAAAATAAAAATCAGATGTACCTTAAATCTTTGTAAACATCCAATTTTTTCACAAACTTCATCCTCCATTGATAACAATTCATTCTTTAGTTTCCCATTTTCTTTTCTAAGTTGTCGCTCCATTTCTACTAAGGTTGTATATTGCCTTATGAGTGACTTTTCATTTACTTGCAAGACAGTGATTTTTCTACTATTTTCTGAAAGTGTCTTTTTCATTTCATCTGAATTCATCTGAAGAGTACTGAGCAAATTCTGCACAAAGACACATTGATATTACTTGTTGAATCTAGCTATCCTACTTTATATAATACTGTATACTGATGTTAAAAGTCTTACATTATATTCTTTTACTTTTATAGCATCTTGTTGAATTTGATCCTCAAGTTTTTTCTTTTCCTCTTTTATTGTTTCGGTTTCTGTTTTCCAGATCTCCTTTTCACTGAAAAACAAAACAAAACAAAACAAAAAGACTGTTTAGTAAACCCGATAAAATGATTAAATTTAGGAAGAGCTAACTTTAGATTATGAAAATTTAAAGTTTTCTGAAAACAAGAGACATATAGTTACTCAGTACCTGATAACAAAGAAATTAAAATTACATTCAAAAAGAATTTAGCCTAGAATTAAAATTTTTTGAAAATAAATGCAAGGTAATAAAGTTATTTTATAAAATTAATTTCATTCTTCCCTGATTCATCATTCTAAAGGAATTACAATATAACAATTAAAGCTGAATCTTATAAACATTTTATTGAAAATTGAAAAGAATTACAAAAATAGTCAATATCTCAATCTAATTCTGGAAATCAAGTCTTCACATTCCGACCCTACTCTTAAATTTGAGTGTTAAATACTTGCAATATTGAATACAAACAACATTAGAAATTATTAGACTTACAAAAAGGTGTATAAAGAATGCAAAATTTCACTTACACTGAGGGAATAAGTTTAAGAATACATCTGGTAACTATAATGAACAATAGACTGTATACTTGAAAATTGCTGAGACTAGATTTTAAGTGTTCTCACCACAAAAAAAATAATAATTATGTGAGGTAATACATTATGTCAAATAGCTTAATTTAGCCATTTCACAATGTGTACATATATCAAAACAATTTTTACTTGTCAATTTAAAAAATACATGTAGATAAATTTTTTAAAAAGGTTTATAAGACACTGTTGCCTATACAAGAGACATTCCACAATTGCCTATAATCTGCTTGGCATAAACCACATCACTCTCTTTGCCACTGAATGGTTCAGACTTGAACATGTGACCCAATTCAGGCTAATGAGATCTGAGACAAAATGTGCCAGATGCCTCTGGAAAAAATTTATTTTAAAATAAAAAGTTAGAAAAAAATGTTCCTCTTCTTCAATGGGCATGGCTCCATCTTCCTTGAACTCTTGCGGTTATTTTACAACCATAGTAGAGACAATGACAACCCCTAACTATGACCAATCCTATAACTAGATCAGGGTTTCTTCTTAGATCAGATAACAATCACCCTTAGTGTTTAAATCACCTTTGATTAGGTACTCTAATTCCTACTACAGAAATCATTCTGATATAGATAAGGTGGCAAAGATGAAGAGAAATGTTTTAATGCCCCATGAATATATCTAAATGATGATGAAAGTGATGATGATGAACAATGCTAACAGGTGACATTTACAAAGTGTCCATATGTGCCATGCATTAGTCTGACATGTTCATGTAATAATTCACTTCAGTTTCACAACAATCTTATAAAAAAGGTATTACTATCACAGATAAGGAAACTGAGACACAGAATGATAAAGCAATTTGCTCAAGATCTTATAACTAGCAAATGTTAAAGTCTGGATTAAACCCAGGTAGAACAATCCAAGGATATGGATGGGCTTGTAATCGTGAAGCTACACTGTCTTTCTAAAAACATGTCCTTGATAGCAGTTATGAATATAAAACAGAAAAATAAATGTGGAGGGGAAGAGGCAAGAGGCAACGGCAAAATAAAATATCTAATCTTTTTATGTTACTTTCATTATAAAGAAGAATATATTGCAATTATATTTATAAAGTTTTGCTAATACCTATACCTTAGATATTCTTTATATAATAAGCTTTGTTGATGACGAATTACTGCAAATTTTCTGTTATAGTCTTCAAGAGAATTTTCTAAATTCTTTAACTTCTTTTCTTTATTTTCTAGTTCCTAAAAATTGGTTTAAAAATAGGAATGAACAAAGCATCAAAATACATTTTGAATTCAAAGGTATAAATTATATTCTGACATTACAGAAAAATATATAAAAGAGAAAAACCACCAAATCCATTAACAGCACAGATCATTTCTAATGATATTTCTAATGATATTTTGAACATTTTAGTTTTAGGCATAAAGAATGGAGCAATATGTATAAGAAAGAAATACTATACGACAGGTAAAAACTATTTCTATCACATGATAGTTACAGTAAGCACGAATTATCAGACACAATAGTTACCATAGCACAAACTTTTATCAAACACAATACTTACAAACTCACCGCTAGTTGCTCAGCCACATAGCCTTTTTTCAACATACACTTCCATTATCCTTTCCAATTATTTCATTTTAAAGATGAAAAAATTGAGACTTAAAAAGATTAACTTACTCAACACTGAAAAACTCATTAGCACTACACTCAGGCATTTACCAAGCACATATGCCAGGCTTGATGCCAGATGCTTTCCATATATGCAGATCCAACAGTTGAGGTCGGGTCTGTCTGACTCCAAAGATCTTGCCATTTCCATCACTCTATACTGCCTTAGGATTGAGAGTCCAGGTATTTGTTTTGCCACTTTGGACAGGTTTTCAGGCTCCCATCAGATGCTCTCTAATCTACGACAACACTTCTGATATGTTTTTCATATAAAGATGGAAAACATGAATTGTATCTCAAACAACATAATAATGCCATACTGCCATTACTTGCTGACAGTGTCCCTATATTGGAGGAGAATAAGAGAACTCCTAAAGAATACTAAAATTATAAATGTAAAAGTAATGATATAACATGAATTATAATGTTCTGACAAATAGTTAGGTTTGGATAACATATAAATTCTAATATTCAGAAAAAGATTAATTAGTGTAATTTCCAAATACGAAATTGAGTATTCAATAACCATAATTCAAGCCCATTCACAAACAGATCACCTAGCAGACTGAAACAGTGGTGCTTATAATCAAAAACATATTTTCTTTGATTCTGAACACATTTTTGTAATTATACTCATATTTGTAGTGCATGTGATGTTATGGGAATTCAAATTTCAAATGAAATAATAAAAAGCATGTCTCATTAGGCCATTCACAATGACCAAGATTTAGACAGCAAAACTGAGAAACAAACACCAGTCAAGCAGTATAATAGAATATCCTTTCTAATTTGCTAATGGATTAACTTATACTTTCTAGGGTAAAGGGAAGAAAAAGATAAAAGATAATTTGGCTTAAAAGCTTTTTCTTATGGTTAACACAAAATTATTCCAATCATGATACTAAAAAGCTTTGTTAAGACTTTATTTTCTTTATTTTCTTATCCAACCAGCAATCAATAAAAGTGCTCATCTTATTTATACATTACTTTATAGCAGCTGCTGCTTGTTCTACATGTCAATCATATATTTCATATGAATGACATGCATGTGAAGATATGTGCACATGCTTCTCATGCAGATGAGTCTGATGAACTGCTTTTATTTATAATATACCATGTAACATCAAAATTCATTAGGAATATATCACTGTTAATATTTGGAAAACTTAAGGAAGACTAAATTAAGAAACATACTATCAATGATTTCTATTATTTACATGTAAAATTTTCAGTACCTGTAAGAGATGTATTAAATATTCATTCTGAGAATTAATAATATTGGCACTAGATGGTGCTATCCCATCAGGTAGGTCTACTCCTTTAAAAACAACATTTGATCCTTCTGATTGTCGTAAAAGACTGGTTTCTTTTTCAAGATGATCTATCTGGAAACAAATAATCCAAGGATGAGAATCACATCTCTTACACCCAAAGACAAATGGAAAAGCAGTTACTTATACTTCATGCTTTGTCTAATGAATATTTTTAAAAAACAGATATGTGAATGCCCTTCTAGGAATTAATTAAACCATACCTTAATTTCTATTTAGAAATTCTTAGGTATAAGACTTAGAATTTTTGTTTTTATATTATAGGGCACTTATTTGTCCACTTAATTTTATTTAAAAAATCCAAACAGATTTTTAACGTTGAAAGAATTAATTCAAGGGGCATTTTCTTATAAAGCAGTCTTTCAAAAAATTAGAAGTTTCCTATTAAATTTATGTTGTTATGCTCAGCATTTTCTTTTATTTAATAAAATTCTCACCTTTAAATTTGCTTTTGCCAACTGCTCTGAATAATTTATAGCTTCCTTCCGAGATTCTCTGAGCTCTTGTCTTAATTCTTCATTCCTTCCAGTAAGTTGATCAACTTGGGCTTTCAAATGCAGACTGGCATCAAAGATTCCTTCTGCATTCTTTGATTCTATAGCCTAGTATATTTATATTATATATGGGAAATATGGATGAAAACGGTAAAATCATAGTAAAAAAATCTACCTTTCAATAAAATTGACATTTAACCATTTTTCCTATTCCCATTACCATGCAGAAAAACAAAATACATCAGTTCAATTTCCTATTTACTAATTTATAAAACTTTTAACTTACATTAACAAGCATAGTAATTACTTCATTATAACAATTAACAAACATCTAGTTAATCTTAATAGACTGGTAGAGTAGAAAAATAACTGAACAGGAATAAGATAACTAGGGTTCAAACCTTAACCAGTCTCTTACTAGCTGGGCAAGTAACTTTAATTCTTTAGACCTTAGTTTCCTTGTCTCTAAAGAAGGGGAAATAAGGTTACCTCTGCCCATTTCACAGGGTTTTTGTATAGTCAAAATGAGGTAATTTATATATAAATGGCTTGAAGTTATACAGCACCTGAGTATAAAGCATAAGTAAAGGAATGGAATAGCTACTACATTCAACTAAGTGAATTTTTCAGTGCTTCCTCTCCACACAGTTGAAGCATAAGAGAGTACTTCAAAAAAGTTCATGTAAAGATTCTTATTATCTTTTAATTCTATTTTTCCACGACTTTTTGAAATACCCTTGTACATGATAACAAAGGTAGACACCAGAGAAGGAAAGTCAGAATGAGAAAGATATAAAGGAAATCAACTGGTTCTCATAAATTTTGTCAAATGATTTTCTTGCTTAGTAATTTTTTAACATACCAGTATCACTCTGTCTGCTAACAATTATAGTGTTAAGTATTCAACTATTGATTAAATGTGATTAAAAAAAACCACAATTCAATAAATAAGAATTTTTTCTATTTAAATCAAGCACAAATTTGGGAAACAATATAATATTGTACAGTAAATATGTCTAGATAATGTAAATGACATATACTTAAATATTAAGAATCTAAAATGTGTACTTTATTCAGATTTATATAACAGACACTCATTAATACTGTGGAACACTTAAGTCCCTGTATGGTAGATACAAATAGAATATTATTTGATGGCTAAATCTTTCCTGTAGCAATGGGTAAGTCTTTAAACATTTAAAGTAGAGCTATACGATTATATCTCCAGATTTGTGGCATTAGTTCCCAACAGAACTGTAGGAACCACATATAACCAATGAATACAAAAAACAAATACCTAAAGGTTTTAGAAAATGAACAAAATAAGCAAAAATAAGCATATTTTGGAGGGAACTTGAAACGTGGGAAATAGGACCAGCAAGAATTGAGTTTGCCATTTTTAAGACTTTAGTCTTAGGGCATGCTGTTGCAGTGGCCTGTCATCTTTCTGGTCTAGAAAACCAGAGGATAGAGCCCAAGCCACAGGAAAGTGGGGAGGGAATCCCAATAAGAAGAAAGCCAGCAAAAAGGAGCTCCAGATTCTGTGTATAAAACTCTGCCAGGTCTCAGTTTGACCCTTGAACCAGAAGAATGGAGATGACAGAGGGAAGTGTGAGTGAACTTGAAGATAGACCAATAGCATTATCCAAATGGCAGAAAAAAAAAAAAAAAGATTAGAGGGAAAAAAAATGAATAGAGCCTGAGGACCTGTGTGACAATATCAAAAGGTTTAATACATGTGTCACTGGTGTCCCAGAGAGAATGGGACAAAAAAATAATTGAAGAAATAATGGTAGAAAACTTCCCAATTGTGGTGAATAGCATAAGTGAACAGATTCAAGATGCTCGGCAAACTCCAAACAAGATACACATATATGCTCATTCACACACACACACACACACACACACACACACACACACACACACACACACACACACACACACACACACACACACACACCCCTAGGTACTTTACAGTCAAACTGATGAAAACCAAATATAAAGAGAAAGTATTAAAAGCAGCCTGAGAAAAACTACACATGACATACAGGGAAACTATGATTCAAATGACTGCAAGTATCTAGACATCGGAAAATATGGAGATCAGTACACAGTGAAACAACATCTTTAAAGGGCTGGGGGAAAAAAACATTAACATGAAAAATAACTTACATTAACTAGTCTTTCAAGACTAGGGATAATTAGAGATGTTTCTCCTCCTTTAACATCAGGATCTTTCTGCATTTCCTTAATAGCTTGCAATATTTCTTTCATACCTTCTTCAAGCTGCTTATTTTCTTCAACTAATGCTTTTACTGTAATTACATATTTTTCTCATTAAATGAATAGATCTTTTTCACAATTTACCATATTCTACACAGATGAAAATATTTCACATATAGAAAAAAATAACCACTGGGAAAAGGCAGATGTAAATAAATACAAAAAAAAAAAAAATAACTGTAAATCCAGCATGAATACTTGAGTTAAATGGTAGGGAGAACTATTAAATCATGTGCATATACACATATATCTCATAGCTGAGAAAAATGAATCCCCAGTATACTTTTGCCTTAATTTAAACTATGCTTTATATTAAAAATCTTTCAAATTCAGTTTTCTATTACTCCACTTTGACTAGAGAACACAAAAGGAAAACTAGACATATAGCCTCACAAAAAATCCAGATTAATAACATTCTTTAACAATGAAATAGCAAGGCAAACCAACTGGATGAGTGAAAGAGACTGAAGTATATATTTTGCAGAGGTATTTAAGGGTAAAAAAGATTAGAAAACAGAGACTATATTAAAGTCATTTCAGACCCATGATTTTAAGTATAGAAAAATAAGAAATAATAGTAACTTAGTAACTTACACTTATTCTGATATTTGGTTATCACTGTCCTACTTCTTTCTAAATCTCTTTCCTTTTCAATAAGTTCTCTTGAAAGAAATTCATTCTGAACAAAACAAAGAAACTAAAATTGATATTTTTTTTTTTTAGAAAATATCACAATAGTCCATAGTTTTTAAGTTAAAAATTTTAACCAATAGAGGTATAACACAAGTTATAGAGACATAGCAGCAATCGTAAAATAAAGTCTAAAGAGTAAAACAGATGATGCAGGCAATGAACCTCTTCCCACCTTCTCCCTCCTCCAACTCCCATGACAAAAGGCAAAGAGATATAATGAAAGTTTTTGTCTTTAGTACAACAGTTATCTCTTTTAATGTTCTGCCTTTACACTACCTGTTCTGCCTGGCTTCTATGACGTTCAAGCTCTATTTCTGCATTTCTATTCTGTGCTTCTTTGATCAATAAATCCTGTGCTATGACTTCATTCTAAAGAAACATTTAATAAATTAGACAAGACAATAAGTCCATATTAAATGTATGGCATTTTTAGATTTTTAAAAACAGAATGTGTACAAATTAGTGTTATTGTGCAAACAAAAAAAATTATTATAACTGTAGAGAACTTTGTTAGAGAAGTCATAAAAAAGTGATCCCAGGAATACAATTTGAAAGAAAGCTCACCTGAGATCTAAGAAATACTAGTTCTCTCCGTAGCTGCTCTATAAGATTTTCAAGTGGCTCTATCTGAGATAATTGTGATTGTGCAGTGGGCATAGGATCTGGAAGATTAACTTCAGACTTATTTTTCAAAATCTCTGTCTGTAAGGGTACTTCACTTTTTCTTGTATCTTCTTTCAAATTGTTATCAGTATACTTTATTTGGGTGTGAATCTGTTCATCTTCTGATGCTACTATGTGAGATTTATCCACATCAGCTCTATTACCATGAATTTGTTGAAAAAATATCGCAGATTTTTGCCTAAGTGATAACTTCTGCATTAAGTCTGAAGCTGTTGATAAGGCTTGAAAAGATGAATCACTTTTTTGTATGGAACTAGTCTTCTCTAGTGCTTGATGGCTTCTTGACACTTTTTTCATACAATCATCAGAAAGACAGCATAAGTAGTCATTTATGTCTTCATGGTTCTCCCTACTAAAGGTACTGACTAATGATTCTAGATTTCTTAAAGATTGTAGACATGGTGCTTTAAAAATCTCTCTTATTGTAATAGTTTCTGGAGTTGAATTATCTTTTACTTGCAAGGATGAAGAATATTTAGTATTAGAGACAAAAGGATCCACTCCACTTTCTAAACTATGATGAATTTCAGATAACGTTTTTGATAATGGTCCTATAGTCATATTCTCTTCTGACTCATTCTCATCTGATTGTGGAATACTGAATGATGGTCTCCTACGCAGCAGCTTTATTTTATCTGAACTCCTAATCTGTATTCAGAATAAATAATGTCTCATTAAGCAATCTTTGGATCAACAGGTTATTTATATAAGCAAACATTTTTCTCTACTTATTTAACAACTACAAAAAGAAATTAATATTCAAAATGAGATAATAGAGGAAGAAATGAAACAATGATAACATTTTCCTTTATTCTCTTTGCCATAGTAGTAGTTTACTGTTTACCTTTGATTGTGCTTCACTCATATTTTTCAGGCTCACTAAATCCAATTTTCTTTCTCTTATTTTATCTCCTTGAGAAAAGTTTTCAGATAGGTTCAGGTCCTCAATGGTTAATCCTACATATGAAAAAAATAACAAAAAAAGTTTTAACCAAAACAGAAGGTAGAATAATTGTTTCTAAAATCTTTGACCCACATGTAGCCAATACAACTTTCTGATCTAGCTCACTTTTAATAAATTATTGATAATATGAGAAACCAATCTGAATTTTATTTTCTCTTCCATTCTTTGCCCATTCCATATTAAAAGTGCTAATTAATAAGTACTAAAATAGGATAGACACATATAAAGAAAGTAAACAAGAATCATGAGTAATTAATAAGCTGGTTATTACACTAATAAATTACAGTGTTTCACTTCTCTAGAAAATTTTTGATGTAATACACAAACCATAATGCTAAAAAAATCTCTCTGCTATTATTCATAAATTTGCTTGTGGGCTTTGGCTGAGATAAAAAAAAAATTCTTTCTCTTAAAAAAACACATGCAATGGCTATAATAAAACTTAACCAACTGTTCTCTTTACATCAAGTAAGACAAATCACAAAAAAGTTGTTAATTTACATTCAATAAAACATTACATTCAATTACATTCACTTAGTAAAGAATAATTTACAAAGAAGGTTTTCAATACATAGCCCTTAAGGAAGGGGAAAATATTAAGTATAACATATATTAACATAAAAATTACTAAGTTTTCTCATTATTAATCACAACATATTGGGGCTGTCTAGAAATTGAAAGACTACACTATAAACTTTTTAAAAGTCCACGATTCCTTGTATTTTGTTCACTTGTTTGGTTTTATTTTATTCAGGACTGAACCCAGTGACACTCACTTATCTCTTACTCAGGCCATAATTTTCATTTATTAAACTTGTAGCAGAACCACAGTAATATAACGATAGTATTTCTAACATCCAGAAAATTCCAGATCTAAAAACTGAATTCTCAATAATTTTTTTTAAAGGTTTGGAATAACTGAGTATACCTGAAGTTGCACTTCTTTTTCCTCTTTCTTGAGCCATTTGACGAATTTTTTTTTTCAGATCAAGTCGCTCTTCCTCTAGACTTTCAATCTGCAAAGTATGAATTATTAGTATTTCTCTTCAGTTCAGCCAAGAAAATAATCAATTGACCACCATACTTGCCTCTTTCAAAAGAATTTGGTTTTCAGCTCTGTACTGCTGTTGTTTTAAGCATTTGCTATTTCTAAATTCAGTTAAATCAATCATTGTCTTTGGCTCAAGGCCTAAAATAGAAACGAATACAATTAAAAACTTTAAAACATTCACATGAACTATTAAAAGTTCATATATCATCAAGCAACTGGTTATAATTCATTTGACAGTATTATTAAAGAATGGAGTACTTTTTGTGCAACAATTTTGGATACATTCTTGAACTGTACCACAAACATTTTACTACAATTATTAATGGAAATCCTGACAAAAACCTGAAGTAAATTATAAACCAAGATTTGGAGCCTTCTAAACACAGAAAACATGGTGTTTGTGACAGCTATCTACACTGGCAGAAGCCATCTTAGGAGCTTCCAGATTCCTGGCTGTGATCTGATAGGTCAGGTTGATCAGAAGTCTAACTTGAGGTCCTAGCAAACCCCAGGACCCTAGTTAGAACAGACACTTTTCACAAACAAATAATCTGTATAAAATATTTATTTTTCCTTCCCTAGAGAAAAGTTAAGTCATTTTAACTCTAAGAAAGCATTAACTGATATATAGCAAGTATAATAAAATCAATATATAGATCTTTATTTTCATTTTAAAGAAGCAACTTAGACTGTCATAACATTCAAATTACTAATATTCACTAATGAACTATTTATTGAAATCAATATATAAACTCTCAAGCTACATATACTAATTACTTCATAGAATCAATAGAAACTTTAAAATACTCAACCAAAGCAAAACACAAGCAGTCTAAATTGTAAATGTCAAGTACTTAAAAAGTCTTTAAAAGGTTTAAACAGTATTTCTGAATGTCCTCATGAATTCACCTGAAACAAGAACATTTTGCAAATGAACATAGGTCACACAGATCCTACTTTGGTTGAAAACAAAAAAAGGATAAGTTCCGATATGTAGTATTAACATAATAGACTTCCATTTTTTAAACAAGTGGTTATTTCTGAGATAATAGATTAAATAAAGCAATGCTCCAGGCCTGCATGACCACCATTCCAAACCCATCAAATCCCCAATCCTACTTCAGAGTAGCTCCACTTTAACTTGTTTTAAATGTTTTTATGGAAGTATTTATTTGAAAGAAAGCATTCAACTACTTAATAATAATAAACAAAACATAAAGCAAAAAATACTTGAAAATCAGACTTGAGTAAAGCACTTATCTGATGGCTTACCCACACGCTCTCTAAGTGCCTCATTTTCATCGAGAAAATCATTGATCTTCAACTCAAGTTTATTGATTTCCTTTGTCAATACTTCGATCTCTCGATCTCTTATTTTAATTTGGTTTTTACAATTTTTTATTTCGACAACAGCATCTTCTAAACCATATACTCCCTGAAAAATAGCCAATCTAAATTAAATACAGTCAGCCCTCTGCATCCACAGCTTCTACATCCATGGATTCAACCAACCATGGATTAAAAATATTCAGGAAAAAAAAAACAATAAGAAATAACAATACAACAATAAAAAATAATACACATTTTTTTAAAAATGCAGTATAACAATTATTTACATAGTATTTACATTGTATTAGGTATTATAAGTAACCTGGAGAATCTAGAGATGATTTAAAGTATATAGGAGGATGTGGGTTATATGCAAATATCACACCATTTTTTATAAATGACTTGAGCATCCTCAAATTTCGGTATTTTTGTGTGGTCCTGGGGCCAATCTCCCCTAGATACTAAGGGATGACTATATAACATGGTTTATTTGAATAGTTTTACCAAATTCATTAATTTATTTCTTATGTCTAAGGGGAAATGCATATCTACCTACGATCTATATCACTAACCTAGGTTTTCATTGTGTTTTTATAAACCAAGACCAGTAATAATAATGATGGAATACTGAACAGTTGAACTTTCCCAGTATAACATCCTAATGGCAAAGTAACTCAGAATACTACCCATAAAAAACTTAACAAAATTAAAAAAAAGAGTAAAAGTGAATCAGCAATACTAACAGAATATGTAAGTTATTAGTTGCCTGACTTAATTGTAGGCAGATTAAAAAAATATAAAAAGTACAAAGTATGATGTGCTGACATAGTAGGTGACAAAACCTCCTGTCATAAATTTTATCACAGTAGTCAGTGGTTTCGCATCTACATGGTTGCTCAATGAACATAGGTAACAACGAATGTAATCTTGTTGCCTCACCAAAGCTGATTATCTGGGCAAAATGCTTTGATCAAAAGGTTTGAAAACAATTCTCCTGCCAAAAAAATTAATGCTCAAAATTTGAAAAATATAAATTAATTAGGATAACCTTTATCAAAAGACACTTACGGAATGTTTTTTAAACGGTATGCAGTAAATGGCACGGAATAGTCTTTGAGTAGCAAGAATAATTCTAAGTTCCTTGATTGGCAAGATAAAAATACATACCGATTCATAATCTTTTAAACGCTTCAGAGCCTCAACTAATTCTTTATCCTTTTCCCTAGCATCTGCCTCAGCCAGTTCTGCTGTTCTCTCAGCTTCCTTCGTTTTCTCTTCTAAAAGTTGTACCTTTGCCTGAATTTGCATATAATGAGTCTGTTGAGAAAGGGTAGAAGCACCTGCCAGGAAAAAACAAAAATCATGAATTAATTGAACCAACTATTCTTTCCTTTAAATCAGTGTTTCCAATATGAAGTCAGGAGAAGTGATGTATCATTTAAAAAAAAGCTCCCTTAATGTAATAATTTTATACCTGTAAAATGAAAGTTTTGTTTTGACTTTATTAATAAAATTAACCAAAAAAAATAAAGTTCAGTAAAATCTTCTTAGCTGAAGGGGTATGGATTATAAAAGGTCACAAACACTGCTTTACAAACAATGACCAATGTGGCAGAGACTGTTAGCTATTGCTAATATTCAACCTCCTTTTTTGTCCACTGTACTAAAATTACAAATTTTTAGCTGGACACATGGCCACTTGAAATAAAGACTAAATTTCCACATACATTCTAGCAAGCTAGGTGTGGTTATTTACAAATGGGATGTAAATACCCAAGTCGTGCAAATTTCAAAAAAACGTTTTTAAGGGAGAGAAGTGAATCATTCTTTTCTTTACTCCTTCTTGCTAGCTAGAATATGGATATGAGGCTGAAACTCAAACAGTCTTCTTAGAACAAGAGATGGAAACCACTTATAGAGATAGGCAGAGCAACAAGATACAGGGTCCTTGATACCGGAGATCTGTGTAGCTGTCACACCAATCCTGAACTAATTGCTTCAACTTTGTTTTTATCACAGAGAAATAAATTTCTATCTTGTTTAAACAATTGTTTATGCTTGATTTTAATGTCACATGCAGCTAAATTTAATCCTAAACTAAAAAATCCCTAAACTCACCCTGCTTGTGTTATCTTACTAAATTGTTTTTAGACCAAAATATAATATTCCTTTTGTTCTAAAATTTATTGACACAGATCATTCTCATATTCACCCATAATAAACATTTACTAATATATAGGGCATATACTTACACTGGACTTGTATTATGCATTGGACTAGAATGGGGGATCACATAAGTTTGTAAGAAATGAGCCCTGCTCTGTGGAGCTAACAGACTAGTTATAGAATATGACAGAGGTTGAATTGTCCCCTGATATCTATTCCCCCTTTCTTCCACACAACCCTCCACATTAAACACTATATTTACCGCCTATCTTTCTACATGTGCCCCTTTTTTCTCTATCTTGCTGTTTGGAATACAGACATGAAGTAAAGCTCCATTTTGGATGGGGCAAGTAAAGGCAACACCCTGTACTGCCTAATTCTAGACTGTTAGACAAGTGAGAAATAAACTTCTATCTTAATTTTTGCCACTATTCTTCAGATATCTGTTTCTGATAGCTAAATCTAATCCTAACCAATGAAGGAAAAACACCAGTAGCCATCATGGTTTACAAGTTAAACTGAAGATATATAGTCTAGTACACACTTTCTATGAGCTTTAGGGATTATATGACTATTGACTGTCTTAAGTGTCATTAGATAAGACCCCTTCATTATTTGATAGACAAGATCAACTATCACTTTTCTCCTGGTGATTGGAACATGCAGAATCTATACCATTAGTCGTCGTTTTAAAGCAGTTTATCTTACTGTCAAAGAATTCCAATACAAACATAACACACACACACATATAGAAATATGTATCTCAAGTGGGCTCTTGATGCTGCTCAATAGTCATACTACATTTCCCAAGTTTTCATTCCTCCAGATGACCATTTTATACCTTCTCTTCTCTTCAACTATATAATACACTTCTACTATCCTCACTTTCAGCTGAGAAACTTGCTTCTTTGTTCAATGAGAAAAAAGAAGTAATCAGCAGAGAACTTCTACAAGCTCCCACCACTAGGAAGTCTACTTAGCCACTTGCATCTGCATCTATACGCTCTACCTTTCTTCCTGTAATTATGGATGAACTCTCTCCATGTTCCTATTTAAGACCAGCCTCTCCACTGGTGCACTAGATCCCATTCCATTGTCTTCTCAAGGATATTTTCCAGAACTGCTTCTCTCCTTCCTCTGCTTCATCAATTTATCAATTGTTTCTTCTTAATGTAACTCTCCCATTAACCTTGAAGCATGAGTTATTTCTTCCATCTTAAAGACAGAAAGACTTTCTTAATTCCTCTCTCCCCTCAAGCTACCACCTCCATTTTCTCCTTCCCTCTATAAAAACAGTCCTGAAAACAATTCCTGTATTTCTTCTCTCCATTTTCTCTCTACCCTCTTTAAACAAAAATGACTATTGCTAAGCCCAGTGGTCAATTTTCAGTGCTCAGCCTGACCTACAAGCAGCAATGAACACAGCTCTGAATGCAGTTGTTTATTCTTCCTTGATGACATTTCTCATGTAGTTTTCAGGACTCTCCACCCTCCTGGTTTTCCTCCCATCTCTCTGGCCATTCCTTTTCAGTCTCCTTTGGTTGTTTCTTTCATCTCCCATCCTCTAAAGTAGAAGTATCCCAGGACTCAGTCTTTAGGTTTTTTTCTTAACCTACATTCACTCCCTTGATGATCCTGGCCAGCCTCATGACTTCAACTACCACTTGTATGGAGAGGGTTCCCAAATTGCTATCTTTAGCCTAGATTATTCTCCTAAGCCTTGGACTTTTATATACAAGTGCCTACTTAACATTTCACTTGGATATCTAATAAGCATCTCAAACTTAACATGTCTAAACCTAAGTACTTGATAATCTCTAAATATGCTCTTCCCACAATCTTCCTCAGCGTTCATTCCAAATGTCCTGATAACTCCTTCTTTCACATCCTACATCTGCTCTGTCAGCAAATTCTATTTCTATCACCTCCAAAATACATTCAGAACTGACTACATCTAATAACTCCTCTGCTACCACCATGCACCTCCCTCACCTCAAACCATCACCTCCCTCCATATCATTGCAATACTCTTGTAACAGGTCTCCCTGCTTCTGTGTTTACCACAGTCTACAGTCTACTACAGACACAGCCTGAGTCAAATTTTATTAGTGCTATCTGTGATGTCCCTTCCCATTTAAACAAAAGCCAAAGTCTTTACAATGAATTATAAGGCCCCATATGACATGGCCTCTTGTTACCTCTGATTTTATTTCCTACTAATGCCCCACTTGCTCACTGTACTCCAGCCCCAAAGACTTTGTTGTTCTTTGAACACATTTGGTACACTCCTGTTTTTGTGCCTTTAAACTTATTCCCACTGCTTAGAGCCATCTGCACAGCTCACTCCTTTACTTCCTTCAAGTCTTTGTTCAATTATCTTCTCAGTGAGGCTTTTGCCTCACTATCTAAATTACAACCTACCCCAAACACCAACACCAGCATTATACTTATACACACAAAGACTTGCTTTTTTCCCTTCATGTTATTTTTTTTATCTTTAGCAATTATAATAAACATGACCATGAATTTATCATGAACAGTTTGTACCAATGTGCCTTGGCATAACTACAGTATGTAGTGCTATAGAAATATAACAACACTGATATTATGAGGGCTATATTCACAGGATGTGATATGCTAGGCTAGGTAGTATGACTCAGCATAAGCAGAATATGATAAGAAATTAATTTGCATAAGATTAATTCAAATGCTTACACATCAAATTACTTCTGAAAGCTATCTGCAATACTGATAGGCTGATCAAAACTTTATTCTCCATTCTTTGTTAATTATAAAAAGCATGTTCAATAAAAAATAATTATATCACCATTTTTCATCTTCCAGCCAATCTGGTAATAGAGGTTAATGTAATTTTCATCAAAGGAGAAAAATGACAGAAAATACATTTATCATTTACAAATTTAAGCATATAGTAATTAATAATAACCTGTACAATTAAAAAAATATGATAAAATTCAAATGAAGAAAACTCAATATGTGAATATTTACATGACATAATTTTATTTTAATAAAAATAAAATGCTTTAAAACATAATAACTTTATATACTTATAAAATACTGAATTACCTTTGTTTCTTTGGAGCTCATTTTTCAAGTCTTCAATAATAAAAGTATTTTTTTCCATTTCTTTTGTATATTGTTCTACTTGTTCAGTGAGCATCTTAATTTGACTGTCTCGTTCCTGTATACCCTATAAAATATTTTAAAATACTACACATCCCTTCATGATTATTAACATGCAACTTAAAGCTAAGAAAAAATGTAGGTCTTGTTTTTTTCAACAAGACTGTAGAATATATTTTCTTGTGGGTAAAACTTTGCCTTTTACTATCATGAACGCCTCAACTACACTACACTACACAGTATTAGGTATACTGCTGTCACTAAAAGGTGAATATAATGGTTAACACTCTGGCAAATAAGAATTCCAGAACGCTGTAATATTTGTTACTTTTGCTTATCATCTATCCAATTCAATCTTTCTACCATTTTGTATGTTTGCGTTTTGCCCTGTGCTTTCTTATACTAAGCTTAGCTTTTACCCCTTTGGTCCTTCATTCAAAAATATCGTCCACTGTAATTGTTCTTATTCTCCAAACACTTCTCAGATTTTCTTCTTTCTTTTGGAATATGACTACAGCACAAATGATGACAATGTGACTTCTTTCTATATAAATATATTTTACTATAAATTAAGTCTTTAGTAGCACAGACAAATTATAACCATTCTTTTAGCTTATTTCACGTTGCATAGGGCATATCAGGAGTAAGGTACTTGGGCCAGCCTGTGGCTCACTCGGGAGAGTGTGGTGCTCATAATACCAAGGCCACTGGTTTGGATCCCATATAGGGATAACCGGTTAGCTCATTGGGTGAGCGTGGTGCTGACAACACCAAGTCAAGGGTTAAGATCCCCTTACCAGTCATCCTTAAAAAAAAAAGAGTAAGATACAATATAATAAACCTTAATAATAGAGTATTAAGATAGTCTAAGATTTCTAAAAGTTTTTAATAGTTCTTTATTAAATAATTCCTAACCAAAACAGTGTGTGTATTATCCACATCAACATTAAAAAAAAAAAATGAACAAAATAATTCTATTTCTAACTCTAACCCTAACTATAAACTTAGCTCTAATTTTTTTCCTGGAACTGGATGATGTAGGAATATTTCAGAAGACTTTACTATACAACCAATAGTGCAAGTCACTAGATTAGAAACAGGTAATATAATAAAGCATAGTTCAGCATTCCAATTTTAATAAAACTGGTCGATAAACCAAATTTTGAGAAGGTTTTACCTGTTGTAGAGCCATAACATTACTTTTGTCAGCATCAAGCTGAGCATTTTTAAGTTTCTCCCTCAGGTTATGTAACATTTGCTGATACTCAATAATTTCATCATCTTTAGAAGACAAAATTAACTAGAAATAAACAAAATAGGATTTGTTACACAAAGAAAAATTAATAAACCATTCCTCATTTATAGTAAATAATATATACCATTAGTAGATTTAAGAAAATACAGTAAATAAAATTCTTCGAAATGACAAAGTATCAGCAACTACGGGTACAATCTTTTTCCTTTTGTATATACAACCTTAAGTTTAAATAAGAAACAATGAAAAATGCCCATTATAATTTCTCTTTTAAAATTCAATCTTTCACTTGGGAGAGCATGGTGCTGATAACACAAATGTCAAGGTTCGGATACCTGCACTGTCCAGCCACCGAAAAAAAAGGAAAAGAATTCAATCTTTTAAAAAATTTCAAGCTTTCAAAATCCATTTCTAAACAAGAAGTTATAAGTACCTCATACAACTGCAAAAATTTTATACAACTGATCTTTTGAAGTAAACATTAAAATGCCACTGAGGCATAAAATATCTTCAATGAATAAAAGGAAAGATAATCTTGTGTTCTTAGAAGGACCAAATATCAAAAAGATGTTTATCCTAAATCAATCTGTAAATCAATTTATAACTTTAACAAATATCCAATAAAATGATCAACAAAATATTTTTTTAAGAAGTGGACAAGCTATTCCTAAAATTCATGTGAAAATGTTCATAAGAAAGAGTCTAAAAACAAACAATAATAATAGCTTTTTCAGTATATACATGATTAGAAAATAGATCAATCAATTTAATAACAAGAGAGTCCAAAATAAATCCAGATTCAATGGGAGTTTTTTATGTGATAAAAATAGAACTGTATTTCAGTAGAAGAAAGATGAAATATTCATTAAGTTATGTTTGGACAACAGATTAGCTCTACTGCATCCATATTACATTCTTGTACCAAAATGAATTATATATGCATCAAAGATTTAAATGTTAAAGATCAAGGTCAGGCCGGCCCGGTGGCACACTGCTACAGTGCGCCGCTTGGGAGCGTGGCGGCGCTCCCACCGAGGGTTCGGATCCCACATACAGACCGGTTCCCGCTCAGTGGCTGAGCAAGGTGCGGGCGCGACACCAAGGGTTGCGATCCCGTGGCCGGTCCCGGTCCAGTCCGGGCGTGACACTGAGGGTTGCGATCCGTTGCCGGACACGAAAAAAGACAAAAAGGAAAAAAAAAAAAAAGATCAAGGTCAAGGGTTTGGATCCCTGTATGGCAACTGCCAAAAATAAAAATAAATAAATAAATAAAAATAAAGGTAAAAAATGGAACCAGAAGATACTAGGAGAAAAGATGAGAAAGAAGTTAATACTCAGAATCCTTTCTAGTTATAATAGAAAAGTCAAAAGCCATCAAAAAATAATAAATTTAACTACACAATATAAAAATAAATACTTTATAGCAAAAAATACCATAAAGCCAAAGACAAATGACAAACTGGAGAAATATATTTGCAATATGTATCACAATTACTCTTGTAGCAATTTATTCTACAGATGTATATTTGCAAATTAATACATATACAAGGATATTCAATAAAACGCTGTTTCTAACAGCAAAGATTAGAAACCTCCTAAATGTCACACAATAGGAAATCAATTATCAAATAGCATACATATCCACAAAGAAAAATTACACAGCCATTAAAAGGAACAAAGTAATACTATATGTACTAAAATAAAATAATCACCAAAAAATACTAAGTCAAAACAAAGTAAAGTGCGGAATATAAGTGGTATCATTCTACCATTCTCATTTTACCCCTCAAATTAAAGTGGATAAAAACAACTCTTTTTTTCAAAGGTTAGTAAACAATGGACGACAGATCAAATCTGTCCTGCCACTTGTTTTGTAAATAAACTTTTACTGAAAAACAACCTTGTTCGTTCATTTATGTATTGTCTATGGCTGCTTTCATGCTATAGCAGCAGAGTTGAGTAGTTACAGGAGAGACCAGATGGTCTAAAATATTTACTCTCTGGCTCTCTACGTAAAGCTTATTGACCCCTGGTTGATACTACTATTTATTTTATTGCTACTATTTTTGTTTAAAATACAGGTTATCTGAGCTTCCTAGATGATAATCAATTCCAAATTGCCAACAAAATTTACATGAACCCTGCTAGAAACAATGACTCTAGAAGTGATAGCTTTGAAATTAGAATCATTCATTCAGAATCATCTTAGATGCTTACAAATATACAACCATCATAATCCCAGCTTCTGATACAGGAAGGCCAGGGAATTAGGTTGGGGTTAAAGAGTGGTGAGAAGGAAAAAAGAGTATTTTGAAAAGGCTTCTGAAGTAATTCTGATAGATCTCTTTCCTAACTCTCATTCCCACTGATTAATCTGACATGAAAAACAGAGTTGGAAAAACTAAAATTAAACCTGAAACTATATAACTAATGTATACAAGGTAGCTATGAGTTAAGTGAAAAAATTTAAATTTTATTTAGAATTACATATTTTAGATGATAAATATTTTATCAACTAAGACTTCCATCAATAAGTTTAAAGTTTAACTCATTCATTTGCAAGAGATCATTTAATAACAAAAGAGCTAGAGGACTACACAGAATACTTTTAGAGGTTTTCTAGCTAAGACATATAATAAACTTTTTAAAAAAACCCTAATCAAAATGTTCTTAACTTGTATGAGACCTTTAAATAAAAATAAGACTAAAATTTAAATCTAAAATACAAAATAAAAAGCTATTATATCAATTAAGAAAAGCACCTTCCATTCTTCTACTTTTGCATTGACAGCTAGCATGACTGGATCATCGTCTTCATTTTTTGCTTTCAGAAGATCTGTAAGCTCCTGCACCTAAAAGGCAACAATTACTTCAAGAACTGTTGTGAATTGGTGCAATCTAAATATATTTATTACATATGCGTATTTACATATACACTACATATACATGTTCATATACACATATATAGATATGCACACTTATTATTATATATGTAATGTATCTACATATGCATACTCATATATATACATATACACTGCATATGCATTTTTACTATCACAGTGGTTCTGTAGTTAAAGGTGATATCTAATGGTTTCTGCATCTTTATAGTTGCATAATTATTTCATTACGGGAGAATTATATTTTTAAACATTATTCTACTTTTTAAACAAGTTTAATCCCATGTAAATGGTAAATAATGTATTGATTTCTAATATATTTATAGTGTATTTATTTTAAAATATAAAGTTAAATTTTATAATCCACAGGAGTTTCAAGAGTTGTTAGTAGAAAATCATTATTATGAGCTTTGCAGCACTGCTCTCTACACATTTTCTTCAGGTTATCATTTATATACCCCATATGACAAGAATTACAAAGTGTTTGTGAGGGGCTTATAGAAACACAGACAAATATGTCATCATGACAACATATTACAGTATTAAGACAAAAGACAAAAATTCACACCCTGGAAAGTTAAAGTACTTTCTAGCTTTGAATAAACAGCAATAAAAAAATATGAAGTCTATGTAAATAAGTTATTCTAACAGTAATTCTTACTTGAAGTCGATAGTGACTATTTTCTTTTTTTAATTGGTCCATTACATTATCTGTCTGATGCAAAATAGCTTTCATCCTATTATATTCATCAGTCATCTTCTCCATTTCCTGTACAGACTCTTCTAAATTTTTTCTCATTTCTTGATTCTGAACTTCAATTTTCTCATTAGCTTCTGTTAAAGTCTAAAGAAGTTAAAGACACCATGGTGAAAAAATAATTTTTTTAAGAAACTAAAACTTAAGCTAAATTAAAATAAAATGGAGTCTTAAGTTCCCACTGATGAAAAGAGAATTCTTTACAGACTTTTAGTTTGAATTGGTGTTGACCAAGTAAATCAAATTAAATATCAAGAAAATTGTACATACGGATCTTAGTTGTTCTTAATGTTCAAGATAGCATACATAAAAAGAATGAATAAAGAATTACAACTTCAAAGATACAATTTATTTCACATTTTACAAGTACATAGTTACAGATTTATACTAAAGAATTTACATGTACGGCTAAATACTTGATTTACACTATAACGAAATTAAAGTTTTATAAGAATCATCACTCTGAGCTGACTTCTATTCATTTTACCTGAATTTCATCCAGATACTGGACAAGTTCATAGTTTTTTTTAGACAACTGTGATCGGTAGTCACTGTCTTCTCCTCTTCTTGATAAAAGTGTTTCTTTTTGTGAATCTATTTGTTTCTGATAGTCAATAATATCCTGACGAAGTTGTTCATTCTGAAGGTTGACCAAACACAACATTCCATTAAGAAACTATCCAGAATAGCAAAATTACATCCTCTAAACAGCACTCTCAGAATAGATCTTTAAATTCCCAAGGCTTCACTATCCTTACAAGCCTCACCTTTTTCTTTAGACGTTTGTTCTCCAGAAAAGGACAGGAAAAAGGCAATTAGAAATGAGAAAGCAATACATAATTAAAAATAATAATCAGAAATTAAAGAAAGCAAAAAAGAGAAATTTCAGGAGAATGAGGTATATTATTCGGAATAACAAAAGAAAGAACATTAATTATCAACCAAAACAAAGAACATTTTGATTAGGTTAAAAAGATAAGAACTCCTATCAGAATAAACGATGTACAAATATTATTTGGCTCAGAAGAACCAAATAATAATAAGAATTTATAAGATTTCATGAGAAACAAAACTTTTAAAAGAACACTGGATAAAATAAGAGAAATAAGAACAGAAATTCAGTCATATATTCAGTTAGCAAACCAGCAAAGTACGGCTCATAAAACAGAAAGATTCACCCGCCAGATCTAAGATCAATGTAATGACCTCATGTTTTGATTTATTTCCTACTTCCCTGAGATAAAGTCATATCATAAAATGAGCCTTTTTGAAAACATCAGTTACTTAGAAGATTACAGCTCTGGCTACAATATAAATTTACGTAATTTTAAACAAGTATCTTTGTTGAACCACCACAACTACTAAAACATTTTACCAACCTCTCTTCTTAACTTGCTGTTTTCATTTTCTGCCTCCTCATTTCGAAGCGCCAACTAAAATAGTAAAACACTAAATAAGATAAAATTCAGCCATAATTCAATATAAAGCCAGATTTTCAGCTTATTGATTTAAGTTCTAAATCTTTTCCTATAAAGTAGAGAATGTAGTTATACTAAGGACTTCATATCAACAACCTAAGACAGAATTAATAAGCCAAAATTTTTGAAAACCGAGGCTTACTAAGGATAAAACGGGTTGTTTAAAAAGTTTAAAAAAAATACAGACATAACTCTCAAAAAGCCTACCCCCCAAACCCAAAGGACACAGAAGATACGGCAAACAAAATATTCCCCTCCCCACCCGGAAAAAAACCCTAATAAAATGAATATTTTCTGTCCAAGATCTTTATATTTCATTGTTCTTCTATGTCATGACTAGAATATTCTTTGCTCTCAGTGAGCACTAAATAACTTAGAAATACAAGGCAGTACAACGTAATGGCTAAAAGCAGCAATCTGAATTCAGACTGGTCTAAGTTTATATCCCTTGTCCACCAATTTCTAGTCAAGTGTGAACAAGTTATTTAACTTCTCTTAAATTCAGTTTTTTCATCTCACATGTTGACATAAAAATTAAATAAGATGTATATAAAGTCCTTAGCACAATTCTCAGTGAACAGCAAAAAATTTTAAAGTGTTTTCTTCTCCACATATAAAAGATTTCATTTGTGACTCTTTTGTTTCACCAAACACACAAATATTATTCTAACCATTATGATAATTTTTTCACCTATTCTCCAAATCCCATCCCTCTTATGACCTTTCATTTCCCTGATTTTCCCCCTTATTCAAGGAGAAGATAGAATCACAATGGTATGCAACAGTGGCCCAACCCATAAAATTAGGCCGACTCTCCATTCTTCCCTCTTCTCTGATAACCAATCATTCACCTCATCTAACTATACCTACTCCCCTCAAACATATCTATGTCTCTTAATCCCTTCTGTCATTACATTAATTAGGCTATTACCAGCAGTTGCCTGAATTAACACAAATGTTTCCTTGCTACTTCTATCCCTTCAATCCACTCCCTACAAAGCAGAGTAAACTTTAGAAGTATAGATCTGATGAGAATATTCTTGTGTTCAAAATTCTTCATTAGCTCCTTTCAGGAAAAGTACCAAATTCCTCAGGAACTGGCCCTTGCTTACTTCTCCAGAGGATCATGAATATTAAAACTGGAAAGGCAGGATAGTACAGTGGTTAAGAACACAGACTCCTGACTAAGACTGTTTCGATTCAAAGTCTGGCTTTTCCACTTATTAGCTGTGTGACTATGGGTAATTACTTACCCTTTCTGTGTTTCAATTTCTTCATCTGTAATTTGGTTGAAACGACACTTACATAAGTATCAAATTAGGAACAATGAATTAATGCATATAAAGTACCTAACACATAGTAAGGACTTTATGGAAGCTAATTCTATATATATTCTAGATCTACCCAGAATGCTCTTTTCTTAACCATCTTGTACACATCCTCATTCCCCTTACCAAGCTAACTCCTACTTCAGGTCTCAGTTTACAGATAATTTGCCAAACCTCAAGAATGATTTTGGTATCCCTTCCCAGAATATACCAGTGTTCTTATATCCTTATGTATCCACAAGGTATCACGTTATCCCTATGTTATGCATATCATTGATGTTATGCATATCAATATCCTTGAGAACCAGGATATAGTTTCCCACTGTATCCCTAGAAACTAGCATAGTTGCTGGCATGCTGTAAATTCTCAATGAAATTAAATGACTGGATAATAAGGGCAAAGAAGAAATTGCAAAAGGAACCCACACCCATATTCCATCTCAAGGAACCTAGCAGCTAGAAGGGTACGCAGGCCACATATTCAAGTTTTCTGTGTGTGCCTATGAATAAAGACAGTAGTCTAAGTTATGAATGGACATGCTAGTTCTGATTAGCTAAGGGTGTATGGTATGAATGATGATAGGTCGACTGATACATAGGCTAGAAAGAAGAACAAAAGTCTGACAAACCACATAGTCAGACATCCCCTAAACAATTCTATTAGTGAATATCACAGGTTGAATCCTTTATGATTACTTAAAAAGTCCACGGGTCTGTTATGTTTTGCTGAGTCAACTAAACCAATAATCATCTAAGAGCACATTCCTAACCCTTAGGTGGCAACAATCCATACTTTCTTCACCACAAAAACTGTATTAACAACTAACTTTTATATGATTTTTTATATTATAGAGTAAATTAGTTATGTCAAGAATGGTGATCCTTTTTCTCACACATCCATTTATGATATATTCTCTTTAAATAGCAACATCATCTCATAATTTACTTAATTTATAATCTTCTATTTCTGAGAGAATAACAGACAAAATAAGATTGAAAGGATATAAAACAGCAGTGACTTTCTACAGGACACAAAGGTAGAAAAGCTTCTGGGCACCAGCGATGGTACAGTTACCACACTTAGGCACCAAATTTGTATTAAGTTTATCAACAGCTGAGGTAAAACAGGAAACGTCATTTTCTGCTAGGAAATACAAATTTATCTGCATAAAGCAACTTTTTCCTAAAACTAATAAGGAAACATTGTATGAATTACTTTATAACTAACAATGAATAATATAAGAGGTAATAACAAACTATGCTTGTATTAAAAAAGTAATGATTTTAAATATGAATTGATTTACAAAATGCTGACATTAACACAACTTTTTTAGAACCTATATGTTACATAAAGATACACTCAAAAACAAGGAATTAAATTAACCCTTATTGAATACATCATTAAAAGACTAATTTCCAAATCTACTACTAATCTAAATACATTAATACAAATAAATATAACTTTGTACCCAAAATAAACTATGGCAGTAAGAAAAACATGTTCATAAATGCCTATTAATTTCTCCATACCAATATTCAAGACAAAGCATCAATTTTATGTATGTAATTCTAATGTCCTGAGAAAAATGTACCTCCAAACATAAAGAATTAATCTCCAAGTCATAGTCACTAGAAGTACCTGATCCATTACATTTTAAAGATGTGATGACAAAATGAATGGTGACATAAAACCTTAAAGATAACTGTACATCATTCCTCAAATGTAACATACAACATAAAAATTGACATTGTTACCATTAATTATAAAAAGTAAAAACAGGTGTTCTAGAGAGGTAACTTGAATAGTTGATTCATTAAAATGTGCCTTACTTGTTCGTTAACTTTCTTCTCTTTCTCCAATTCCTTTTCCATGTCCTCCAATTCTCTATCTTTTTGTTCCAATTGCTTTTCAAGTTGGCGAATTTCATCACGTAAAAACCTAGTGTCCCGTCCACCTGCAGACTGCTGAGCCATCTGAAAGTAATAAAACAAAAGTATATATTATTCCCATTATATGTAAAGGTTCAAATGAATAAACAACAAGCAAGTAATTACTTTGACTTTACACTTTAATTATACTTCAATACCAAAGGTCAAAACTGTAGTAGCTTAAGGACCATTTTTAAGAAAAAATTTACTTATTTAAGCTTTAGTTCACAGACTGAACTCCTTAAGCTTCTCCTGAGCTACCCAAAGCAACAAAGAATTGACTGTTAATCACTCAGGGTCTGTAGCCACCAAGCCACAGGTACCAGACTAGACTGCAAAGACATATAATGTAAGTGATTAACTACTTAGACACTTAGACTTCTCCTAAACCTCAAGCTCTGAAACCAGGCTACAAACCAACAGAGCCCTCTGCTCTAGTCACTGAATCTTGGTGCTCTTATCTGGTCCTTTTCATCATACCATGGACTATTTAGGCTAATGCCATCCAATAGGACTTTCTAAGCTGATGGAAACATTCTCTGTGCTGTTCAGTTCAATAGTCACTATCTATATGTGTTTATTACGCATTTGAAATGTGACTAGAAGTGAAGAACTGAATTTTTAATTTTAACAAATATAAATGCAAATAGCCACAAGTGGTTAGTGTTACAATATTAGACAGCCCAGATTCAGGTTATATTTAAAATCTTGCAGCCAACTAAATCCATTTTGCTTCATATTCCTGTTAATTTAGGTCATGGCTCAAAACAGCAAATCATTTGGTCATCTAACTTGTCTCACATTCACCTCTTCACCATACAGTTGTTGTTACTCCTCTAACTTAACCAAATTGTTCTCACTCTTCCCCTCCTCCAAAAAGCTTTCCACTGTACTTTCTAAAATCCTCTCCTAAGATAAACTAATATTTTATATCCTCAACTTCTTTACTGAATCCTCCTTTCCCTTCTCCTTGCCTTAGCTACAATTTGGTTCCTTTAGGACATTAAGTTCCCTTGGAATTCTTTCAATTGGAAGCAGCTCATTTTTTCACATCCCCTATACAGCAGGGTCAAGAGAAGGTCTTAGTATTCTCCTACATTTATTTTACCTTGCAACTTCCATGTTATTATTCCTATCATTCCTCCACCATTCTGTAAAAACTCGAGCTGCTTTGAATCTCACATATCTAGATCTCACATTCCTACCTACCATGGTAGCAAGCCACCAGCTTCCCAGTCACACTGTCTCAAAATTCACTGGGAACTTCGGCTCAGAGCCTTCCCTCAAAATCCTGCCTAAGCAATTTCCAGATCCACTTAACTTTCATTCTAGTCTCTCCCTCTCTTTTTTTGTTACTTGTTTCTTGAATTCACTAGTGTCATACTCCAACACCAGATCCTTGTCCAAAGAAGAACATTCTCTCAATTATTCCCACTGTACCTGCTCTTTGAGCCTTTGACCTCCCTTGACTTCTCTTCTCCCTCCCTATCTGTATCCTTCTCCCAACCCAACCCCAATCCTAAGATCCTCACCTATTCAGTTAAGATTTCATAATCATCACTTCAACCACTTTCCTAACAATATCTTCAACTGCCCTATCCTATTCTACAGCAGCTTCCTGGCTAAACACTAACACAGAAGCAATTCAATTTCATTTAATAAATGTTTCTTAAAAGTGCTTGGCATTTTCCCAGGAGCTGGATATACAGAAAGAAATAAGAAATAATCCATCCAAGTTCAAAGAGTTAACATAACAAGTAAAAGAATCAGGACTGCAACTTTAATTGGTCTGACTCCATATTCTCTACATTCCAGCCCTTTCTCTCTTATATTTCAAGCTTCATCTCACTTCCTTAAAATTTGACCAAATTATCTGCCTCTCTCATTTTTAGCAGATGACCTTGTCTCCAAATTCTGAACTTCCAGGCACTAAACCTACAAATAAAAGCTTTTGTACACATACACTCTTCCTCCCCTCCATTATACAAAGAAAGAGGGCCTTCCTTCTTTCAAAGCCTAATACGTTTGTATTGCTTCCTACTTTCTTAGGAATCTCAATGTTTTTAGTTCTTCAACAATACATTCATATTTTAGCCCTTGAGTTTGTCAAAAGCAACTTCTTCTACCACACGCTTCAGTCATTATTCCTCAAATCCCTTCCATCCCCCACCACCTCAGTTACTAGTAAACCTTCCCTATACTTTTCTGGACTGTAAGCTTCACCCAGCTATTAACTGTTTTTATTTTGCTCACAATCAGATGCTCAATCCTTAGAAGAATTTAAGGAACATAATAGGCATGTAAAATACATACTGAATAAACAAATAACTATGAGCACAATGTCTTCCTTGTGATTTTTCTAGCCAATAATAATAAAAAAATTTGAAAATAATTCAAAATAATAAAATTAATAACAACGAAATCCTAGGGAATACAAAAGGACATACCTCCAGTTCATTTTCCAGTTTCATTACTTTAGTTTTTAATTGATTTTCTATTAAAACAAAAATACAATTGGTTAGATTTACCTCAAAACAAATTTTTAAATGAATTTTAATAAAACAAAATTAATTCTTTTAAAAGATTCCATCATGATTATAAGATAACAGAGAAAGTAACTATTATATACCAGACCCATGAAATATGAGTTCTAGAAATATTTTTCAAAACAAACTGAATACATATATTTTATAGAACATGTTAAATTTAATTTTCTACCACTTAATGAATAAATGAAATTTGTTATTTGACACCATAATAAACTTTTTTCAAGGCAGTTACCAAATTTTGCTTGTTCTTCTCCAGCTTTTTCAACTTCTTCCAAAGCTAGCTCTACTTCTTGAGCTTTCATCTAAACATTAAAATAATAATAAGTTATTTCAACATGCCGTTACACTGGATTGCAAGCACTGAAAATAAGGATTTTGTTTTACTTGCTATCCCCATCCTCAGTGCCTGCAATAGCTGGCACACGGAGACATTCAGTAAATATGTGTCAAATAAATGAGTTTCTTACTTAAGGCTATAATCTCTAGATATTTAACACTGTGAAATATCTTTGATTCTTCCTTTGCCCTCAAGTCTTACAACCAGTATTGCCACTTTTCCCTTTGTAATGTTTTTCACTATCTCTTATTTCTGTTCCTATTGTTCTTACTCTAGTCCATACTTTTATGTCTAATCTCCTTCATAATGTTATGTCTAAACAGCTCCAATTCCCTTCAATTTGTCTGATATAACATACCCAGTTTCTCCTTTCTAAGTCATATTTTTGTATCAATTGTGATTTAAAATCTTTTATTGGCTTCTCAATTGCAAATAAAATTAAGGCCTTCAACAGCCTATCCAAACATCTATCTAACATCTGTTTTCTGTGCAATCTGCTACAAACTTTCTGCACTTGTTTCCTCAAATGTGAAGATGAGCATATTTCCTATTCCCAGTATTTATTTATGGTAACCACCAACTCTAGAATCCCCTTACCATCTTATCACTGCCTGACACTTACCTAAAAGTACTCCTTGGTTTCATCCTTTATGAAGTCTTCTGCCACCTCTTAAATCACTTCACCTTAACAAATCCCTATAGTAGTCATTGCCTGCATTTTTCATTTAGACCTCAGAATATATCTTTCTGTTATTTTTAAACATACCCATTATGTTTCCCCTACACATTCTTTTAGGAAATTTAGGGTAGAAACTAGCAATGTTTTACACACTAAAATTATCAATCCACATTTGAAGATATCTCATTTTTGGGTGGTGATTTAGATATTACCAAGTATTTTCACAGAGATTATCTTATATAAGAACAGGTCCTTAAATTTCCTCTAATAGTTCAAAGCTACTATTAAAACCTACTACATACAAACCTTCATTAGTGAATGAGTAATTCTGAAAAGGTGTATCACATTTTCTTGATTTTCATTTTTTAGCTCATTTACTTCCACCTAAGTAAACAAAAAAAGCAACTATTTTATATTTTATAACCTTTAAGCAAAATATAAGAACTCTTCCAGTTTCATCATTTGATGATTTCAGAGACAACTTAATCACAGGTTGCGTGTACATATCTATGCATTATTTATCAATTAAGCACCTTGGATAAGGAAATCAATAAATTATCTGCCAGTTCTTCTTGACGAGGCAGGTCATCTGGGTCAACTTTCATTATTTCTTTCCAGTTTATGTTAGGCGGCATCTTGAATTCTTTCACTGTGCTCCACCCTCTGGAACAAAACAAGTGGGTATTAGCATTCTCAAGGTAAACAGCATTACTGTTTTTACAGTACTATATTTTTTACAGGTTACAACATAACTTCGATGGTGTTAGCAAAGAGCTCTGGCTCCTCAATCGCAAAACGGAAAAATGGGCAAAAGAGCCTTGATCAAAATTAAAGCAATCAGCACAAACCGTCAGATATTTTATAGGCTAAATAAATCAAGAAGGCTTCCTTGCTAAAACTATCCTAGGGCAGGAGTAAGATTCTGGGTCCCCTCTCCGTCCCCTACTACCAACGCGCGCTAAGACCTTATGGTGCCAAGCGTGGGGGTGTTTGGAAGGCTGAAAATGACCACTGATTCGGACAAATAGGAACTAGGGGGTTAAAAAAATGCGGAAATAAACGACTGAAGAGTGAAGTTGTGCGGGCGAAACCAGGGCTGAGGCAAAGAGACGGCAGAAGGATTGCGGACCACAGGTTACAACCGGCGGGGTAGATAGGCTGTTAACACACCGGCCCTGAGGCTTAAGAACCCGGGAGTGAAGAGACTGACCGCTCCCGCCTGCAAGGATCCACCCACCTAGACCAAGCCTGGCAACCAGCGGCGGTCCCTCCTCTACAGCATCCGCCAAGCTTGGCCTTGCCGCGGCTCCTGACCGCTCCCTAGCACGGTTACACACAGTCTCTGCGTCCTGCCAACTGATGCCGAGCAAGCCAAAGCGGCGGCGGCTGCTAAGCGACACCATTCCCCACCCTGCCAAGGCCGAATGAGGCCCCGGATGCAAGAAGAGCCTACATTTCACGACCGTAGGCGATGCTTTACGTGTAGACTGCCCGCCACGGTCCCTGGACTCGAGGTTAATTAAAGACGAGGAGAAGGCGTGCGATGAAGACTCCAAATCCCAGAATGCAGTGTACTACGAGTCTTGTGCATGCCGGGAACTGAAGGCTCCGAGAGGGGAGGAAGTGCGTTCCCGGCGTGCAGTGCGGGAAGCTGCGACGGTAGTGGGGCGGCTGAGGAAAGGCCAGGAGGCGGGAGGCGCGGTGGATGAGGTGCGTCTGCGCTGGTGGCCTGAATTAGAGAGACCATGATTGTGGTTTCGGTGGCGTCACTCGTTGGGCCGTTCTTCCTGAGATTTCCTTAAGCCATCTCCCAGTGGAACCACTCCCAGGTGAGATCGGGCTGTCGGTCAGCGGCTGGGGAGGAGTTGTGGGGAACAGTGCGGACTTATAGAAGCTCCCTCCATTGGGGCCCGAAGGGCCTGGCCGGGGTCTGAAGAGGTGGGAAAACCTCGCCTTCTCGGGCGTTCGCCAGCAGTGTGTGGGGTAGTGCCTTCTGTAAGAAGGAGCTTGGGAGGAAAGTTTTATCCTTCTGTGGTATCAGACTGTGTCTCGGAACTGTGGAGCGGGGCCGCACAGCCGAGGTCATAGTTTCGGGGCGCGTACAGTATTGAGAAGCGGGTCTGACCACGCCCAGCGTACCTGTAGCACCATTGCCTTCACGGATGGAAGGGTGAAGGTTGAGGAGCTAGTTGAGAGTGAAGGCAATGAGAGGAGAGGTTAGTACTTGTCCGGGCCACTGCGGAGGGTGGACAGAGAAAGGACCGCATGACTCACCGGTGCTGCGGCTGTCGCTTGCTTGGTTACCGAGGGTGCCCTTCTGTGAAAGCGCCTTCTCAGGTGTTTACCTCTCTTACTCGTGCGAGTTTGGCTCATTCCACTGTTCTCAGCCGTTCTGGAGTATGATACACCACTAGGTAACTTTCTTCAGAAGCTGTAGACTTGAAATCTGAAGTGACATTCCAACTATTTGGACCAGTACCTGTCAACTTTATCTTTTTTTAAGTGCCTCTTTTTTTTTTTTTTTTGGTACTATAACTGATAGTAAATTTTTCTTTTGAAGATAGATTTTTTTTTTTTTTTTCCCAAACCACATGTTTGGGTAAAACAAGAGATAACTCGGTAGCAAACAAAAAACATGCTGATTTTTGTGAGATAAATTTTAGAGACATTGATTAGATGTGTAGGAATGATCGTTTTGTTTACTCCTTTTCTGAAAGATTATATGCCAAATACTGCTCATTATCTCCTCTGATCTTCATAACAATCCAGTAAAATACATGCTTACGTTGTCCTCATTTTCCACCTAAGTTAAGAAACAGGCTTGTAGAGATTAAGTATTGTGCTCTGACTTATTTAGTGCTATTGAACACAGATCTTTCTAGCTAGAGGACATGTTCTTAACCGCTGTACTGCCTCTGCAGGCATTCTGGGAACCAGTATTTGTAAAGCGCTTGTTCTTCAATCTTTTTATTAATATTTTTATTAATTTTATTCCTTTTTATTTTGTTTTTATTTTTATTTTTTAAAGAAAATGTAATTTCTTTAATGTTATTTTTTATATTCTAGGATGTAGTGGAGCAGTTGGGAGGGAGGGGGAGAGGGGAAAGGGAAAGGATATGGGATGGAAGAAGGAGGGAGGAGGGGCAGGATTGAGGCCTGTGGCATCTCCCTCATTCCCACAGGGGAGACCAGGGGCTTCCAGCAGTGGTTTGTTCATTGCCAGGCTGGGTGCAGATGTCAGAGGAGTTTGGCAAAAGCCCTCGCCCCCCACCATCCCAGCTCGGGAACCTGGGGCCCTTCTTGCTGAGGCTTGGTGGGCTGGTTGCCCTTGTCAGGGGGGGTGTGGCTGAGTCCTGAGGCCCCCCACTGCCCCAGCTTGGGAGAGCCCAGGGCACTTCCTGCGGCAGCTCAGCAGTCACCACTGGGCTGGCTACAAGTGTCAGGGAGGCATGGCCGAGGCTCTTGGCCCCCCCACTGCCCACCCTTGGGAGAGCCTGGGGAGCTTCCTGCAGCCCTTCACTGCAGGGCTGGCGGGGGGATGTGACAAAAGCCCTCATCCCCCACCCTTGGGATTGGTTGTGGTGTTGAGGGGCATTGCTGAGGCCCCTGGCCCTCTCCCCTTTCTGGCTTGGTAGCTGAGGGGCCTTCCAGTCCTTCTAGGTGTTGTAGGTATTCTTTAGTGAAACGAGACGTGTAGTAGATAATATGAACCTTTGTCTCTGATTGTGGGTACTTTGTTTTTTCTTTCAGATCTGTGTTGGATTATTTGCTGTTCCCAGCATTTAAATTCTGCAACATAACTAATTTGTTGTCATCTCCTTACTTCTAACATGGGGGAACTTCCTATGGGGACCACTACTTGATCTCTGTGGTTGAGCTTAATTGCTGCTTTGCTGCTGATTCCCTAGGGAAGCCTTTTTGTGCAGCTCAGGTTTTAATGGTTGATTTTATAGGTACTTCTGGCTCCCGAGAGATCCAGTGCACCTGGGTTGTATAGAAATTCTGGTCTGGGCCTGAGTCTCTGATATTCCTGATCAATCTCCTCTGAGTGGTCCTTAGCTGATTGGGGTGCAGATCAGCTGTCCTTGCTGTGCCCCAGTGTTCCCCTGGTGGGCCCGTCTCCCCCACCGCCCATGCTGCAAGCACTTCCAATGGGACTGGCCATTGGTTATTTGTGGAACAGTGACACTGGGGACTGTCTATTCTACCATCTTGATCGGAAATCTCTTACTAAAATTTAAATATTATCACATTCTAATTTTATAACCTTGTTTACTCAAGAATTTGAATTAAAATTTCTTCATGTTCAGTGCTTTCAATTCATAATTTAATAGGAAGTGGTAGGGATTAAATTTAATATTTATTGAGCACATATTATGTTATATATGTTTACTACTGCATATGTATTTTTACTGTAGTGCCTTGTTTTTCTTTTTGTTTTTTCATTCATTATAACTGTTATTATCTATTTATTCACTTGTTTTGTTTTGTTTGTCTGTATTGGTCTTTTCTATCCTTATTTTCTTCACCCTCTTGTTCACATTTATATCGCTAGCCAGTCAAGGTGCCAGGCAGAATGGTAAATTTTATTCTCATTTTTCAGAACTGAGAGTGGGTTCAGAGAAGTTAAGTAATTTCCTAATAATTAATGAAGGTAAGATCTCAATGACAATCCTGATTAAAAACACAATATTGCATAAATTTCATTTTTTAACTTAATGTAACAATATTTTTACACTTGTACACTGTGCTAGACACTGAGAATACAGCAGGGAAGAATACCAATTTAGCTATGCTTGGTCTAGGTCCTTATATATAGTCTGTTTGTACCTAACTGTGAGTCAGGAAATTTAACCCAAGTTCTATTTTAATAACTCACTGTATAATTTTGAGGAAAATTAGGAAAACTCTCAGTATTTTTTACCACATTTTCTGCATCAGTCAGTTTTCACCACAAGGTGGGATTTGTGTGACAGTTTTGTAAATGGATTTGTGACAGAACACTTGCCAGGACTTACCATCTTTTTTCCCTTGAGTTTTATGAACAATTTTATGAGACCAGATTCACTTCAGAAGAGAACTTTGCCTTTTGTGATTGCTGCCTCTTTTCTCTGTACCAGTCAACCCGTATTTCTTAGATATACCTTCCATTTCTTTTTTGCTGACTTATCAAGAAAATGATTGGTAGCTTACTTTTCCAGTGTCTAAAATAAAGCATGGCCATAAGAAATTTAGTAGCCACTGTGTACAGTAAAGGCTTTGTTTTGCCTTGTTTTCTTGGAGAGCAATGAGTGTGTGACAAGCAGGCACTTGTATCTCTTCAACATGAGACTTGAAAGATTAGTAGGAGTCAGTGTTCACAGTCAGAGTGAGTACAGACTTTGCAATCATTGCCGGCCAAATAAAGTTTACAAACTTTAAAAATAGTAATACAATATAGTAGATTACTCTTCTTGTACAAGATACCATAATGATAATGAAATTAGGAGGACTTTTCTAATTTTCCAGGAAATTGAATTGTGAGGACTCTCCTTTTCAGGCTAAATATTCCCAAATTCACATAAAATTTTCCTATAACCTTATTTGTTCCAAAATTGTACTGTTGGATTATAACAAAGTGAGCACGGAATACAGTTTTCTTGAAGGAATTGGATTTTGTGTCTCTATAATGTAGCTCACGAGTAGTCTTCATTTGTGGTTGGATTTTGAATACATATAGAGTGACATCCCGTTTTTGTAAGAAAACATAAATAGTCATCCCATCTATTTAGACTATATTGGAGTATGCTTGTTTGCCTAGAAAAAAACTATAAGTTCCCACAACTAACAACTGCAGTGTGTTACTTTGTTATAGTAATTGCCCCCAGTGAATCATGTCTGCCACCATCTGTGCTCTTGTGTAACTCCCTCCCTTTCCCTCATCTTCTACCTTGTAGGTAACTCTTGAACAGAGCTTAAGATGACTCCAAAACTGTGCTTGTGACATGGACTAGAACGAGCTCTCTCTCCCTTTCTCTCATATTACACTCCCTTGGGGAATCTTTAAAAATTCTATTATCTTGACCCTTTTATAACTTCTCCCACATTGAATTCTCTTCCACATTGCTTGATTAATACATACATGTATATTATATTTTACTGGTTTTACTATATAATATTTAATATACTTTATTATATTTTTATATTATATTTATTATATACATATATGATAAATATATATATATATATTATATTTTAATGTAGTAAACAGAGGCTTGTAAAGATCTTGTCTATTAGGACTTGCCCTTCTACCATTTAAAGAAGTCCAAGGTAAGCTACTAAAGGATGTGACCATAAGTAGCAGAGACTAGCTTTCAAAGCTGAGACTCTTACCCTTTAAACTATGTAACCCTAGTCAAGCTATGGGATAACTATAATCACATGAGGGACTATGGGATAACTATAATCACATGAGGGACCTCAGGCACAGCTAACAAAAGAAATATGTACTCCATGAGAGAGTGTGTGTGTGTGTGTGTGTGTGTGTGTGTGTGTGTGTGTGTGTGTGTGTGTTAAATAAAGATATTTTTAGCAAAGAATTGACCTAAAGGACTATGGGGCTAACAAGTCCAAATCCAAAATGTAGTCTGGCAGGCTGGAAACTGTCCAGCAAGAACTAATGCTGCAGTCTTGACAGACTTTCTCCTCAGGAAAACTTTAGTTTTGCTCTTGAGGAGATTCAAATGATTGGATGAAGTCCATTTACATCACGGAGGGCAATCTCCTTAAGGTCAACTAATTATAGATGTTGACCACATCTGCAAAATACCTTCATAGTAACACCTAGATT